ACCTTATGTCCCAGCATAAAGCCTCCTGCGCAGGCCATCCTGAAGCACCCCCACAAGGTCTGGTGGTCTATGCTCGACCAGGGCTCCTTGCCCAGCAGCGGCTCACGCGACACGAGCGTGTGCGTGCGCGCGTGCGGAAAGGCCGCCAGGGCGCCGAATACGTCCGTTGCGGAGCACAGAGAGAGCGACGAACGGACCGCAGCGACTGGTGTGCTGGCGAGAGAGGTACGTAACTTTGCGGCCCAGCGCGATTGCCTCACGGCACAGGCCGGAGGAAGCAGGCTGGTGTTGCTGTGCATCGCCGCGCGCACAGCGGCGTGGTCATCTGCGCTCCACATACAGGAGACAGCACGGCCATGGTGCGCTTACATTTCGCCGCCGCAGCGCCGCGGTTTAGCGGCAACTTCAAGTATGTATCTACTGTGAACGAGTCGGCGAGTCGTCCGATGAGTCCGCGACCTAACTCGGTGTCGAGCACCAGCCCGACGCGCACTACTCGTCGCCGCGAATGGTTGCCCAGGTTGGGGGGCACGATGCCGGCGTGAACACGACTACGCGAGTAACTGACGGATCCGCCCGTTTATGATAGTGGTACGCGCGCGCCGCGGCCGCGGCGCGTGCCACTCACTGTCGTCTCTTTGTTTGATTGAAGTTAAAAGTCGAATCAGAGCGGTGTCGGCGCTGTCCCCCACTTGCCTCCCCTTTCGTCTTTCCGAATCTAAACCGAGCGCTCCGATTTTGACCGCGCAAGATATAAAGGGTGGCTAAGGGCTCTGCACGCAAGGCGCCCGCATCGCAGACGCGGTACCATTGACAAATCTGCAATATACCCCCACACGAACAAATAGCAAAATCCGAATACCGCACAGAAACCATGTGATCTGAGCCGTGGACGGACGCAAGCCTTCAGCTGGTGCCAGACATCTTACCTTATATTTCCCCGCGGCCGGTTTTCCGTTTCAGCAGAGTGAAGCCGCCACCCAGCACACATGTACATGGTGCCCCTCGGCAAGGAGCGCGCTCCGGCGCCGTCCACGACGTCGTCCGCCGCCGAGGATGCGGCGCCGGCGCAGCACTCGCGTAGGCGCGCCGGCGTCATCCGGCAGGCGCAGCCGGAGGCGCCTGGGCATCAGCTCGCCGCCTCGCACGCTGCTGCAGAGAAGCGCAAGGCCAACAAGATGACGCCGACGGAGCGCAAGGCGAAGCGCACGGCCGACCAACAGCGGCGGCGGGCCGCCGCCCGGTTCAGCATGGCGAGCTCCCCGCCTCCTCTCGCCGCCTCCTCTCACCGCCTCCTCTCGCCGCCTCCTCTCGCCGCCTCCACTCACCCCTCCTCTCATCGCCTCCTCTCGCCGCCTCCTCCCCGCCGCCTCCTCTCCCCGCCTCCTCTCAGCGCCTCCTCTCACCGCCTCCTCTCACCGCCTCCTCTCGCCGCCTCCTCTCACCGCTTCCTCTCGCCGCCTCCTCTCGCCCTCAGGACACCGAGAAGGTGAGCGAGGACCCCGAGACGGTGATTGCATCGCTGCTAGACTCACCCTCACCCTCACCACCCCTCACCCCTCACCCCTCACCCCTCACCCCTCACCCTCACCCCTCACCCCTCACCCCTCACCCCTCACCCCTCACCCCTCACCCCTCACCCCTCACCCCTCACCCCTCACCCCTCACCCTCACCCTCACCCTCACCCTCACCCTCACCCTCACCCTCACCCTCACCCTCACCCTCACCCTCACCCTCACCCTCACCCTCACCCTCACCCTCACCCTCACCCTCACCCTCACCCTCCTCCAAGCCTCCTCACTCTCGCCTCTCACCTCTTCCGCCTCTCACCTCTTCCGCCTCTCACGTCCTCCGCCTCTCACCTCCTCCGCCTCTCACCTCCTCCGCCTCTCACCTCCTCCGCCTCCTCACTCACCTCCTCCGCCTCCTCACCTCCTCCGCCTCTCACCTCCTTCCCCCGAGAAGGTGATTGCGTCGCTGCTCGATGAGCTCGTGGCCGAGGTGGCCGAGGTGGCGGAAGTTGGCGACGAGGTGGACGAGGGTGAGCTTCAGAAGGAGCTGGAGAAGCTGGTGATTGAGCGTAGCGGCTCGCCGTTGCTCGAGGACACGGGCACATGCGAGGCCGCCGAGCTCGAGCTGCGCGCAGACGGCTACGGCGCGGTGCGCGGCGACGACGACGGGCCGCAGGTCTACAGCCTGCCGTTGAACGAGCTGCGGCGGCGCGTGGCCGACGGCGAGGACGCGTGGCCGGGCGAGGCGCAGATGGCGTGGGATCAGCGCGTGATGCGCGATCGGCTTGCACGCGGCGTGCCTCTCGGCGACTACCTCCAGGAGCTGCAGCAGCTGCTGCGCGAGCCACCGCGCGATTTGATTGCCACCCACGAGCTCGCGAACTATGGCAGCAAGCCCACTGATTGGCGGCCACAGGGTAGAAACATCGCGCCGCCGCCACCGCCACCGCCGCCGCCGCCGCCGCCAGCTGCATTGCCGCCACCGCCACCCGCCAATGACCCGTGCCGCTGCACAACTTGCGGCCACATCCTACCTATTTGGAACTGCAATGCTGGATGTGAATGCTTCTATTCTGACCGGGAGGCGCTGCAGCTGCACAAGGCCTATGATTGCTCGCCGGCGTGCACACCGCGCTGGTCGCAATCACTGGTTAACGTGATGTCCGGCTCCGTCGAACCATGTGCGTATTGTACCAAGTACGCGGCCGGCCACTGCATCGGATTGGGCGCCTTCCCAGATCTGGAGACGCAGCAGCAGCAGCGCAGGCTCGAGCTCGAGGCGCAGCACAGGAGCGCAGGTACGCTGCCGCCGCCGGCGCCGCCAGCGACAAGTGGCAGCAACCGCCTCCTGCAGGCATTTGACGAGGGCGACATGCCGTACTATTACTACAAGGACACGTCGTACAACCTCGCGTGCAAATACGAACTACTCGACACCAGCGTCGCCAATCCGGAGTGGGCGCGCGATCCGCCAGCCGACGTGGCTGTCACCGAGGGCAAACCACCGGAGCGCTCCGAGTACGACCTCGGTGAGCACGGGCAGAAAGCATATCATCGGCACCGCGCGCGGTGGTACAGGGAGCACACATGCAAGGAGCTCACCGGCAGCCTTGAGGAGCAGAATGAGCAGTGGGACAACTACAAGCGCGACTTCCGCGCAGACGCCGCACGTGGCGATAGTGCTCCGCTCGAGAGGCGGCATGTTATTGAACCACTCTGGGATTATTCAGATTGATATGTGTAGATAAAAACTCCTTTTTCCCCACAAAGGGAGGGAAGCCGACTGGAAGCAGACCGGAAAACAAATACGGCGCGCGTGCGCGCCAGGTCTGCTAGTTCGTAAAATTGAAGCCAAGAACGTCCGCCAAATCCGTGCTTTCGGAGCAACTGAGGGAAAGCTGATCAAGCCCAGCGTGCCCGCGGCCGGAGCGGGCAAAGAAGGACGCTGCAGAAGCGGTTGGAGAGGCAGCCGGTGTCTGCCGTCACAACGAGTCCCAGCGCTGGTTGGACATGCGCGTCGGCTCGCCCGAGGACTGCTGTCGCGACCCTCCCGTCCTGGGTAGTCGACGGGCCCCCGGGGGCGACGGGGGTGCTCTCCGGCCGCGGCGGCCGAAAACGGGGACCTCTAGTACGGTCTAGTAATGAAGTGATGCACTTGATGCAAGGGTGCCATTGTGCTCTACTACAAAAGTTGTGTAAGATGCCCAAGTCTCAGACGCTGGATCCTTAGCGGAGCTGAGTTCTGACGGTGTGAACACGAGCAACCGGAGTGACGACCGGGACCGGGCCGCACGCCGGGAGTGTCCCGACTAGCAGTGGCGGGCGCGGACGAGCGAATGAGAGGTCGCTATCTGTGGAAGATGTGTTATTAGAGACCAGGGCTGCCTATCTCTCACTGAAAGAGACCTCTCATTCGCTCGTCCGCACCCGTCACCGCTCACGGAGTGCTCCGCGTGCCGCCACCGGCCGCCGCCGGCCGCCGGCCGCTCACGGTAACGGAACAGTTTTACTACTCCGCAACATTGAGCTGGATCAAACTGAATAGTGCTCCTGAAAGCCCTCTCCCTGGGCTCTGCCACACAGTAGCAGCTCACGACTAGCAGCTGCTGTGGCTGTATTTGTAGCCATTTTTAGGCTTCAACTGGTCCCAAAATAGTAGCAACACCTCATGAAAATCAGTCAAAAAAGCCCCCAAAAATCGGCGCCTGCGGCGGGCTACCTGGGGCTGCGCCCCAGACCCCCTTGACTGGGGGGACCCCCCGCGAGAGCACCCCCGTCGCCCCCGGGGGCCCGTCGACTACCCAGGCCTCCCGTCGTGACGCAGCCTCCGACGAGCTCTGCAACCGAGGAGAGTGAGGGTGCGCCTTCCCCTGTCCCCTCCACTGCTGGCCTGGCTGCGCACCGCCCCACAAAGCACCCCCTCGAGCATCTCTACAAGTACAAGTACAAGGGCGACCTTCTCCAAGTCGTCAACACGCCCGGCGGCTCCGGCAAGACTTTAGCCTTGGCCACCCTCCTTGCGGAGCAGGAGGAGATCCGCTCTCGCTCGGCAACGTGGCAGCTAGTCGAGAGACTCGGTAGTTGTGACCCCCCTCTGAGTGAGGACAGGAGAGAGAGAGCTTTTGTGGGTGTTGGTGTACGCATTAACGGGACAGGGTAGTCGTTCTCTCTAGCTCCCCTTCTAGCTCTTAGCATGAGCTGCGCCCTGTGTCCGACCCCTTTTGCGCAGCAACACCTTAAACTTTTAGGCCCTCCAAATTCGGGTCGGGCGGAGCGTAGGCCGTAGCCGCGTAGCGGAGTGGGCCCCGAGTTTGAAAAGGGCGACGGACGCTTGCGTCCTAGCCTCCAACAACGCCTCCCCGGCGCAGAGGGGCCCCCGGAGGGATGCTCAACCGCTCCACGCCACGCCGCTTGCGGCGGTCCTTTTCCCAGCTCCGCTACGCGGCGTTATTCTTTTTCAAGAAGCCAACCTGGGCAAACGCGCTTCGAGCGGTAGCAGCACAACAATATATGGCCTTCCTCGCCGTGCCCGTCGCCGCCGCTGGTCTCGCCGCCGTCACAACGCCTCTGCTGCCAGCCGGCGCCACCGCCGCCATCGAGCGAGGCCAGATCCACGTTGAGCCGGGCTTTCTGCCGCCGCCGCTCGTGCGCTCGCTGCGCGAGGACGCCATGTCGCTCTTCGAGGCGGGTCTGTTCTCGCCCGACGGCCTGACCAACACGGCGGTCGGGCGGAGCCAGCAGGGCTTCGACCGGCGCGACCGCCAGACCTTTCGAGGCGACGGTTGGAGCTCGGCGACGGGCGACCAGGCCGCTCGGCTCCAGTTCGCAGCGCGGATGCGCTCCCTGCGGGAGGAGCTGGCGGAGGGGCTGGGGCGGCCCACGCTGGCGTCCGAGGGCGAGCGGAGGCACGAGATGACTTACAATTGGCGCGCTTGCTTGCTCCCTCGTAACAGCCTCTGCAGCCCTCGCCATTGCCTCGCAGCCGCCGCCCTCACCGCTCTCACTGGGCGGTTATCAATTACGAAGTGTTGTAGAGCACATTGGCAATGACCCGTCGCAGGTACGAGGCCGGCGCCAAGCTCGGGCGCCACCTGGATGAGCACCACGAGGAGACCAAGGGGACCAAGGGCTGGCTGCGGCCGAGCCGCCGCTCGGTCACGTGGCTCGTCTACCTCAACGAGCAGTGGGAGGCGGCCGAGGGGGGCGCGCTCCGCACCTTCCCGCGCCCGCAGCCGAGCTCGCAGGCGGTCGGCTCCGACGCGGGCAACCTGCAAGTCGGCTGGCTCGACGCGAGCAGGCCCGTCTTTCTCGAGACGAGGGAGGGAGGGCTCTCGACCCTCTACTGCCGCGCAGGCGGAGGCGGAGGCGGCGGGCGGCGAGAGGCGCTGAGCGCCGCCGCCTTCGAGGTGCCTCGCCAGCCGGTCGACTTTGGCGCCTTCCTCGCGGCCGAGTACGGCAGCCGCTTCGAGCAGATCTCGACGTCGCGACTCGACCCGCGCTTCGCGACAGGCACGCCGGCAGAGTTCACAGAGTTTGGGGAGCTGCACCACGTCGACGTGCTGCCGGCCGCGGGGACGCTCGTGCTGTTCGACTCGGTCAGCCTGCCGCACCTCGTCAGAGAGGTGACGAGCACGCGGCCGCGCGTGGCCGCCACCGGCTGGTTCCACGAGGACTCGCTTGCCGTTCCACTCTTCCCGGTGGGGTCGTAAAAAAAAAAAAGCAGCTGCAAAACCAAAGCCGTGCTTCTGCTGTGATGTCGCAGCACCGCAGGCACACCCGCAGCACCAACAGCCAACAGGATGGTGCAGCAACCCCCAGCCCAACGAGGCAGTCGCCGAGCCCGAGGGGTGGGGGGGTGGGGGGACCAGGGTCGGGAACGAAGCCCCGGCGCGCGGCAATGCCGGACAGGTTCACCTAGATTCACCATGAAGAACCCCGGCCGCAACCCGCCGAGGTCGGGCAAGCGGAAGCAGGACCACCGCAAGCCCGCACCCAAGGGAGGTGGACCCCCGCACCCCCCTCTCCCAAGGTGGTGGACATATAGGCTGAGCGCATACCGCATTGGGCGGATGGGCGCTCCTGGCCCTTCTGGCACCAGCGGGAGCCACGAGCACGCACCGCCGCGCTCCCCCTCCCCCTCCTCGCCGCCTGCCAAATCCCCGCGGGCGTCTGTGCCTGCTTCTGTGTATGGAAGGGCGCTTGGGTCTTAATTTAGTGCGGTGTGAGGTGTTTATCTACTGCATCTTTTAGTGCACTTTAGCGCGAATTTAGCGCGAATTTAGCGCGAATTTAGCACAACTTTAGCGCAAATTTAGCGCGAGTCACTGCGACTTTACATCCAGATTTAGCGAGGTTTAGTGCGTCTTTAGTCCAGCCGCGCAGTAGGATCCAGCCGCAGCCCCTCGCTGGGCCTCCCTCCCCCTCTCCCCCTCTGCAGTTCCCTGCCCACTCGCAAAAGTTCCCCGTCCCATCCCCAACCGAACGAAGGTTCTTCAGCTGAATATCAGCCTCCAAGGTGCTTTCCGGGCTGCTTCTCCGGCATCGAGCTATTGAGCATATTGTATTTGCCATTGCACTTAGGAGGAGGTGCATGGCTGGGGCTGGATCCAACATGCTACGAGTACACGCGTATGTAAAGCTGCTTGCGGTGACTACATGGATCATTGCCATTTGGCCGTTTCTGTCATCGTGGTCTGGATCCTTCATCCTTTGGTTCAACATTGGTTTTGAAATTCCAAGACCGACCCTCATCTCTACTCTATATTACAGCTGGTGGTCACGGGCACACAGCATGGGTTGTGCGGTCGGAGGTAGGTGGTGCTTGCGGTGGCGCATTCAACTGTGCTGGTCCTCCTCTCGGGAATCGGTGCTGTGCCTGTGCTCAGTCGGGAGATCTTGCTCTGGAGGGCTGCCCCCCGGGGGGGGGAGGGGGGCATATCTAGCCTCACTGGGAGCCTGCCTTTGTTTGCGTCATGAGGGCAGGGGCCAGGCATCTCTTGTGGTGCATTCTTGGCAGCCAAGGAGCAAAGCACGCGGCCCTGGCTAGCTGTGGTGTGGCCGGGAAGCCGTGCTAAAGTTGCGTGCCCGCACTAAAGATGCGGGACCCACACTAAATGTACTGCAGCTGCCCGCACCTAAAGTGAACTAAACGTGGCGCTAAATTGGAGATAAAACACACTAAATAAATATGTGCTAAATATGTGCTAAATATGTGCTGAATTCGCGCTAAAGACGCACTACAGTGGGTTGCGGGCATTAAGAAAACGTGGCATTAAGAAACCCTACCAAGCGATTTCCGCGAAAATCTAAGAAACCACGGCGCGCCGCAGGCGCGGCCCCGAGAAAAGGCCAGATACGAGTGTGAACGGGAGCCCCAGCTGCAGCTCAAAATTTCTCTTCGCCTGCGGCGCGCGCACTTGTCACTTTTCAAGTCTGCGGTGTTCTGAGACTGAGTGGAGTGGATGGAGGCGTGTGTGCGTCTTCCCGTCATCCAGAGAGCCGACTCGGCGGCAGACTCTGGCATCGCCCTCGCGGACCGCAGCTTACCTCTCACCTACTCGAGTAAAACTCCTTCCTTCGGTCGGGCCGGCTCTGGCTTGAGTGCCGGCCGGAGCTAAGAAACCACGGCGTGGGGTGGATGAGGGCTGTGGAAAGGATTAGAAACGGCGGCGTGCCCGATCCTGTTTTCTTAATGCCCGCAACCCACTGTACCTCACAGGGAGTGTGGTATTGTGGTGCGTCCGTGCGCGAGCGCTCTCCCATGAGCCATGTTCGCCACCATCAGGTTGCCTTCGGGCGTCTGCCTCCCCGTTTTTTTTCTTCTCGCCCAGTCTCGCAGCGCCCGTACCCGGGTATGAACAATACGGCAAATCGTTTTTTATTGTCCCAGAATATGCGCTCGACATCCGAGTCCGTCGGAGTTGAGGAGAGCAACCCGTTCGACCTCATATTCCATGAAATTCAAGGAGGTGCTCGAGAAGCACCGCACGCCACGACGACACATTGACTACGGGTTGCTCAAACAGCGCATCCGAAGCGGCGTCTCGCGCAAGCGTTTCGAGCAGTTGCTCGCTGATGAGGTTCGCGCTGTCGACGGCGAGTTGCAGGCAATGCAGGCGAGTGCAAGCAGCCTGAGGTGAGTCTGTCAGTAAGCGCGGGTTAGCCGTGGGTTCCACCGGGTTAAGCCACACTAACCCAGCACGGGTCAGCACGGGTTAGAACGGGTTACCATAACCCGACGCTAACCCGGCACTAACCCATCCTAACGTATGCCCCCTCCGCGGGTTAGCGCCGGGTTAGCGCCGGGTTAGTCTCGGGTTAGTCTGGGTTAGGCTTGGGATTGGGTTACGGCTCGTTCCACCCCTCTCTCGAGTCTCGTGCGTTCACTCACTCGCCACACCACACAGCCGCGGGCGCATGGCGAGCGGGACAATCTCATGCCACAGGATCTATAATGTACCGCCCTCAGCGCACTCCTCCTCCCTAGGGCCATCACTGGCACACGTTGAGGGCTGGGCCCCCTGCAGCCCGCACTGCCATGGCAGTGGAGGCCATGGGCGCACCGGGAGGTGTGTCGACTGGGCGTCAGGCGCGCACGGAGCAGTGAGGAGGGACGTGCTCTAGTCGACGTACACGGTCCACTTCCAGCACGAGCGACCGCCTTGGACCCGTCCGAACTGCGCACGCGGGTGTTCTTCTCAATGAGCAGCTTGGCATCCACGGCCTTCTGCAGCCAAGGCTCCATCGCGGAGGTCGGCTCGGGTGCCCGCCGCAGCCGTTTCATCTCGCCAACCAGCTAGCTCTAACCCGGGGTGCGCTGCACTAACTAACCCGGCCCTAACCCACCCCTAACCTGGCGCAGACAGACCCATGCTGACGTATGCCCCCCAGCCGCACGGGTTAGTGCCGGGTTAGTGCCGGGTTATGGTAACCCATTCTGACCCGTGCTGACCCGTGCCGGGTTAGTGAGCACTAACCAACGCTAACCCGCGCTTACTGAAGACTCACCCTGAGTGCAAGCAGCCTAAACTAACAAACAGAAATGAGCGGCTGGGTGGGCTGGGAGGGCGTGGTGGAGGAGTACTCGCTGAGTGCAGGCAAGCTTCTCCTCGGCGTCGCACCCGGCTCGCGTTGTGCCGCACTCGGAGAGCTTCACGCCGGGTCGGTGTGGAATGGAAGCGTACGGCTGTCGCAGTTGATCGAATTTGGGTTCCTCGGCCGCAAGCTCGCAGGAAAGCGGGTCGTCGAGCTCGGTGCTGGCGCCGGTCTACCATCCCTGACGCTGCTAGCACAGCCCGAGGTGGACGCTTCCGCTTGTGTCGTCATCTCGGATTTTGACCATCCAGCGCTCGTGCAGGCCATCCGAGAGAACGTGCGCCGCAACGTCAGCGTCCTCTCCTCCGCCGCAGCAGCCCGCTGCCGCGTCGTGGGCCACACGTGGGGCGAGAGCACTGAGCCACTCGATGCCGCTCTGTCTGAGCTCGGCCTCAGCCTCACGGTGCACAGCGGCGAGGGACAGATCCGCAGGGACGGCGGCGAGGGCGGCGGAGAGGGCGGCGGCGAGGGCGGCGGCCGGTTCGACGCGCTGCTGCTCGCAGACTGCTTTTGGAACGTCGCAGCGCACGCGGCGCTGCTGGAGAGCGTCTGCAGCCTGCTCGCGCCGGGCGGTGCGGTCTGGAGCGCGCACTGCCACCACTGGGAGGGGCACGAGGCGGCGGACGAGCACCTGTTCGCTCGCGCCGCCGCGTGCGGCCTCGATGTGGCTGCGGTGCCCGCCGCCGGCAGCGAGATGCGCTGCCTCTTCGGCGAAGGGTCGCAGCTCGCTCTCGTGCGCCAGCACGCCGCTCTGTCCGTTTCGTGGACGCCTCGCTGAGGGGGGACACGACTGGTAGGTGCACCGGCTCACTTGGGCGAGTGCGATGGCGAGCAGGCCCCTCGCGGGGCTCGCGGCGGAGGCAGCCCCGCCGCTGCAGCCAGGTGCCGAAGCGCTGTCTGACGAGCCGCTCGAGCCGCTAGACGCGCCCGTGGAGCTCTCGTCGCTGCCCACCGAGCTGCTCGAGCTGGTATGTCTGCAGCTGGTGGGAAGCTCCGCCGAGGGTTTGGCCCATCTCGCGGCACTGCGCGGCGCCTCGTCGCGTACGCGCGCCCTCATCTCCCCTCCGCTGCTGCGGCGTCTCGCTGCGCGGCTCGGCCTCGCCGCGCCGAGAGCGGACGGGGGCGGCGGGGGCGGCGGGAGCGGGCAGCCAGCCGTGTCATGCGAGGCCGGCCGAGGCGGCGGCGGCGACTCCATGCAAGACGGCGGCGGCGGTGGCGGCGGCGCGGGGAGAGAGCCGCCGTGCGCCGACCCCGCCGACCTCGAGGACCTCGCCATCAGGGCTGGGGTGCGGTCGTTGCTGGCTCCGTCGCCAGGCTCCACCCTCTCGTCGCTGGGCAATGTGGTCGGGTTCGAGTGCGATCCGACACACTCCCTCCCTCCCCTCCCCGCTCCCTCCCTCCCCTCCCCGCTCCCTCCCCGCCTCTTCCCCGCCCTCCCCGCTCGCCTCCCCCCCACCATCTCGCCCAGCTCCACCTTCTCTCGCCGCCGCACACCCTCTGCAGCGAGACTGCTCCCCGACCCTCACCCTCGCCCCTCGCCCCTTCAGGTTTGCCGGCGTGGACCTCGACGACGAGGCGGGCAGCGAGTCCGGCATCTGTGGCGGCCGCGCCGCCCTTCGCCGCTGGGCGCGCTTCGCCTCGCGCCACGAGAGGCTCCGGCTGCGTGTCGACGCGCATGTCGGACCGACGGCACAGTTCCACCCTCGCCCCTGCCACCCCCTCCCACCCACCCACCCTCACCCTCACCCTCACCCTCACCCTTTCTTGCCCGCGACGCGATCGTGACCCGCGACTGACTGCCCCAGGCGCCCCCCGCCGTCGCGCTGCGCTACGCGCGCCTGCGCGGCGCCTCCGTCGCTCGCGAGCTCGACTCGCTCGGCCTCTCCCTCGACCGAATCGACGTCGCGTCCTGGGGCCTCAGCGTCACCGCGGCGGCGGCAGCGTCGGCGCACCCGAACGGCGACTCGGCGCGCGCGGGCTGCGGCTGGGCCGAGATCTTTGTCTCCCAGGCGAGCGACGGCGTCGGCGGGAGGGCTTCGCTCGAGCTGCCCCGACGGCCAGACTACTACCCCGCGGCCGCGGCGCGCCGACTGGGGGAGGAGGCGCAGCTGGCGGAAGGAGGCGGCTGCGCGGCAGTGTGTTGCGCCGCGTTGCTCTCCGACCAGTCAGACGCGTCGTCGAGCGAACGGAGCGAGGAGGAGGGGGGTGGGGCTGCCCCGCCGGGCGGCGGCGGCTCGCAGGGCGACGACGATCGCGAGCTGTACCAGGGCTTGCTAGAGGGAAGTCCGGGTGGACCGTCGGAGGACGAGGGGAGCGGCGGGGAAGAAGCAAATTCTGACGCTACAGGGGCATTCTGACGCCTAAGCAAATGGCCGCCAACCCGTATCAGTACGTGACGAAAACGAACAACGCACCAGGCGACTGCCTGAGAACGCGGGATCGAATCGTAGGAGGCACCTAGAGCAAAATTGAGCAGCCCGCGGCAGGGGTCTCGCTCTCGGTCCCAACACCAGATTTACGAGAGAGCGCCCCTGCCCGCGCGTTGCCCCGTATTATCCGCGAGAGCGTAACGCGCGTACACCCAAAACGAGAGTGTTCATATAACTCATCTTACGTAGCGACACCCTACTCTCTCTTGTATGCGCATCTCCTCCGATCCAGCAAGCAGCATATCTGATCTCCGCTCACTGTCACACCGCGCAAAAAGCCGCCGCGCGGATCTAACACCGGCCGCGGCGGCGCACTCGCAGACAGTACGTTTGGGTCCGTGTCATGCCATGTTCTGGAAGCGTCTTGCGGACTGAGCCACGCCGGAGCGTGCGCTCGACCGGAGCCGCTGCGGCCAACGAAGGCTCCAGGGGACAGCCGTCAGCCGAGCGGCCCAGCGAAATTGCTTGCATCAACCTTAGTGACCGTGGCCGTCGCCACCGCCCTCGCCACCGCAGTGCTCGTGGTCGAGGAGGACGAGGCCGATGGCGGTCGCGCCGATAACAAAGAGCAGGAAGCCAGAAAGACGCAGATTGAGCGTCGTCGCGAACTCGTGCACACGCGGCATGCACTCGGTCGCGGCGATCTGCAGGTAGACGCCGGCGCCATAAGCGAGAAGGCAGCCGGTCGAAAAGTTGGACGGCTCGGCGGAGAGGACGATGCAGACGCCAAAGAGGACGGACATGCCCGAGAGGAAGTTGAGGCCGAGCGCCATGAAGGGCTTGAGGTCGCCCTGATCCTTGTTGGTCAGGACGAGGTAGTCGGAGATCTCCTGCGCCAGCTCGTGGTAGACGGTGGCAGCGGTGATCGTCCACGCCATCGAGGTGTCGCAGTTGGCAAAGGCGGCGCCGATGAAGAAGCCGTCGACCAGGTTGTGCAGGAAGTCGCCCAACAGCACGCCCGAGAGCACCCTGACCTTGCGCGACCTGGATGGCGTCGGCGACTCGTTGGCCGCCTCGGGGTCCTTGCGCTCCTCAGGCTTGGCCTTGCCGACGATGAAGGAGATGATCGACTCGAGGAGGAAGGGGCTGACGAAGCCAAGCAGGGTCGCCGATCCCCACCACGCGCTCGCCTCGGCCTCGGTGCGGTCGTCGGTGATTGCGATCAGGTGAGTCGCCTCGTATAGCATCAGGTAGAAGGCGGCCGCCAGGAGGGCGCCGGCCTGCGCGAAGGGAGGGGGCCGAGGCGGGCACGGGTCAGCAGAGGGGCGTGACGGTGGCGGGGGAAAGCGCAAGCAGAGTAGGTGGCGGCGCACCGCGAAGGCCGACGCCAGCACAGTGACGAGCGACTCGTGCTCGCTCTGGAGCTTGGCAAACACTGGCGCCAGGAAAACGACGCCCATGAGGGTGCACACCATCACGATGAAGGCGGCGCCGATGGCGGCGCCCCATCGCTTCGACCGTGTCGATTCGGGGTGCTCCGCGATCGGCTCGATGTCCTCGCCGCCCGGACCCTTGAGGTAGTGCATCTGGCGGGATGAGCGGGAGGGTGAGCGAGGGGGTGAGCAGGAGGGCGGTGCGGGCGGGGCTGTGAGAGGGCTGTTTGCGTGGTCGGTGGCGATCGGCCGCCTCGCGCTCAAACTCGATCGGGAAGTGCTGCGCGAAGACGGCGATATTGTTGTAGCCGGTGGTGTCGATCTCCCAGATTGCGGTGTGCGCATCGGCGTGGCACTCTGCATCGTCACCCGACCCCTCCATGGTGCAGGGGAACATGAGCTTATAGCACGGGAGCGGTGTGCCCGTCGAGCTGATGGGAAGAGCATTGCCGGGCTGCAGTTCGGTGCACGCGCCCTCGAGGGACTCCTCACCCGCGAGCTCAAGGGCCTCGGTGAGGGAGTTATCCGCATTGCCTTGCATGATGACAATCGTCATGCTCGCATCGGGATAGTGGCCTTCCGCGTCCGACTGCGCCGACCAAAAGACCGTGTTCATGTCGGCGACGTCGAAGGTGCCAGCCCACTCGAAGGCTGCGAGGGAGGAATACGTGTCGGCTGGAAGCGGCGGCGGGCTGTTCTGGAGGTTGGGGCGTTGTGGGCCGGTCGCTGGCTGCGGGGCGGGTGTGTGGCGGCACCTTCGTCGCCCGTTCCGTTGACGGCCCCCGCCGAGAAGGCGAGCGCAAGAAGGAGGCGCATCATTGTGTAGCCGCGTGGTTTGAGCGTGTGCTCGATCCGGCAATTCTGCCCGGTCGGGGCTCAAAGGGTGCTCAAGGGGTAACGCTTTGAGCACTTGATAATGCGTTCGGCGTGCCGACCCGATTCTTCCTTGACCTTCGGAAAGAGGGGGAAAAAGAAAAACGGCTGCGTTGCTGAATGGTTCAGGCGAGAGAGCGCACCGTCCTCCCACGAACGAACGAAGCACGAAACGATCGTTTCGCCTATATATATCTATCTGCACTGCACTCTGAAATCCACATCTCCGCAGCAAACCACATCTCCGCAGCAAACTCGCAGTGCCAGTGGCTCCAAAGACCAAACGACACATTTCCCTCCCCGCCCCTTTCTTTAGGGAGGCACCTATGTCAGCTATGTCCTATGAGCTGCTATTAGCAGTCAGTCAGCCATTCAGTGTTACACACCTCCTAGCATGGAGGACGGGCCCACACGCACACACGCTGCACACGATTGGCTCGGGAGCCGACACGAGGCACACTGTCACCGGCCGTAGCACCGGGTCCGGCTGCTATTAGCTGCAGGAGAGGTTCAGATTTCCATTTTGAAGAATCGTGTATGAAATCGTAATGAATCGCTGTATGTAAGGTATAGGTAATGACCGATAACACTGACAATACTAAAATACTCTCATTCTCCATAGGCCACAATTGGCCTGTAGTATACACGTTTCCCGGCAATCCTGAAGCCTTCGTCGGCTTCGAACCCAGCAGTCCGTCCAGTGAAGGAAACGAGAGGGTGCCCGCCCTGGTCCTTGCACGGAATTTCTCCCCCATAGGTGAGGTATAAGGGATATGATAAGCTACAACGCATGCACGCATGCTATAACGAGAGGCGAGTTTGCGGCGGCGAGAGCGGGGACCGGGGTGGGGGGGTGCTGAAATGCAAATGGTAAAAGGAAACCTAGAAGTCTGCCTGAGGACGGGGCGGGGGTTCCTACTTCCTTTTTCCCATCTCCTAGTAGAGGTGTCCGTTTTATTTATTTATTTTGAGGACGAAAAAGTGTGTCTGTGTGCTCCAAAAGTGCTCCCGCCCTGGCGCCCTCACTTGTCGCTAGTGGCTAGAGCCACTCGCCACGGCCCTCTTTATTGCTAGCGCCCCCTAGAGAGCTCTACGAGGGACACGGCACACGCGGGGGAGGTGGATAAACGAGACAGCAGACAGGATGCCGAGCCCGACGTAACATGTATCCTAGGTCGTACGCACATTGGTGTCTTGTGCACCCTCTTTCTCACACTCCCACACCCAGCCCGACTACTGCGCTGCTCCTCTCCCACAACCTCGCCGCCAGCTCTTTGTCCTGCGCCTCCCGCGACACCGCCGCCGGCCCGAAGCCGTCGGCCACCGTGGCGGCGGCACTCGTCGCCGCCGGCGCGGAGAGGTACGAGCCCGGCGGCACCTCTTCCTCGGGTGCGGTGGCGAGGTACGCAAGCCGCGCCCCTCCCACCTCGACCGGTTGCGAGAAGCGGGCCACGCTGGTCGCGACGAAGGAGAAGAGCGCGGCGCTCAGGAAGTTGTCTCGCCGCGCGGCGCGGAAGAGGCCCGTGCTCGTGATGAGGCCCGGGTTGAAGGCCCGCACCGCCACCCCGCCGCCTCCCCACCGCCTCGCCGCCTCGGCCGCGAAGAGCACGTTGCACAGCTTCGAGTCGTGGTACGCCTTTGCGCCGCAGTACGCCGTCGCGCCTTCACACGGGAGACGGAACTCAGAGGTGTGAGGGTGAAGGCGAGAAGCGAGAGGGAGAGAGGGAGAGGAGGTTCGATCTTCGCACCGTCCACCATCACCGCGCCGCCACCGTCCACCGCCCCAAGCCCGGAGAGATCTCCCAACGTCGCTCCGGTCGCCGGGTCGCCCTGGAGGGTCGGGCGTCGGATCAGGGCAGGCAGAGGAGGCTGGGCTCTGGGCGGCCCGCGCCTGCACTGTCCCTCCTGGCGCGTCCGGATCATGCACGCCCGAGGCGGTGACGACGACGGTGCCTTCGCTGCGCGTGAGCACGGGCTCGAGCAGGCTTGCGAGCAGAAAGTGGCCGATGTGGTTCACGCCCACCGTCTCCTCGAACCCGTCCCGCGTCCTCGCCGGCACCTCTGCCTTCCGCGAGGGCGACACGCCCGCGTTGAGGCAGAGCACGTCCAGCGCCGGCGCCTCGGCGCTGAGCGAAGCCGCAAAGCGGCGGACAGACTGAAGGTCCGCCAGGTCGCACACCATCGGTGCTCCTCCGCCCGCCAGCGCCACCGCCTCTGCGGCTGCTTCGGCCGTCCGGCAGGCGTGGATGACGCTGTGGCCGCGCTCGAGGAGCATCTTGGACGCGGAGGCGCCGATGCCGCTGTTACTGCCCGTGATCGCAATCTGCAGGGCAGCGGAGCGGGCGAGCCCGAGGAGGAGGAGGAGCAGGGCGGTGGGCGGCATGTGATGGGCGTTGCACGACGCTGCACGGCGCGGGAGACGGCGGTGTGTGTGCGGGGTGGGGATTGGCTTGAGTGTGGTGAAAGAAACAAAACAGCGAGAAAGGGAGGGATGGGAGACGGCACGCCGCCACCGCACAGGGATTTTAAGGAGAGGGGTGTGGTGCGCTAGCCGTCGCCCACCCTTGGGCGTCCGCCTCTTCCTATCTCTCTTCGCAGTCTCTCTTTGCAGGTTGAGAGCGGTGTGGATGCAGCGGAAGATTTCTTTTTGCACAGACCGGGGCGGCCGCTGAGTCGGCGTCTAGCGCGCGCGAGAAGGTTTTTGCTGGCCTTCCCTGGGACCCCGTGTTTTAGGCTGAACAAGGTTTTCCTCTCGCACCCCGTCTCTTTTCCTTCGCAGCACCCTCTCTTTTCCTCTCTATTTTCCCGGGAAACCCATCAAATTTTCCGGGCTCTGAGCCGAGTCTGAGGCTGGTTTGGGCCCAAAATCAGCCAAATCGGCAAATATCCTGGAAAACCCCGGGTATACCTGGAAAATATCCTGCGACCGCCTGGGTATCGTGCCGATTTCCTCAATTTTGCGTCAGATTTTGCCCCAGACCAGCTCTCAGACTCAGGGAAACTCGCGAGTTTCCAGAATGGAGCACCAAACACCCTCACACCAAAAACACCCTCTGTTTTCCCTGGAAATTTCCGGAAACGCAAAGTGCTGGGGACCCTCTGTTTTCCTTTTTGTTTGGATGCCGGAAAAGCTTGTGCAGGCCTGCAGGCCAACCAACCCGTGTTGCGACTGTCTCTGTGCGATTTCGGGCCCGGGGTAGTGCGTTTATGTGAGGTAGGTAGGTAGGTAGAAAGGTGAAGATGTGAAAAGAAGAGCTAAAATAAAGAAAAAGAATTCTGTCCGCTAAAATAAAGAAAAAGCCGTCTCTAAAATAAAGAAAAAGAATTGGGTGCTAGCGCACGGTGGCCGTTCACGGCCGAGGCGGTCGCCACTCCTCCACCGACCCAACAAGCCACATAATTCATGCACTTGCCTCTCCTCCCGCTCCACGCCTCTCCCGCGCTGCTCGCCTCCTCCTCGCCAGAGGCGGAGACGGCCCGCTGGATGGTCGCACGCTCCGACTGGGGCTACGTCACGACGCTAACGGACGGCGCGCCGAGCGCAGCGGTGCTGTCGCTCTCCGACTCGGCGTGCAGTGACGCTGCGTGCCACTCTGGCCGGCTCTTCTTTTACATCGCAACCTCCGTCGCAGCATCGCAACCGGGCGCCTCCTCTCTCGCCGACGCGGACTCGGGCTGCAACGCCTCTCTCACCCTCTCACAAGCCGCCCTAAACCGCTCAACGGGCTGCGAGGCGGCGGCGCTGGACCCGGAGGACCCGCGCTGCACCAAACTGACGCTCTCGGGGAGACTGGCGCGGACGCAGGGCCCGGCCACTGCCCTCGGCCGGGCGGCGCTCTTTGCCCGCCACCCGCAGATGCGGCGCTGGCCCGCCTCGCACGGCTTCGAGGTCTTCGAGCTCCGTCCGGCCGACGTCTGGATGATCGACTTTTACGGCGGAGGGGCGCACATCCCGCCCGGGGAGTACTACGCCGCCACGCCGCGCCACAACGTGCCCCCTTCCGCCGCCAGCACCGCCGCCACCGCCGCCACCACTGCCACCGCCGCCGCCGCCACCGCCCCGCCGCCGGCGCGGAACCGCTCCTCCGCTTCGCTTGCCCGCTGGCTCGTGTACCACTCCGGCTGGTCCTCGCTCGGGACCGTGTCCGTGCGGCTCGGAGGGAGGCCATGGAGCAACGTGCGGTCGGTCGCGGACGGTGCCGCCCCTCCCCCCTCCCGTCCCCGCCCTCCTCCTCCTCCCCGACGCCTCGGGGGGACGCCTCTACCGCAGGCCTCGGCGCCAACTCGACTGGCAAGCCGGTCCTCTACCTCCCCTTCCCGGACCCGTCGTACAGAGACATCGAGGCGGAGCCGCGCGCGAGCCTCTCCTTCTCGCAGGCGTCGCTGGCCGGAGCCGCGCCCGGGCGGGCCGGCGGGCAGGCCTCCCCTCCACCGCCGACCTGCGGCGGGGTCGACCCCGAGGACCCAACCTGCGCGCGCCTGCACCTCTCCGGCACGCTGCGGCCACTGACCACGAAGGCCGACGTGGAGAGCGCAGAGGCGCTTCGCCACCCCCCTCCCCTCGCCACCCCCCTCCCCTCGCCCCCGCCTATCCGCCCTCCGCCGCACGCCTCCCGTCCCCTCCCCTCCTGGAGGCCCCCCCCCCCCCGCCCCCGCCCTCTCGGCAGGCGCGCTTCTGCGCCCGCCACCCGCACGCGCGTTGGCTCTGCGAGGGAGGCGCGCACACGGGCGGCCGCTACTACGCCATCGAGCCGACCAGCCTCGTCTTCTTCGACGACTACGGCGGCGCCGCCGCCCTGAGTGTCGCCGAGTACCTCGCCGCCTCGCCGCTCGGCCTGCCTGCGCCGCGGCCGCGAGTTGCGGCGGCGTGATGCACCGGCCGGGTGCGGACGGCATGGTCCGTGGAGGGCGGGGGTGGAGGTGGTCGCATATACACATTCGTGCGACCGGTCTCCGGTGGCCGTGAGGGGCGAAGCGCGAAGGGTGGTGAGCTGCTGCTTGGTACTCTGGTTAGTACGTGTCGAGGGTGCGGTAGGCGGCGAGATTACTGGAGTGCGCGCGGAGGGTGATGCACTGATGCTGATGGGGATGAACACGTGAGCAGACGGAGGGCGAGAAAGGGGTGCGGCGCGACCGCGAGGCGGTGCACGGTGGACTCCCAACTCCAGAAAGAAAGAAAGAAAACCGACAACCCAAGGGAGGGATGGGAGGACGGCACGCCGCCACCACACAGCTCACAGGGATTTCACGGGACTCCCAACTCCACTGGCGGTCTCACTCGCTGTCGCACTTGGAGCACTTGGAGTGCAGTCCGGTCGGCAGCCTCACATCCAGGGCCGGGGAGCTAAGAAGCGCACCCAGCGAGCCAGATGGTCGGGATCGGGTCCTGCAAAGGGCTAGAGCTCAGGTCGATTTCTTCCGTGCCAGTGTGCTGTGAGACAGGCTTTTTCACGAATTCTTCCTTGCCTGCCTGGTTGAGGGTGTCCTCGAGAGGCCTGGTGACGGGGCCCACTGATTGCCCCCCCCGGCCTCTGGTCGCCTCCTTGCCAATGTGGGGCGGCTCGCTTGACTCGAGTGAGATGCAGTGCGAGACGCCCGTCTTCGATCAGTCTGGCTTCTCCATGGCGGAATACGAAGCGTGAGTTGCCCCGCCCTCCACCGTCAACGCAATCGCGACCCGCCGCGCCTCGCCAGCCCGGCGGGAGCCATCGGCTCCGCCGGCGCAAGCGGACCGAGCCGTGCCGCCCCTGCCACTCCCTGCAGGTACCAGCGCGTGCGCCTCGAGAACGAGTACTACACGACGCTGCTTCAGCTTGCCGAGCCGACCCGCGCGGGCGCGGCAGGAGGCGGTGCTGTGCTGCGTCGAGGGAAGCGCGCGAGCGGCGAGGGCATCGTCTCGCCCGACGCGTCCACCAAGCGCGCCCGCGCGACGCAGTCCAGCCCTCTCCGCGACGTCGGCCCCTTCCAAGCCAACGGCTCGCTCCTCCTTGGCGGCTGGCCGGGGGCGCAGCAGCAACAGCAGCAGCAGCAGCAGCAGCAGCCCATCGTTGAGCATGTGGTCTCGATGGAGGCGTGACGCGCCGCCCTCCGCTCCGCCCTGCAGCGGGCAGGCGCGGCCCGGGTGAGGGGAAGATCCACAGCCGCGCTCCCGCCTGGAGGGACGCGTGTCCAGTGTTGCCATGTATTTATCGAACGGGGACGGCCCCAGGGCGGGTGTCCCATCGTCGGGAGGGCGGGGTCGGGAGGTCCGGACCGGGGGCCGGCAAGGAGCCTAACGTCTGTCTCCCGTCTCCGCTCCGCTGTTTGGCGCCTGCTGCCTGTGGCCCCGCGCGCCTCGTCCGCCGTCGTGACTGTCACACCACACACGCTCAGCTTCGCATACGTTATTTATTGTCTCAACACATCCAAACCAAGGAAAAATTTTTAACATCTTAAATGGAAAAGGAAAGAATGCAAAAAAACAGAGGCTCGGGCCCATCCCCCCCGCATCCGCGCGCGATCCGGGCGCGCGCGCCGAGCGTGTTCGGTGTTCGGGTTTGCGACGACATGCGACATGCGACATGCGTGATGCGAGCCGGGTCCGAGCACCGAGGATCTCTCGGCGGTCAGTGTGGGGGGCCGGGATCGAGCCGCCTCGGGGTGGCGGGCGAGCGGGCGTTTTGAAAAACAGAAAACAGAACACAAGAGGGGCGGGCCGGGGGCCCAGCCCCCCCACTGGGAGTAGAAAATACGCCCAAGGGGGCCAAGGAGGCGGCGCGGGGAAGCAGCTAGCATCAGGTGGGAGCAGGGAAGGAATTAAAAATTAGATATTCTTACCTTCTTGCCCCCCTCCGAGACTGGAGACACCCACACCCCAGTATCAGACCAGGGGGACTGCCCCCCGCCCCCGCTTGCCCTGCCTGCGCAGGATAGCGTGCCCCGAGACGGCGACACTTAGCGAGGGTCACTGCGCAAGGAGGGGGCGTGCGTCGACTTTTTTATTTTTGCTTTATTTGTCCTCTCGGGGGAATGTTCCCTCGGCGCCCATGGCCTTCTGAGGTTTCGTACTAATGACGTCCTTCTTGGCACTTCGGGCGTCGGTGTGTGCGTATCTGTGGTGTCTAATTCCCCCGGTTTTTATTATTTTATTTATTTATTTTTATGCTATATAGGTCGCCACGTTTTGACCCCTCTCACTCATGAAGCGATCTCTGGCTGGCTCCCTTGCCGCGAGCGGTGAAGGTCGCCAGTTCGAAACCAGCAGGGAAGGAATTAGGGTTGGCGGTTGCCTAACGTTGGGAGCTGAACAGTGTTACTAGTGTTAACAGGAACAACAGAACAACAGTGGGGCTCCCCAACCGAACAGTAGCTAACGTTAGGCCGACTGAACAACAGTAAGGAAGGCCTGGCAGTGACCCACGACGATCTCTCTAGTGTCCAGTGCGGGTAATACCCGAAAATACCCGGAAAACCCCAGGTATTTTCGGGTCTACCCGGGTTTTTTTGCCATTTCGTCTGCTGGTGCATCAGACTATCCCGGCTGCTGACCAAGCTCCTCTTGTAGCTCGATCGGTCACACCGCCATCGCCGTCGGGGAGAGGGGGGACGGCACTGCTTCGGCAGCGTGCACCTCGATCCTGTACCGTGTTTGTTATGCCCCCCCCCAATGAACACTCCAGTGAGGGAGGGCGAGACGATCGAGGGGTCCCGTACCATGCGGAATCGACCCTATCCAGTGCTCAAGTGCTCAAGTGCTTGCTGGCCGCTGGAACAACAGTAACAACAGTAACAAACAGTAACAGCATGGGCTGGGATGAACACTTGAACAACGTTGAGGATTTCAGCCAACAATCGCGCAACTGTTTTAGGCCCCAAATTAACGTTAGGCAATCCTAGGAAGGATGGCGCTTGAACAAGGGTTTCCAGGTTTTAGATCAGTATTGGTGTCGGCACACATCCCCATATGAGTGAGGCCAGCGGAGCGCAGTGCCTCTCTCGCAGGCTGATTTTGGCTGCTTTCGAGCTTGTTTTTGTTTTCAGGCTGGGGGCCCAACCCCCTCAGAGCACAGAGGCGGCGGGCGGGCGCCCACTGACCGCCGAGAGATCAAAAACGCTCGGCCCCGCCATCAAGTGATCAAAAGTTCATCCAGAGAAGGGGAGAGAAAGAAGAGAGGCGCCAGTGATGACGAAGCAGAGACTAGCGCAGACGAGAGCAGGGTAGACCCAGGGTAGACCCGGGGACGGGGGAGTCGGAGCAGACGGCATCGGCCGCCGAGGGAACGCGTTAGGAAGAGGCACGAGGAGGGCGGCGACCTCAACCGACTATGGAGGAGACCAGTCGCCAGACGACGCAGGGCAGACGACGGGGAGGTGGAGCAGACGCGCAGGGCGAGACGAGGGAGGGAGCAGGACTTTGCGGAGATCAGCAGGAGGATGTACGAAGAGATTAGGAGCAGCAGGGACCCGAGGGACCATGTGTGGAAGATGGCTAGTGCTAGTCCCCCAGCCCAGCGGGAGGACGACCCCGGCTAGTCGCCGACCACACCCACAAAGAACCCTGCACAAAGATCCGGGGACCACAGTTACTTTTTACCCATCTCACAGTAGAGGTGTCCGTTTTTATTTATCGCCATCGGCATCGCCGCGCCCCGCTCGGGCCGGCGCGCGCCCGGCGCCGCCGCGGGACTGCCTGGCCGCGGGCGAGGGGGAGAAGAAAGAAAGAAAACAGACCGGCCAAGGGAGGGATGGGAGAACGGCACAAACCGCTACCTCACTCACAGGGAGTGTGGTGCGTCCGTCCGTGCGCGAGCGCTCTCCCATGAGCCATGTTCGCCACCATCAGGTTGCCTTCGGGCGTCTGCCTCCCCGTTTTTTTTCTTCTCGCCCAGTCTCGCAGCGCCCGTACCCGGTGTATGAACAAGACGGCAAATCGTTTTTTATTGTCCCAGAATATGCGCTCGACATCCGAGTCCGTCGGAGTTGAGGAGAGCAACCCGTTCGACCTCATATTCCATGAAATTCAAGGAGGTGCTCGAGAAGCACCGCACGCCACGACGACACATTGACTACGGGTTGCTCAAAGAGCGCATCCGAAGCGGAGTCTCGCGCAAGCGTTTCGAGCAGTTGCTCGCTGATGAGGTTCGCGCTGTCGACGGCGAGTTGCAGGCAATGCAGGCGAGTGCAAGCAGCCTGAGTGTGCGCGAGGTGCATTCGTTTGCGGTCCTGAATTACCTGGCGCTTCGCAAAATCGAGAAGAAGGCGGACAAGTGGTTGGCGGGATCCAGCAGTGGCTCGCTTGTCTCGCAATCCCGCCTCTGCATGCTGCTCCTGAATGCTTCGCTTCCGGTCGAGCTTGCACGCGCGCAGCGAGGCGAGGAGGTGGGGTGCAGCGCGAGCACAGGGGGTGGGTGCGAGGAGAACTGCCCCGTTTGCCTCGACGCCTACAATGCGACGGATCACATCGTCCTGACTCAGTGCGGACACCGCTTCTGCTACTCGTGCATGGCGGAGTGTGCCCTCGCCGGCTTCGAGAGCTGCCCCGTCTGCCGGAAACCGCAGTCGCTCGACCCAACGCTCGCCGCGATCGACAAGCTCCTCGGCACACATGCGGGAGGCAAGTACGACCCGCTCGCAGCGCCGCTGCCGACGGCAGCAGAGGAGGCGGCAGCAGCCAAGCGGCTTGAGGCGGAGGGCGGCTCGGCGGCGGGTTCCGGCGGTGGCGGTGGCGGCGAGCTGAGAGTGCTCACCTGGAACCTGGCCGCAATCTGCTTCCCCTTCAAGGCCCCTTCCTGGCAAATCGCGCTTGGCGTGCTGCTCGGGTGAGAGCGATCCCCTTCCAACCTTTGTCTGCGCGTGACGCCGCCACCGACTGCACCACTGTCCCTCGTGACGCCGCCACCGACTGCACCACTCTCCCTCGTGACGCCGCCACCGACTGCACCACTGTCCCTCGTGACGCCGCCACCGACTGCACCACTCTCCCTCGTGACGCCGCCACCGACTGCACCACTGTCCCTCGTGACGCAGGCTCGACTGGGCGGACTCGTACGGCGACGTCGCCCTCGACGCGCAGTCGTCGCGCGCCAAGGCTCGCTGGGCGCAGCAGGCGGCCTACATCCGGTCCTCCTCCGCCGACCTGGCGCCTGTGGAGTCTGCTCCACGACATGAGGACACGAGCAGTGATTGTGATTCTTTGTTGGTCTCACTCTAGGTGCTGCTGCAGGAGGTGTCCGGCAAGGCGACGCTGCGGGCGCTGCTCGGCGCTCTCCCCGACTACGAGGCCGCATACGTGCCGTGGCGGCCCACCTACTTCGCCGTCCAGCTGTTCGCCCTCGCCGGTGAGACACCATGTGGCCTCTCCCCGCAGCGGGCCGCTCTCAGTCGCTCTGCCGCAGTCTCTACGCGCCTGCAGACGCACATTTGACACGTCGTCCCGTCCCCCAGTCCTCCTCGTCGCCTCCGCAAAGCTCCTCCTCCTCGAGGCGTTCTGTGCGGCGGCGGCGCTGCCGCTGCCGCTGCCCGCGCACCCGCTCGCCCGGCTGGTCCTCATCGCGGCGGTCTGCGCCACGCGCTGGCGCCACTCCGTAGTGACGCAGTACCTCCTCGGCTCGATCGCCGGCCAGGCGAGCCAGCAGCCCGACCCGCCGCCGCTAGCGCCCGCCACCGCCGTTTGCCCTCCCGGCCCGTCCTCTCACCCCCTCTGGTGCCGGCGCGAGCAGCTCGTCGTGCTGCGCCGGCGCGGCTCGCCCGCCTCCGCCTTCGTGCACACCGCTTTCGACGCGTTCGTCGATGCGTGCTCCGCAGAGACGAGCAGCCCGCTCAAGCAGCCTGCTGGAGCCGCGTCCCCCGCCGTCAAGCTCCCCGCCTGGCAGTCGTGGCTCCTCGGGCAGTTCTTCCGGCTCCGGCCGCGTGGCGTGCAGGAGGTAGTCGTCGCCCTCGCACAGGGCGACGTGCCGGCCTGCCGCCTCACCCTGCTCAACACGCACTTGCCGCACCTCTCGTCCAACAGCACCCTCGTCCGGTACCTCGCGCGCCGCATCCACGCCGCCGCAGCCGCCACCTCGTGCATCTTTAGCGGCGACCTCAACCCCGACAAGGGCAAGCCACTACGCTCGCAGTTCGGCGCCATCTTCCAGTGCGGAGCGACTCTCGGCGAGGAGACTGGCGCGCTCGTCACTTGGGATACCGCCAACCCGCTCATCCGTGGCAAGAAGTGCAACCCGGACGCAGACATGCAGCTCGACTTTTGCTTTCTGCACCAGCCCAACGAGCCGCGCCCGCTGCTGAGCCGCATGAGGTCGTCCTTGCTGCGCCGCGAGGCCTTCTTTCTCCCCGGCGCGCCTCTGTCGGACCACATCGGCATCCTGACCACGTTTGAGCTGAGGGAGTGAGGCACGAGAGTGAAGACGCCTTGGCTGTTCTAGTATGCCGGTTCGCGGGAGCTGTGGGACCTCTCTCCGAGTCTGCAGAGCGCCCGCAGCTGCACGTGCTCCCTCCATTCTAGCGGCGGGGAGGAGAGAGAGAGGAGGGGAGAGAGAGAGGGTGGGGTCTGGGGTGAGGTGAGGGGCGGGGGCGCGTCGCAATGGCCAATTGCGGAATTTCGGCCCTCGCCCCGGCCCATCATGCCTCATCGCAGCGCTCCGCGTGCGAGCTGCGACCGTATTTATGACAGCTCCGCTCATACAATACACTCATTGCACATTGGACAGGTTAGTCGTGAATCGACGCACAGGAGAATAAAAATAATGACGCGCGCCGCCTGAGCTGAGACCGTGAGGGCTAAGACGTGAGAGCGACGAGCTGGTGGCTGGAGAGCGCATACGCAAGGCCAAAGCAGCTCCTCTGCCGGCTCACGCGGTCGACGTCCATCGCGAAGGGGCGGTGGTGGCCCAGTTCCCGTCTTGGGAAAGGCGGGTGGGCGGGATGCGGGCGCGTTTGGACGGCGGCCCATCCTCCGTCATCACGTGCTCGCCCTCCTGCTCCTCCGCATCCGACGGCGATTGGTCGACGGCCATCGGGGCAAGCGCGATCTCGTCGCTCCCCGGCAGCAGCATCGCTAGGTCGGAGCTGCTCACGGCCTCATCGCCGCTTGCTGTAACAGACGCATCCGAGGAGGTTCCTGCTGACCCTGCGGGCTCGTCTACTCATGCCTCGACCTGCAACTCGGCCGAGAGCGCACCCAGTTTCGATGCGGGCTCCACCGCCGCTGCCGCGGCGAAGGATGCTGCTGACTCCACCACTGCTTGATCTTCGAGCTCACCGAGCTCCGCCTTGGGTGCGGCCTCTGTCACCGCCACGCAGCCCCCTTTTTCGAGCTCCCCCTCCACCTCGAGATCGCGCTCCGTCGCCAGGTTGGATGCGCAAACAGCCTCTGTAGGCTCGAGAGCGGCCGCCTCGAGCTGAGTCTCGTCCGCCGCAGCCTCATTCTCCGCCAGGTCGCCTGCCGCCTTCTCCCCCATCTCCACCGCGTCTGGCTCGGCCGCCACGTCCTCCAGCGCCGACTCGTTAGTCGCTCCCTCCCACTCCATCTCCTCCACCGCCTCCGTCACCGTTCGGCCCTCGTCAGTGATGGCCTGCTGATCGCCCGTGACGTCAACAGCCATCTCGGAAGCGACGCAGTCGGAGTCGGCACCTTTGGGCCTGGCGAGGGACGGCGCCACCGACGGCGACGCGGCCTCATCGCCCGGCTTGGCGAGAACGCCCAGCGCGGCGGCGATCGACGCGGCCTCCTCAACCGCCTTCGCCGCCGCAGCAATCGCAGCGGTTGCGGTCTCGCCCTCCCCGCCCGTCTGGGGTGGGCGGCCGGCGGATACGACAGCGGTGCCACCGCCCGCCACAGCCACAACCTCCTCACGCGCCCGGGCAGCCTCAGCCGATGCCGCCGCCGCCGCCGCCGCCTCGATCTCCACTTGCGCCGCGCGTGAGATGGCCGTGGCCGCCTCTACCGCTTCTGCGGCGGCGGCGACCGCCGCTGCGTTGCCCCCGGCCTGGCCCTCCCTCACCTCGGCTTCGGCCTCGGCCTCCTCCTGCGCGAGCGCCGCCATCGCCACCGCCTTCAGCGCCTCCGCAGCGTCGGTCTCCGCAGGCGCGTTGCTGCCGCCGCTCAGGCTGCTACTGCTCTCGGTGTCGCTACCACCACCGCGCTCCGTTTCATCGCTCTCGTCCTCAGCGGGCAGCGGCTCGGGGCACAGCAGCCTCGGCCGCTTGTTCGGGGGCTGGATGTTGCACTTGCCACCCTTGCCCCCGTGCTTGAAGCCACGGACGCAGTACGGGTTGCGCTCGCACTGGCCCACGGCCGCCGGCTTGCCGTCTTGAGGTGCTCTGACCTGCTCTGCCGTCTCCACGTCCACTGCATCGTCCTCCGGCTTGGGGATGCGGCAGAGCCCGCCGAGCCCGCCGTGCTTGTAGCCGCGCGTGCAGCGCGGATCCTTTTCGCACGTGTTAGTGCAATAGGGGCTGCGGCAGATGCTGGCGGCCGCCTTCTTGGGCTGACCGCAGTTGCGGCAAGTATAGTGCGGGCCCGAGGTCGCCACCGGACGCGGCTCCGGCTGCTCCGACCCCTCCACTCGATCCTCCAAGGGCACAATGCGGCACTTGCCGCCCTTGCCCAGGTGCTTGAAGCCGCGCACGCAGAGCGGGTGGCGCTCGCACTGTCCGAGCGCCTCGTATCGGTTCGGCACCGCCTCCTCCTCGTCGTCGTCCCAGTCCTCCTCCTCCGCTGCCGCCGCCCGGGCGGCGGCGCGGTACTTGTCGGCGGCGGCGAGCGACGAGCCTCCGTAGCAGGGGCACTTGGAGGCAGGCTGCAGCTTGCCAGCTCCGCAAAAGCGGCAGGCGTACTTGAAAGTTTGCTTGGGTGGCGAGGGGGGGCGAGGCGGGGACAATTTGACCGGCAGCCGGAGAGAATCGATCCCGAGCCGCTCGTTGCGCATCGGCGGCCAGCCACCGAGGAACCGCACCTTGTACTGAATCGTCGCGCCGACGGGGGCGAACGTGCTCACCGCCCCCTCAATCACCTCCACAATCTTGGCGGAGTGCCAGGCGCCGTCCGTGCGCGAGCGGGCACGAACAAGGATCCCGACCTGCGAGAAGGGGGGGGGGGGGGAGAAACGTTACGGCGGGGGCTCGCGGCGGCGGGGCCTTGAGCAGGGGGGGGAGCATTTAGGGGGAGGGGGGGGGGAAGGGCACGCACGTCAAGGTCGTACTCCGACGGCACGCCGAGGGACGATTTGCAGCCGTTGGAAACGAACGCGACCGAGATGCCGCCCTTGCCGCCCTCTTGCTCGCTCTCCTCCAGCTCTCGCTCCAGATCGCTGTCATCATCGCTCTCCTCTTCGTAGCGCGGGGGAGCGGCGGGTGGAGCCTTTTGCTGCACGCACGCGCGCCGCGCTTCCTCCCACGACCCAAAGGCACCGAGCGGGATCTCCACACCGCCGTGCTGTACCGTCGCCTCAAACCGCCCGTCCCGCTCACGGATTCGCTTGATGCCAACGTGGCCCTGTTGCGCGAGCCTCACGCGCTTGCGCTTGATGTGCGCCCGGTGCGCCTCCAGCAGCGCCTCGAGAGAGACGTCCTCGGCACGCCCCGGCCTGACAATTGAACGGCCACCAAATGTCCTCTTGATGGCATCCACCTGGCGCGAAGTCGCGATGCTCGCCATACGCAATGAATGCCCGCGGCTGCGCAGCAAAGGGGAGTGGACAAGGAGATTTGCCACTCCTTGGCAGGTCCAATCGAGGTGCTTCCGTTACGACGGCGGGCGCAACATGTGGGAATGGGCGGCTAGGTGTCAACCGGGTTGCCGCCAAAACAGTCCATGCTCTCTGGTTGTGCTCGCGGATTTCACAGTGTGACCACGCCGCACGCGCATGGGCACGGCGCTCTCCGATGTCACGGCTCACGGCTCACGCGTCACGCGTCACGGCGCACCGAACGAACCATAGCGCACAGGCACACAGCTCTTGCGTCTCGGTACTCGGAACAACGGAAGTGTCGTGCGTCGAGTTGTGTCCTTAGACCTTACCTTACGGCTTTATCAAGGTACGTGGCTGGGTTCACAGCGATTGTAGGGAAGTGTCGAAAACACGAAGTGTCGAAAACACTTGACGGTCGCGGCCTTCCGACTCGCGCCTCCGCCTCACTGGCACTATTGTAGCCCTGGCCGGTGCGCGTGCGGAGTTGAAGTTCCGGAGTGAAAATTCGAACGCGTTCTCTCACGGTGACCAAAAAATGTCCACCTAGAGGCACCTCCGGAGGCAGGCCGCCGCAATCCGGCGACACAGCTCCAGCTGTCGAACTGACCCGCAGCTCCTCTCAGAGCGGGAACTGTGACAAAAGTTGACTGAGGCGGTTGTCAGGAATCATCATACGGATCACATGGTGGCTCTCTCATGACGGGAGACCGCCCGACCACTCCTGGGTGGCACTGCCACCGGTGTCGCTCGACGTCCTGTCGACAGCGTGCCGACAGCGACACAGACCATGTGGGACGCGTCGAGTATCGACCTCTACTGCTTACCCAGCCTTCGAGTGTATCCTGACTGTGGTCCCACACCCACTGGTGTCCATCTCAGAGACCGCAGGAGGTCATGAGGGTCGATGGGAGTGCCAACCCCACAATGCCTAAAAACACCCAGCCCAGTACTGAGATACTCATACTGTAATAGCAAGGAATGGCGAATGCGGCAATGCGCTGTCATCCGCTGAGCGCTGACGTATAGAATCGGTAACCCAAGCAAGATGAAAACATATACCGTATATGTTTTCATCTTGGCACTTGGGATAACGGTACACTCGACGGTCGCTCGACCTCGCCACGGAACACCCCAAACGCCAGAGACTACTGTAATTATGGAATGGACGTGTATGGTCGCCGGCGTCTTGTGCCGTCGTGGGTCGTGGCGGGCGGCGCACTCAGTCCACACGCGCGCACACACCACCGCCTGCAGCATCCTGGGCGGTGGACGCGGCTGGAAGAGACAACGGCGTTCGCGAGAGGGCATGGATTAGAGCGTGGAGGCGTAAGACGATGTGTCGCGTGGGACTCCTGTGGCCGGGGAATGCGGCTATTTTTTGCCCTGCTCCTCGATGGCTCCGAGGAGGGTCGCCTGCGCCTCGGAGAGCACCTACAATCCCCCACGCGCCAGAGGGCTCAAAGGGGCACGCCGGGGCGCGGGAGGGGCCACACTCGTGGCTCGGCGCCCGATTCGCGTCCGCCAGCGTAGCCATCGCCTCCTCCTCGCGCCGCCGCAGCTCGCGCAAAGCCTTTTCCGGGTCGTCTCCGAGCGAGACGGGCGCCGGCGCCGCAACCTTCGCCGGCGCCGGGCGGCCCGTCGCCGCCGCGGCGTCGCGCCACACGCCATCGCTTCCCTGGACGAAGGCGGGCTCGCGGGCCGACCCGCCTTCCCCCGCCTCCTTCCGCTTCTTCACAGGACCGCTCAGCGCGAGGAAGGCGACGCCACCGAGCAGCGCGCCGTCAACGAGTGTCGTGACTGCGCCGCCGATGCCCTTGCTTTGCTTCGGCGGCGCGGAAGCCCTTCCGACCGGCCGCGCCGCGACCTTCTTCTTCGACCCGCCCGGACTGCGGCCCGGCTTGACTCCGCCCTTGTCCAGCACCGCCTTCCTTGCGGCCGGCGCAGCCGCCTTCCGCGCAACAGGAGGCGCTATTCCCCTCTCGACGGGCCTCAGAGCCGGCGCGGCGGCCGGCCGCTTGGTTGCCCGTTGGGCCAGCCTCGCCTGGGGCGGCGGAGAAGCGGCGAGCGTCTCCTGCCGCGGTGCAATCGGCGGGGCGGCCCGGGGGACCGCGGCCCGGGGGGTGGCCGCCTTCTCCGCCGCCCTCTCCGCCGGCTGGCTCGCCCGAGTCTGGCTCGCGCTCGTCTTTGAGGCTTCGCGCGGCGGCGGAGCGATCTCTGTCGACGGAGCCGTACCGCCGCGCCGCGCCGCAGCACGCGCCTCACGAAGCGCCGCCTCCGATGTGGCGCGGCGCGCACCTCGCTTCGCCGCGCTCGCCTCCTGCGCCGCCGCCGCCGCCGCCTTTTCCGCCTGCGCCTCCGCCTCGGCTTGCTTCGCCTCCTCCGCCTCTGCGCGCAGCCTCGCCTGCAGCACGCTCACAGCGGTCAAAGAGGCTGGCTCTCCCCGTCCCACCCTCCTCCGCAGCCGCGCGCCAGCGCACGGCTGCGGGCGAGGGCCGCGCCCGAGCGAGCCTCCTCAACCGGGCGAGGCGCCGCCGCTGCTTTGGTGGGAGCAGCTTTGGCGGGAGCAGGTTTGGCGGCAGCCTACTCGCGAGCCGAGGAGAGCGTGAAGGAGCGCTGCTGAGCTCCTCGCGCCCCTTCGCTCGGCGGCGGCGCCCTCTCCGCCGCCGCCGCCATGGCCGCCCTCGCCTTCGCCTCCGCGGCCTCGAGCTCGCGAGCCTCCGACTTTGCCCTCTGCGACGACGCCCTCGCCACCGCCGCCTCCTCCTTGGCGGTCTGGCGCCGAGCCTTGGCCGCCAAGTCGGCCTCCTTAGCAGCGACACGCGCGGCCGCCTTCTCCTCGGATCGCGCCGCGCGGGACGATTCCCTAGCCGCAAGGGACGCTTCCCGCATTGAGGCCTTCTGCTCTGCCTGCTCTGCCTTGGCCGCCGCCTCGGCCGCCTTGGCCTTGGCCGCTGCGAAGGCGCGTGCCTCCGCTGCATCACGCTCGGCTGCGGCGACGGCTGCCAGCGTCGCCTCACGAGCAGCTTTGGCCTGAGCCACCTTGTCTTCAGCGGATGCCTGCTTTGGCTGAGCGCGAAGCTGCCTCCTGATCTCTGCGACGGCCCGCGCGTCGCCCGCCGACAGCCGAGCATCGGGCGCTTCGACCGCGACCCGCGCCAAAGCATCTGGGTGTGGCAAAACCCAGAGGAGCGACGCGGCGATGGCCGCGGCAGTGCGGATGATCATGAGATGACTATATGATGTGTGTATATGGTGAGATGACAGATGAAAGCCACAAAAAAGAAAAAGTTTTTCCGGATGAGGCGTCGCGCTCTCGCCCGGCAACCCTAGCCAGGCCTCACGCGCTGGCCGCGACCGCGACCGCTCGAGCTGTGTGTCTTGTGAGCTTGAGCACTTGAGCACTGGATAGGGTCGGTTCCGCATGGTACGGGACCCCTCGATCGTCTCGCCCTCGCTCACTGGTGTGTTCATTGGGGGGGGTCATAGTGAGCTTGTTTGTGTCTGTGTGTCGCTCGTGCGTGTCGTCATCATCTGTCCAGCGTCCACCCATACCGCGTTGGTGTCCAGTCCGAGCCTGACTGTTCTTCACCTTCCTACATACATACATACATACCGAACTGCCCGTCAGACATGTCGGAATTGTCGGAGAATAGCGACTAGCACACCTCTGAGTCCCAGAAACCCGCGAGGAGTCACACAGGTCCACCTGTGTGGTGCACGCCCTGCGAGCGGGGCGGGGTGCGCACTGTCCCTCTGTGTTCGTGTGCGTCGCCCATCTCTCCCTGGAGATGCCATTGTTCTCTCTATTTATGTATGTAAAGAGTGAGGGCAAAGATTTCGTCAGGGAGGGGGGAACTACTGGAATAGCACGCTCAGCACCCAGCTGGCCAGCACGCGCGGCGCGGGCAAGATCGCAACGACGAAAAGCGAAGCGCACAAGCGCGCAGATGCTGGTGCGTGGTCGTGCTGCCTTGTCCCTTGGTCCGAGCATCATGCATGTCTGCCGTTTGGTCCGCTCTTTCTGAGTTAAGACCTATGCGACCGACTACGAAATACAGCAACCCACACGGGGACCTCCCGACACAAGGCACACGTGCGGTGCAAAGATGTGGCAAGCTGAAAGCGCCCGACCGGGCAGGGGGGCGCACACACAGACGGGATTGGCCACGAGGAGAGGAGAGACGAGCAGCGGCTGTCGGCCACTTGCACGCAGCTCCAATCCCGCGGCTCAAGCCCGGCACCGGCCGTCGACAAGCTGGCGTCCGGTTGGCGGCGGCCGCCGACCCGGGCGGAGACCCTCAGCCGCACGGCTACTTCACGGCGAGACGCGCGCGCCCTACTTCATCGTGTTGAGGTACGCGATCACGTCCGCGCGGTCCTTCTCCGCCTTGAAGCCCGGGAAGGCCATGTTGGTTCCCTTGATGTACTTCTTCGGGTTGGCGAGGTAGTCAAACATGGTCTGCTCGGCCCACATGATGCCCGACCCCTTGTTGGCGGCCGTGTACTTGAAGCCATCGACCTGGCCCGATTGCCTCCCCATCACGCCAAACAGGTTGGGTCCCTGCTTGTTCGGCCCGCCCTCGTTGCACGTATGGCACGTCGCGCACTTGGCCTTGAAGAGCTTGGCTCCGCTATCGGCGTCGCCGTCGCCGGGGGCGCACGTTTGGCTGGCCTTCTTTCCCATTGTTCTCCTGGGTGGGGGCGACGCGGCGAGTAAGAGCTGGCCGCAGCGGATGCGGCTGCGCTTTTGCAGGCGCGGCGGTGGCGGCGCAGCGTCTGGGGCGGGAGGAAGGGGAGGCGGCCCGGGAGGTGACGGTCGTGCGGTCTTGCTGGCGGGAGGAGGGCGGCGGCAGCGGCGGTGTCGTTTGCGACGAGCGGCGAGGGCGCGCGTGGCCGTGGGCTGTAATAGGTAGAAGGCCTGGAAAGATCGCCTCGTTGCACGTCTACCAGAATCCTTGCGTCCCCAGAAGAAATCGGTGCGCCCATGTTCTTTGTCCCTCCCTCCCTTGCGCGCACCGCGCTGCGAGCCTGTCGTGTCCCTTGTCAGGAGCAGGAGAGCCCCACCTGTCCCCCTGATCGTCCTTCCAAAATCCTGCTCGTGCAGGTGGGGACCCTGTCCTCGTCCCATCCCTCGTTTGGCGGGTCTGTTTTCTTTCTTTCTTTCTTTCCCTCCCTTGGGTTGTGTGTTTTCTTTCTTTCTTCCTTTGTTTGAAGGAATACAACCCCTGCCTAGATGAGTACAGCTTAAAGAGTACCCCCCGTGTGGGTCCCCGCATCTTTAGCTTGTGAGCCAGGAAAGAACAACGTTGAGGATTTCAGCCAACAATAGCGCAACTGTTAGGCCCCAAATTAACGTTACTCGTTAGGCAACCCTATTAAAAATTCGCCTTCCCTCTCCTCTCTCTCTCTCTCTCTCTCTCTCTCTCTCTCTCTCTCTCTCTCTCTGTGTGTGGTAGTGCCAGTAAAAAAAGAAAGAAACAGACAACCCAAGGGAGGGATGGGAGAGGACGGCACGCCGCCACCACACAGGGATTTTAAGGAGAGGGTTGTGATGCGCTAGCCGTCGCCCACCCTTGGGCGTCCGCCTCTTCCTATCTCCCTTCGCAGTCCCTCGCCGATTCTCGCTACAACCTTCAAGCCACCTCGCGGTCGTCCCACTCTCTTCGTTCTCTCTCTTGTCGCTTCTTCCTCTGTCGCGTCGCTCTCCTCCGCCTCGTTCTGCGACGGCGCCGCCGCCTGCCGATCCCTTGCTCTCGCTTCTTCTCTCGCCTTTCGTCGCAGCTCTGCCCTGGTGGCGGCATATTTTGGCCCCTCGAGTTTATCGAGCTCTCCTCGCGCAAGGACGACTCTTCTGACGCCCACTCCGATCATTTGCCGCCAAGTCATATCGTTGCTCAGGTCCACTCTCTCTTCGAACACTTGTACCTCCACAGATGATGTTGGCGCTGGGGTCCCCTTCGGGTGTATCGTGACAGCTGCCAACGGGATTACCACAGGTGTGTCGCCCTCCTCGGGGTCGTCTTCCGGCTTCCTCCCGTTCGGCTCTACGTTCAGTACGTTCAGAAAGAAAGAAAGAAAGAAAACACACAACCCAAGGGAGGCGTCATTCGTCATGAAATTCTTTTTCCAGTGCGCGCCAGTCCCGTGCCCAGTGTTGTGCGAGGGAGTTTTGTTGTAAAATTCTTTTGTGTACCTGTGTTAGTGCCAGTTCAGCTAAAATTCTTTTTCCTTCCTAACGGCGTGTCGTGCGTGCATCTTCGAGGGGCGGCCGGGCCCCCCCGGGCGTGGTACTCAGGATGAGTGAGCCTCGTAAGATGACGCTAGATCGCGCTGCCATCGACGGTCTGCTGGGAGTCTCCGCATTGCGGGCGCGCATCAACACCGCTGGCAGCGCAGAACCGGCTACACCGCCCGCGCAACCACGCCCTGGGAGGCCAATGACACTCGCCCTCGGCGCCGACGACGCTTTGGTGATGTCGCTCCGGGAGCGTTTCGCAGCCCTCGCCGCCGCCTCGGCTTCCAACGTGGCTTCTCAGACCGCTGCAGGCGAGACCGCGTTGGTCTCTATCCGGGAGTCGGACGCCACCTCCGACTCGGATAGCGAGGACGACCTGCGGGCCGCCCTGGAAGAAGCGGCGGCGGCGCGTCGTGAGAAGGAGGCGGCGAGGCGCGAGCGGGAGGCCGCCAGCGAGGCGGCGACGGTGGCCACTTTGAATGCCGTGGGTGTGCACCCCAGCCGTGGCGGGCAGGTGGGCGGGAGGGAAGCCACGGCGCCAGACGAGGCGGAGGCGGAGGCGGAGGCGGAGGCGGCGGCGGAGGATGCGGCAGCGGCGGAGGATGCGGCGGAGGAGGCGCCGGCGGAGGCGGAGCGAGCGGCGGAGGCGGTCGAGGCAGCGGCGGCGGTGGCGGCGGCGGAGGCGGTGGCGTGTGGTGGTGGGTCGTCTCTGTGGACGGGCGACGACGGCCTCGTGAGCTGCCGCTACGCGAGCGCGACGCACGTGGGCGGGAGCGGGCATGACGCGGCGAAGGAGAACCAGGCCGCCCTCCCGTCGCCCTCCCTCCTCTCCCTCTCCACTCCCGCCCCTCCACACCGCTCTCGCGCCGCTTCACGCCAGGACGCCACCTTCGTGGCCAGCTGCGGCGGCGGCACCCTCGTCTGGGGCGTGCTCGACGGGCACGGGCCGGAGAACGGCCGCATCGCGTCGTGGGCGGGCGCGGCGGCGCTCAAGGAGTACTTTCTCGGCAACGTCGCCGCCCTGGAGGAGGAGCCGGAGGAGGCGATGACGAGCGCCTTCAAGGCGGCCCACGACGGCATCGGAGCGGCGCTTCGCGCCAAGTACGGCCCCGGGAACAGCGCGGAAGACGGCACCTCGAGTAGCCTCGAGTCTGTTAGTGTAGAGGCAAGCCATCCATCGGAAGGCAGCGCCCTCCCACGCACCGCCGAGAGGCGCGGGGGCGAGGCCCCCCCCCCGGGCGGGCCCCCGGCGCCCGTCTTGAGCGGCCTGCGCCGTCGTCGCCCGCGCAGGCTACCTCCTCGGGGCAGACGGCGAGCCCATCGACGGCGGCACCACCGCCACTGTCCGCCAGCACCCTCGCCGGCCTGCTGAGGCCGTTGCGCTCGCATTCAGGGGTGCGCGGTCCCGCGGTGCGTAGGTGGCTGCGCTCGTCCAGGGGCACGTCCTCGTCGTCGCAAACGTCGGCGACTCGGACGCGCTCCTCGGCGGCCCTCCAGCCCGGCGGCTGCGACTCTGAGGAGTTTGACTCTGAGTCTGAGTCTGAGGACGGTTAGGCGGCTTCCTGCCCGATGGCGCGATCGGTTTCGAGCAGCTCAGCACAGGCGGTCACGCCGTCACGCGCCCCTCTTCTATCCTCACCCTCGCTCAGTAGACCCCGCAACACTCCTCCCCCCCCCCGCGCCTCCCCGGCAGACCACACGCCGACGAGCCTCGAGGAGGTGGCTCGGCTCGACGAGGCGATGGCCGCCGCCCGATGCGTCTACGACACGGGGTGCGAAGAGGCGCGGCCACTACCACGGCCACCACCTCCGGCTTCACCTCCTCCTCCCCCCCCAGTAGTAGCCCTCTCCCCCTCTCCGAGTCACGTGTGGCCACACATCCACTGAGACGCACCCCACGCCTCTCTCCGGCTACCTGCAACGACGCGGCAGCACACCGCCCGGCCGCCGCCCCGCAGCAGCAGCACCGAGGCAGGTCCAGACATGCATGTCCAGACACCTAGGTCCAGACACCTAGGTCCAGACTTGGCAGCCACCCCTCTTCAGGAGGAGCCGATCGACGTCTTCCGGCGAGGCGCGGGAGGGGAGTGGGAGCTCGACCCCGACTCGCTCGCTCGAGTGGACGAGATCGGCCTCGGCTTCAAGACGGCGCCCCTCTCTGCACCACCTCTCCTCTCCCAAGCACAGAGCGTCTCGCGTCCACGGCTGCGCCCGCCATCACCCTCCCGGGCCCCGGGTTGTTCCCCCCCCCCCCCCCCCCCGCCCTTCTCCCCCATTCCCGAGACCCGCTCACTTCTCTCGCCTTCTGGCCCATTCCGACCCCTGTCCCGCCCCTGTCACCGCGTGGCAGGTGCGGGAGGACCGCCCCACGACCATGATGCTGATGCCGTCCGAGACTGGCTTCCCGCAGCAGAGCCTCGCCGTCACTCGTGCCCTCGGAGACCACTTCTTCCAGCAGCACGGCGCGCCGCACACGCTGGGAGTGGGGGGGGAGAAGCGCGGCCGCCACCACCGCCGCCGCCGCCACCGCCGCAGGCGCCACGTGGGAGCCGTCGGTGGCCTCGCTCGACCTCTTCGACGTGGCGGGGCAGCTCGAGCAGGTTCAAGCAGTAGTTAATTAGTAGTTAATCAGCAGCTCGAGCAGGCGTGTGGCGCCGTCGCGGGCGCGAAAGGGGAGTGCGGGCGGCCGTCCGCCTCACCGCCGGGTCTGCGTGTCCGACTATAGCAGGACTATAGGTCTGTCTAGAGTTCTGGCCTGCTCGGGCTGGACGGAACAAGAGTAGGGCGTGATGAGGGTGGCGGGAGTCACAGCAAGAAGAATGCGATACGTTAGGTCGTGCTCCTGCTCGGCTCGGACGGGCTCTGGGACGTGTGGGACTACACCGACGTCCTCGACTTCGCCATCTCGGCGGTGAGCGACGCGCAGACCGAGGCGGCCGTCGCGCGCTCCGTCGGTGGCGTCGTCGAGGCGACACGCGAGCGGTCGCAGGAGTATTTTGGCGAAGCCGCCGACAACATCGCCGCGATCCTCGTGTCCTTCGACATCACTCCCACGAGCAGCGGCCGGAGGTCCACCCGCTGAGCGGGGCGTGACTCTGCAGCCACTGGTCTTCTGCCGCCGGTCCGAGTACGGTGCGGAGATCGGGGCTCGAGATCGGGGCAGGGGCCTGCTCTACTCCGCGCTATGGAGGCCCTGCCCCTCGTGGCCCGGGGCCACGGGGCAGGATAGCGCGCGGAGTAGAGTGCATTTACCCTTTCGCCTTTGATTCGTGAGTTTCCGCCCCGCCTCCGTGACGGAGAGAGACGCGTGCTCGAGCGGGCCTCTCGCTCCACAGAGCGCAGAGATCACCCCTCCCTCCACACCGCACCGACCACCGTCTCCGCGTCTGCGCATGGAACGACGAGCCTAGCGACGAGCGTGCGGTGGAGGTGTGCGGAGAGACCGCTGACCGGAGCCTGTGGCTGTGGGGGCCGGGCTAAATCCTAAAAAGCCGTGCGTACTCCTAGAGTCCTACGACGTACGCGGATTGCGAGTAGAGTGGGCTCTGGAGAGATCGATGGAGAGACGCATATGCCCACAGCGACTGCGCGAGAGGCGCGCGGTCCGCCGCGGACCCACACGCACCCGACGTCCCCGCCGACCCCGACCCCGCGAGACGTCTCCCGAAAAATATCCACCCCACCCAGACACACATCTTAGATGGCTTCGGGATTGAAGGTGTCGGCCCTCCTAGGATCGAAAGGCGGCCACGCCCCGTGCGCGCGCAACCGCGGCCTACACAGCGTGCACACCCCTTGCCATAGCGCTACACACGTCCATGCGCGTCAGAGGTTGTCGTCGAGAAAGGAGACGACATCACCCCACGCCATGGTGCCGCTCTCCTTGGCGGCTCCACACGTGGCATGCAGGTCCTCCTCGAACTGCGCCCACCCGTACTCCTCCCGCTCTGCCTTGGAGAACATGAGCTTGTACGTCTGCTTTGCGTCGAGCCGCCCATTCTCAGCAGCGAAATCGAACGTGCTCTGAAGCTCGCCGCGCCGCGCGTCGCCAAACTCAAAGTGCGGGTACGCCGCGGCAGGTGGCAGAGCCGCTGCCAGCGAGCCCACGCCCAGTCCCTCGCCCTCCTCCTCCAGCTCGCCGTCCTCGAGCAGCGCGGCGGGCGCGGCGGCGTCCGCGGCGGACTCAGCAACCTCGGCATCGGCGGCGGCGCCGCTAGAGGCGGCCGCCGGGGCGGCGGTCGCGACCTTTTCCTCCTCCTCCTCATCGGAGGAGCCGCAGTCCGAGAGCGGGAGCACCAGTGACATTATGCGCCAAAGAATTTTAACTTTCACAACACTGGGCACAGCGGGCCTCTTTTGCCGGCTCCTCCCTCTGCGGCTACGACTCCGAGGCGCCGGAGGAGATCCAGCACGAGGCACTCTTCCGGGCTTGCCGCGCATACGGCCTAGGCGAACGATTCCTGGCTGCGGCGCAAGAGGAGGGCACCTTTGCCGAGTGGCTCGACGAGCTGCCGTTTGAGGTGGCCGCGGCAACCGCCCGGCTGCTCAAGCACCACGCGCGCTCCGGCGCGTGGATCGAGATCCTTCCCGGCAGCCCCAGCCAGGCCCGGCGCGCTGGCCGCGACCGCGACCGCGGCCCTCACTTGAGCCCGAACTGCCCGCCGGACATGTCGGAACCGTCCGACTATAGTGACTAGCACATCTCTGTCCCAGAAACCCGAGGAGTCACACAGTCCACCTGTGTGATGCACGCCCTGTGAGCGGGGCGGGGTGCGCACTGTACCTCTGTGTTCGTGCGTCGCCCATCTCTACGGGAGATGACTGCTCTATTTATTTATTTACACTGGGCACGGGACTGGCCAAAAAAGAAAGCTGACGTGCGCAAGGCCAAAATACGCCGCGAGGAGAGCGGAGCTGCGCCGAGAGGCGACAGAAGCCGCGAGAGCAAGGGATCGGCAGGCGGCGGCGCCGTCGCAGAACGAGGCAGAGCCGCAGAGGACGACGGGGTAGGAGAGAGAACGAGAGAGAAAGAGCGACGAAGAGTGGGAAGAACGCGAGGTGGCATGAAGGTCGCTCCGAGAATTGGCGAGGAAACGCTCCTGTACACTCTACATCCTCTACACCCTCCCTCGGCTCAGATTGGGACAGATTGCATAGCTCTATCACCCCAAATTGACCCTATTCTGACTCGCAAAAGAAATCTGACTATCTCGCCAGGTGTCTAACCCGCCATAAAAACGGTATGTCGGTGGAGTGCTCTCTACTGCCGCGGCGTCCCTGTCGGTTCGGAGGCGCCCGGCGGCCGCGCGCTTGGTGCCGACGTCGACCGGCTGCTCTCGCGGCGCCGAGACGTGCGGCTTTGGTCACGTCTCGCGCGCTGCGAGGTGTCTTTTGGCATGTGAGCGCTTGCCAAAGACGCCAGCAAGCTCGCCTTCCTTGCCTGCGGCCGCGGGCGTGCGGGCGGGCCCGCCAGGCTCGGCGAAGCTCGGCGCGGGTCTTCGAGCTCGCCGCCGGCGACGAGCCAGCATGGCTCGTCGCTCGACGGGAGCCTGTCCAGCATGCTCTGGGCATGCTGTACAGCATCGCCAACTCTCTGGGAGGGTCTACAGGGACAGGGCGGGCCGTCTCGGCCGCAATAGCGCGCCGTCAATAGTACCACGACTACCAGCTCTCTCCGATCGGGCCGCCGACAGCGGGCTTGCGCAGCGCGCCGCTCGACGGCGGGCTGCTCCCCACCCTTCCAACAGCATATGATGCCTCGCTTCTCTCGCTGCGACCGCATTCGGGGGCCTGCGCCGACCGCCTCGCTTCACCAGCGCTGCCTATGACTGCGGCACGCACGTCGGCTCGCCGCCCGCGTCGCCCGCGGCGGGCCCGCATAGCACGCCGCTCGTCGGGGGAGTGCCAAGGAGGTTGTGGAGTACAGGCTGCCTCGCTCAGACCGCCGACGCGGCGCGAGGCCGCGGTCGGCGCTGCTGTGGGGCTCCTGCCCTGTGGGCTTCACCATCGTGTCCTGAGTACGTCGCCGACGCCACCTGCCGCTCGCCGCTGCCTTGCACTTCGCTGCCGTCAGGCAAACACACACACACACACACACAAACACACACACATTAAAAATAATCGGGTAATAATTATTAATTATTAATCCTCGGGCGGCGGAGCGGCGCGGCGGCGGGCGGCGGGCGGCGCGAGGCGGCGGCCGCGGCGAGGCAGCGGGCGACGCAGGGCGGGGCGGCGCGGCGGCGGGTGGTATAATTACTTATTAATTAATTAATAATGAATTAATAATCGTCGGGCGGCGGCGCGGCGCGGCGGCGGGCGGCGCGGAGCGGGGCGGCGCGAACATCTGCTCTGATCAGGCCTCCGGGCTTTGAGGCGGGGCAATGGTCGCGCCGCCCTCGACTCAAGGGGCTGCCTTCCACACGTCGCTGCTCAGGCCGGGGGAGGGGGGGAGACCTCCTGCTCCTCGCTGAACGGGAGCAGGCCCCTCCTTGCCCGGTCTGCAATGCAGGGCGGTGGTCGTGCCATCTTCGCGTCGTACTCGAAACCACCACGCCGCAACCGTCGCCGGCGCGCGACACGTTCCCGTAGGCCGGACTGTCCTCGTCGAGAGTGTGTGCCGCCAAGGCGGGACACACTCAGGGGCAGTGCCGACGGGACGCGGCTCGAAGGGTGTGGCTCCGCAGCGCGGCTGGCACTCGTCGCAGAGGCCTCACCTTCGAAAAGTCGGGCATGGCTCCACCCGCAACTTTCTCGCTAACACGCGCGCCCCGTCGAGCCTGGGGCGGGCGCGCTGCCGCAGCGGCCGCAGGTCTAACTTCGTCATAGTGCCACGACGTGCGGCCTAGATTTAGCCCACGCGCCTCTGCTCGCAAACACTCACCCATTGATAATTGTCACTGCCCGTGAGTGCGAGATAGGGCTAGCAGTAGGCAGCTAGCCTCTGAGGAGGGCGTCCATAGACACCTCACTAGACCCCACACACGGTCTCGTCCGTGGCTCGCCGGCCGGCGAGATTGCTAGAGGTGGAGCAAGCTGCTCTAGCCTCGCATGTTACTCCTGTCGTCTGTTGTGATGATGTGCCCTTGTTTGTTTCTCTTGGCACCTTGGAGTGCTGGGGGGGGCGACAGGAAGAATGTGGCCCTGAGTTATGTGTACGCCGACTCAGGGTGTGTGGCAGCCAGCTGGCTGTGTGTCTTGTGAGCTTGTTTGTGTCTGTGTGTCGCTCGTGCGTGTCGTCATCATCTGTCTCGCGTCCACCCATACCGCGTTGGTGTCCAGTCCGAGCCTGGCTGTTCTTCACCTTTCTACCTACCTACCTACCTACCAGGTGTATTTTATTTTTGCTTGGGCGGACAGCATGATGATATTCTGGAAAAACCTGGCCGGCCCCTGCCCTGCCCCTACCTACCCTACCTACCTACCTACCTACCCTACTTATGGGAAGCTAAAAAAGAAATCACTGGCGGGGTGAAGGTGGGGTACTATACCAACTAAAGTGATGGCTGGTGGTACTCTCCTGCAACCATAGTCCTTTCCTGTGGACATGGCAGGCCACTCTCAAGGCCATACAAGCACCAGATCACCCACTTGGGGAGGGTTGACATCGTGATTTTCGGCGGAAATTTTCTTTTTCTGAAAATTCCGGCGTCGGCTAAGGCCTAAGCGTCGATTTGCGCCTCCGTATTTGCAAATACAGGCGAACAAATAAATGAAGCAGGCGCGGATCTCAACCTGCGTGCGGCGGTGACCAGGTCACAGGCATCGGCGGTGACCAGGTCACAGGCATCGGCTGTGACACTGGAGAGTCGAGCAGCGGCACTGAGGATGCCTTTCAGGTCATTCCAGCGACCCACGGAGCACGGTCTCAGTGCGCAATCACTCTACTAGATCCCATCCTTGCCGGGCCTCTGCGAATGTAGGTACTGAGTTCATGCGTGCCCAGGTTACAGGCTCATACTGCCTGGTCTCCAGCACCTATGATCACCGCGCCAGGCCGCAGTCGACGACTTTTGTGTGCGCTGGCCGCACTCAACCGTTGAGTCGCGGTGTATCAGCCTGACCACACTCGGGACCGCGTAGGCGATGTGGGCGACTCTGGCCGTCCTGCATATGACCGACCATGACCCAGGAGGAGTCTACACGAGACATGTCGTACCTGGCAGGCGCTCTCGCGGCAGCACTATCGCGTGCGGCCGAGTGCGAGCTTCCGTGGCCGGTGCCAGACGCACTCGGCGCCACACACGTCCTCGGAGCTCGCAGTTTTGCCACGGCCGTTGCGATCCGGGCGATCAGAGAGCGCCGGCAGCTCAGGGGATCTTGTCTGCTCACCTGAGGTCGGGAGGGTAGCAGCGGCGAGGCCATGCGCCAGCGTGAGCTATCCGTATTAACGGTTGTTACAGATTAGTCAGATTTGCCGTGACCGCGTTCCGAGGTCACGATTTCGGCGTTCTCGTGTTGACCACTGTGGGTGTGCCTGGCACTTCTGGATCATGTCTCTCGGTGTCCTAGCACCCCCAGGCGATGGGTTTCACGGTCCCGTACCGCATGGGGCGCAAGGCCTCGCGCTGTGCGTGTGGTTCAAACTTTGTTACAACCCAGTCAGAATAGGATCAATTTGGGGTAAACATACCTTCAAAAAAAGAAACACCCCAACCCTCATCAAGTCCTTTCGCGCCGCTGCTGCCTGATTGCCGCGAGTCACCCGCCGTACATATACGACTCCATGTTACCACTCTCGCTCTTTGCTCTCAGCTCCCACCTTCCACCGCTGCCGCCGGGACGCCTGCGAGACGTCCCGCGCATCCTCGAATCCAGAGAGCTCGAATCCATCCTGAGAGAGCTCGAGGAGCTCCACCTTCCGCGCCGAGCTTTCTGCTCCAATGATGCGCCGAGCCCCGGGGTCCCTGAGAAGGAGGACACGCCGGATGCACACATCTCCAAGTTCCTTGGATGCGGAGACTCCTTCGAGTCCTTCCTCTCCGCATTCCCTCCCTAAAGTCACTCACTTTGTGGCCCGCGCTCGGCCCGTTGCGCTCGTCACTGCGCGCGGCGGCGCGCTCCTTCTGGTGTGTCCAAAGTCGTGTCTCGCGTGTCTCCAGCGTGTGTCCTGTGCCCATGTTTGTGAGCGAGTGCGGAGTGGTCTCACCGCGCGTCTCGAGGGTTTCCAGAGCCTGAGGTCCCCGGCCTACGTGACCCCGGAGTACGGCTCGCTACCCCCTGCGTGCATGTCCAGTAGGGCTAGGATATTAGTAAGCATATTCTACTCAGGCATGTCACGTGTCCCACCAGTCCTCCCTGGGGCCTCTCTCAGCCGGCTCGAGACAAGCCTCAGCTGGTGATGAATGGAGAATGGGGTGAATACGTAATCACCACAGTCCACACAGCTCCTCACCTCAGCTCTCTCAGTCTCCTCCGTACGTCTGCCCCCCGTGCGGTGCACCCTGGCCCGCGCAGCACGGGCTGTCGCACTCGCAGCCGAGCTGCGGCCCCTCGCCGGCCAGCTCCGCCAGCTCGTCCTGAGGCCAAGCGAGAGGCGCTGAGTTGAAGCTGGCTGGCCAGCGCGCAGCGGGAAGCGCCTACGCTCCGTGCGCGTGAGAGAAACTAGGGCGCGGGTCGCAACGTCGCGCACCTCCTCGCGGGAGCGGAAGAGGTACGAGATTGCGACGATGCAGTAGGCGCCGAGCAGCAGCACGCCCTCGAGGTAGGTGGAGCGCGCGCGCCGCACGACTGCGGTGGCGACCAGGGTCGAGAGGACGAGGACGGCCGCCTCGAAGGAGCGGAGGTCGACGGTGAGGGGCAGCCGCAGCACCGCCCAGCAGAGCAGCACCAGCAGCGGGAGCACGCCCATCGCAACCTGCGGGCCGTGGCGGGGAGCGTCGCGCGGGCGGGGCTCTCCTCGGCGGCGAGGTGTGCGCACGCACGAGGGGAGCTCAGGCGAGCCTCGGGGAGTGCTTCGGGGGTGGGTCGGAGGCGTCTCGGAGGTGTACACCTCGCGTGCGCCTGGATTGCGGACCCCACCCCGAGCGCGAGCGCGAGCTCCGTGTTTCCGAGCAGGGCGCACTTTGTGGCAGCGAGGAGCGTGTCGACGTTGCCGACGAGCGGGATGATGACGAGGGCGACGAAGTGGCGTGTCACGCCGAGCGCCGCCGCCGCCGGGTCGACAGTGGCGAGGAGCTGCTCCGCGCAGACGCCTGAGGCGAACGAGTGGCGGGCGGGTCCGAGGGCTGGTCCACCGGCACGCCTCCTCGCCGCCTCGGAAGAGCCTCGGGAGGCGTGTCTGGGTACGGGGAGGCGTGTCTGGGAGGCGTGTCTCGAGAGGAGCGTCTTGGGAGGCGTCTTGAGAGGAGGCGCGTCTCAGGAAAGCGATCCCGCGCCGATCCACGCGGTGAGCCCGAGGGCGACGGCGCACGCGCGCGCCACCGAGTGGGGCTCGTCCCGCTGCGAGGAGGCGTCGGAGACGTGCGCCACCCGCCTCCGCTCCCGGAGGCTCTCCTACGCGGCACGACGTGCCTCGCCTCCGCGGGACGGGCCGAGGAGGCGCCGCCGCCGCCTCTGGAGACGGTGCGACGTGCCTCTCCCGCCACCGCCGACGGCAGGGCGACGTCCGCCTCCTCCTCCTCCGCCTCCTCGAGGAGCGGAGAGAGGTGGTGTGGCTGCGGGGTGGGGGGAGGACGGTGGTGCTCGGGGTCGGCGGTCAGCAGGGCGGGGGGTGGGGCGAGGACGGAGCAGCCGCGCGCCGCGCCTGCGACTCCTCGGAGAAGCGCACGCTCTCCCGCTTCCGCCGCAGCAGCTCCGCGTGCGTGACTGTCGACCAGACGAGCATCAGCGCGTAGCACGGCAGCAGCACCGCAGCGACGAGACGCGAGAGAGGCAGCATGTGCTTCTCGTAGCAGTAGGTGCGGCAGCGGCCGTAGGCGGCGGAGGTCGCGTTGTACGCGGCGGGCACGCCTGAGGACGTGGGTTGGAGGCTGGCGATGGTGGTGTGCGGCGAGGGTGGCGGCGGCGAGGGTGGCGAGGGTGGCGGCGGCGGCGGCGCTGCGTTGTGCGCGCCGTACGAGAAGGCGGCGAGCAGCAGCACCATCGAGTGCATCCCTGCGGCGTGTTTGTTGTGCTTCTGCTTGAGGTGGGAGAGGTGCTTGATCCCGCGAGCGATGAAGGAGACGCCCGGCACGAGCAGGCTTCCGAACAGGACCGAGCCGAGCAGAGTCACCTGCACGAATCGCAGCATCTGCTTCCGCAGCGCGAGCACCGCGATTAGGAACTCGACCGAGTTGGAGAGCGTCGCAGTCACGAGTCCTCCGTAGGTGTCTCCAGCAAGGGAGGCCAGGCGCAGCGCCGCTGCCGCGAGCTGCTCAGAGAGCACGAGAAGCGCTACCGCGTTAACGACAAAGACAACCAGCGTTGGCGCGTCCATCATACCGCACAACGGCCCGGCGAGGCCGACTGTGCCGGTCAGGACTTGAGTCAGGCCGATGGAGCGACAGAGCGAGGCGATCCAGACGCGGCGACTTCTCGCCTGCGGCTCGCTGAGGAGCGGCGCGTCGAGCATCGGGGTTGCTCGGCGACGGGCGGGTCGGCGACGGGCGGGGCGACAGGCTGGTCAGCCCGGGTTCGAGTTTTTGCGGGGTAAGGGATAGTGGGTAGGTCTATCCTGCAGGTTTCCCCCTCTCTTCACACTTTTCACAATAAAAAAGAAGTTTTCCGATCAAATTTGTGCGATGTCAACCCTCCCCAAAGGGTGATCTGTTGGGCTGTCCGAGGTTTGCCTCTCGCACCCAGTCTGTTTTCCTTTCCCTTTTCTCTTTGAGCTTAGCCTTCGATGTTATGAAACAAACGCAAGGCGGACATATGGCATATCGCTCTCGGGCCCACAGACATCCCGCACACCCGCCGCACACCCGCCGCCCCCGCGCGCGCCCCACCTCGGCCGGGAGAAAGGGGAGTGACAGCTTGGGATTGCAAGTCGAGATACCTCGCACTCCATGTGCGAGAACGCAGGGTAAATGTAAGCCGGATGGCTCACAGGCCACCTCTTGCGCCCCGAGCTCGCCATCTACCGCACTGAACACTTCCGCCCCCTCGCTCCCAACCCATCCACCCCGCGCAATCTCGCGCAATCTCGGAGCTCCACGCCACGCCACTCCACCCCACCCCACCTCACCCACCGCCGCGCCGCGCTGTCTCGCGCAATCTCGGAGCTCCACGCCACGCCACTCTACCCCACCCCACCTCACCCACCGCCGCGCCGCGCTGTCTCGGGCGATCTCGGAGCGTCGCTCGCGCGGCGTCACACTGGGAAACCAGAGGGAAACTCGCGAGTTTCCAGAATGGAGCACCAAACGCCCTCTGTTTTCCCTGGAAATTTCCGGAAACGCAAAGTGCTGGGGACCATATGTTTTCCTTTTTGTTTGCCGGAAAACCTAGTGATTTGGGCTCGGCAGCTTGTCAGCCCTCAGCCGAAGCTGGGGCCGGTCCCGTAGCCGAGAGAGCCCGCGCCGATGAGTTCGACGCGGTCGGGGGGGCCTGCGGAGAGGCCAGCGAGATGGCGATCGCTGTACTTCATGGGGGTCATCAAGTGACCGGCTGACTCGCCAGAGGTCGATACTCTGGACGACCCATAGGATGCCACGAATGCCTGAAGGAGAAGGGAGGCGAGGCCAGAGGCAGGCTCAGCTGCTCTCGGGTGATCTCACTTTGGTGGCTGAAGCGTGAAGGACCCGATGGTCCTGTCACATTCGCGTTCCGAGTCGTGGGGGTAGAAGAATGGTGATAGAAGATGATTTCTTGTTGGTTTTCTAAAATCTCTCTCTCTCTCTCTCTCTCTCTCTACACAGGAAGGACTGTGGTTGCAACGAAGAAATAAAGTCCCCGGTGGCCCTGGGCGTGCGGCTAATGACTGCACTACGTGCTGTCCACACAAGTGCTCCAAGCACCAAGGAAGGTAGAGCCTCTCGTTTGGTGAGTCCACACACTGCTCCGTCGTCTTACCCCCCCTCGAAATCCTGAGGAGCCGCGCAGCGCCTAGATACGTCTTGTGAGCTAAAAGAAAGAAAGAAAACACACAACCCAAGGGAGGGATGGGAGGACGGCACGCCGCCACCACACAGAGATTTTAATAAGGAGAGGAGTGTGGTGCTAGCCGTCGCCCACCCTAACCCTTGGGCGTCTGCCTCTTTCTATCTCCCTTCGTTCGCAGTCAGTCCCTCGCCGGGCCGAGAGCGTTTTTGATCTCTGGGTGAGTGGGCGCCCGCCCACCGCCTCTGAGGGGGTCGGGCCCCCTAGACTGAAAACAAAAAACAAAACCCAGAAACCGTCACAAACAGCCTGCGAGAGCGGCGCTGCGCGCCGCCTACCTCGTGTGCGGGTGTGAGTGACCCCAAACAGCGGAGCTCTGCAGCGGGCCCTCCTCGCCGCCTTCGCTGCCGCTGCATCGCTGTCGGCTCGTTATTTCTGTCTACGGTCATATGGGGGCGCCATCACTGTTCTCTCTCTCTCTCCTGGGGTCAGCTCCAAGCTGCCGTGTCGGGACGTCGCCCCCCCCCCCCCCCCTCCGCTGAACTCTGCATGCTGCGATTCTCGCCCCCCCCTTGTGTTGTCCCAGGACGCCAGGAGCCAGGTGCGTGTGTCTAATCGTAGTGGGGGCCCTGGGGCCCCCGTCTGTTTTCTGTTTTCTGTTTTTCAAAACGCCCGCCGCCCGCCACCCCGAGGCGGCTCGGCCCCCCACTCATCCAGAAAAAACGCTCGGTCGGCCCCGATTCTCGCTGCAACCTTCATGCCACCTCGCGGTCGTCCCACTCTCGTCGTTCTTCCTCCTGTTGTCTCTTCTTCCTCTGTCGCGTCGCTCTCGTCTGCCTCGTCCGGTGAGCTGTGTGGCATAAATAAATAAATAAAACGGACACACCAAACAAGGGGTGGGAGAAGGACAGGGTCCCCACCTGCGCGAGCAGGATCTTGTAAGGACGATCAGGGACACAGGGGAACGGGAGCGGGGGGCGCATCGCGACACGGAGGGGGGCTGGGCAGGGTTCACCCACACACGACAGGGTCCCAGGGATTCCCCTCTCGTATAGGACAAAGTTGCACCCGGCGGCACGGGGGCAGGCGCGGGCCTCCTACTGGTTGCGCTCTCCTAGTTCTCCTGCTACTGACAAAAAAAAGGGACAGCGACAGGTTCGCAGCACGGTGGACTCCCTATTCCACTGGCGATTTCTCGACTAGCGACCTTCCTCCGGCTTCTCACTGGCAGTCTCTCACTATCACGGGCACACTGACAGAGCTGTGTGGCGTTAAGATGCAAACACCCAAAAGGCGTTTTTTGGTCCTGTACACCGACCTGTACGCGTCCTGTACTGCCTGTACTGAGTACCAGGACCAACCGGAGCCAACGCAGGTGGTGCCGACTGAAATCAGGACGCAGGAGCCCGACCATGCTCAGATCTGCCCTCAGCTGGTGGCTGGGCAGATCGCCTACCAAAGCGCCAGCAGCTACACCAGCCGTCTCTTTGCGTTCCTCGAGGCTAGACAGCGACGATGGCAGTGCCGACGAGGCGCCGAACAGCAGCGAGAATTCTTCGAGGGAGAGGCGCGTCCGGGCCGAAGACCTCGCGCTCCTGGACACTACCGAGTGCACAAACACAGAGGACTCCGAGCGAGACATTGCTCGAATGTGGTCGGATGTCACACGCAGTAAGTCGTTGGCGCCGCCCACGCACTCGCACCTGCACGCCTTGATCCTGCAGCTTCCCGACTTGCCTGCGCCCGAGCGACCGTCACTGCATCAACTGCAACGCATGCGACGAGTGCGGAACAGGACCCAAGCCTGCGCTCGAAGAGGCTCAGGGGCCCCAGTGGCGCAGACTCTCTGGTCTCTGCCCTGTGTTCAAACAGCGGCGATCCGCAGTGGGATAGGGGAGGCACCCAATCCGGCATAGTATGTGTAGCTGGGGGGAGTCAATGTAAATAGAGTAAGTGTACTACGAGCGGTATTAAAGCACATCGCACGCGCGCAAAACACACGTCCCACCTCATAACGGCTCGAGAGAGAGCGGGGCAAAATGTCCAGAGAAAACACCTCGGGTGTCCTAGACCTAGTGGGTGTCGCCGTGTCGGACCCACAAGTGTCGGACCACAATTCGCTCAATGGCCGTGCGCCAAAATCTATACCGTAGAGTGTGGCGCAATCAATCAGCTCCGCTCAGGGGTGATTCAGCTCACTTCACCGCACCTGGACTCTCGCTCGTCGTGGACGCCCTCAGCCTCACAGGACACAGCTCGCCGCGTGGGGCGGGCGGGCGGCAAGCCTTGCCGCTATGCAGTGCAGCCGCTCGACGTACGACTCGACGTGCGCGTGTAGCACCGGCGGCTTTGGGTACATTGACCAAGGCACTCGCTGGACCAGCCCGGGCTGCACCTCGTGCCTCACGTCGACGCCCAAGTTGGGCACCGTCTCGTTGGGCCCAAGGCCGGCGGCCCGCCGCTTCTTGTCGACCCACTGACGCAGCAGGGGAAGCTCGGCATAGAAGAGCGGTGTGAGGTACGGCGCGCCGCGCGCCGCCTTCGCCACGCCCGGAAGAAAGGAGAAGGAGCTCGGCATCCCCGCCACCACGGCAGAGGCGCCGAGCAGCGCCTCCAGCGTCTCGTACTCGCTCATGCCCTCCGGCGCGTGCGACACGTCCATGCCCGAGGCGCGCAGGAAAGCGGCGACGCCCGCCGCGTACGCCTCGCACGCCGCGCTCTCCTCCGCCTTGGGCCCTCCCCAGCTTGTCGAGTTGAACACAACCACGCGGCGGGGCGCGCCGGCAGCGTGCAGCTCCCGCCGCACCCACGCCCAGTAGCTAGGCGTGGGTAGGTGGTACATGGGCATGCGCTTGAAGGGGACGTCCGAGCAGCGCAAGTGGACGGCGGTCACTCCGCGGTACGAGGGGTCGGCGAAGAGGGCGTACCTCGAGGCGAGGTGCTCCTCTAGGTGCGGCGCCACCTGCGCCCAGTGGCTCGCATAGTCGCTCGCGCCGTCAAAGTAGGCCGGGTTCCAGAGTCCCACGGGCGACTTGCCCGGCCGAGGCTTTGCAAAGTGGGCCGAACTATCCATCACGAGGGCGTTGCCCATGCCGCACCAGCAGCCGTCCACCAGCTTTGCGAGCGCGGCGCGGCCGGCGGCGCGGTGGCTGGCGCCCGAATAGATTAGCGCCCTCGCGGCGGAGAGCGGCGCCGGAAGCGCGTCGTGGGCGGCGCGGCGGCGCAGGTCCTCGAAGTGGGCGCGCCAGCAAGTCCACGCCTCGCAGTGGGGCGCGCAGGTGTACTCACCCGCCGCCGCCGCCGCCGCGAGGCCCCACGCGGGCGCCCAGCAGGCGCGCCGGCCGCCCTCCGCCACGGCGCTGCCATTGGGGTGCGTGTGCGAGGGCGGCAGTGCCCTCGACTGCGTCGTCACCGGTGAGCCCGAGGCAAAGATGCCCCGGTCGCCGGCCGCCTCGAGGCCCTCCCGTGGCAGGGCTGGCTGGCAGCGGGCTGCGGCGCTGGAGGCGAAGAGCCGCTCGGCGAACGTCGCGTTGAGACGTGAGAACTCGACGGCGGGCTGGCTGGCTACGGTGGGCCCAATGGAGGCGGCCGCTTCGAGGAGCGCGGCGAGGATGCGGCCGTACCGCGGGCCGTAGCTGGCCTTGACGCCATGAAGAACAAAGGGGTCAGAGGGCTCGTTGGCGGCCGCCGGCAGCGACTGTAGCCAGTTGCGGCTGGTGGAGAGGACACGCAGACGGTCGCCGAGCTCGCGGCGGAAGCGATACCCGTCTGCGAGCGGGGCCTGCTCCCACGGGTGCCGCTGGTTCGTGGCATCCGAGCGGGCGTCCCACCAGGAGCGCAGGATGCCGCAGCCGCCGTTGCTGCCATCCACGTAGAGGAGGCCGGTGCAGGGACCGTCGGGGTTGAACCAATAGTTGTTCGAGAGGAGGACGGACCATGGCGAGGAGCCCTCGTCGCCTGCGAGCGCCTCGTCGCCGATCGCGCGCGCACGGTCGAGGTAGTCGTCGATGCTCATCGTGAGGTTGGTCACGACTGCATCCGAGTCGATGAACATTGCCCGTTTGCACGGCCGGCCGCCGACGCCGTGGAGGAGGACGCGGGCGATGGCAGGAATCTTGCACCAGGCGGCGGACCGCGAACCGCGATCCGGGTGCACGCAAAATGGCGCGTCCTTTGGCTTGCCGTCCCAGCTGACGCCGGCGCCGACTTGCGAGTACGCAAAGCCGTAGCCATGGATCCTCGCATAGTGCTCGTTGACACGGGCGACCTGCTGCCAGTCCTGCAGGGGCTGCGACGTGGCGTACGGGCGCGAGTCCGCCATCACAACGCACCAGCTGAGCGGCATCTGTGTGTGTGTGTGTGTCCAGGTGCTTCAGGCCTGTCACGCCAGAGTGCTCGCATTGTTTTCTAATTTTCTTTTTCAGTACAGGAGGAGGAATCAATCAGGAGGCACTCTAACAGGGGTTTTTTGCGCGGCGGTCGATTTCTTCTTTGAAGATGAAGCTCAAGAAGCCCCCCCCTCCCTGTTGGTCTCCCCCCGCCCCCCCTGTTCCTTACCCTCCTAGGTAGGTAGGTAGTAAGGTGAAGAACAGCCAGGCTCGGACTGGACACCAACGCGGTATGGGTGGACGCTACTCAATATCAGGTAGGTAGTAAGATATCAATAAAAGGGAGAAAACCAGCTAAATGTCATCACATCCGAGGTCGTAGCTCCCTCCAACTTTTTCCTGGCCCAGTTGGCCAACTACACCAGCCATGATGCTAGTCTTCCTGCACGCGACCTCCTGGACTTGCCCCGCCCGGCCGAACGGCGCGTGCAGCCCGCGCGCAAGCTCCATCACGGCGCTCGACGGGTTCCAGCTGCTCGGCGTGCAGCGCGGAGCCTCGGCGGCCGCGATCCGAGCCGCATTCCGCGAGCGAGCAAAGCTGTGCCACCCTGATCAGAACCCGAGCGCGACCGCCGCGCACGAGTTCCAGCTTCTCACGGATGCGTTTGAGCAGCTCACCAGCGTCACCAGCGAGCCCGCTGCGGCCCCACCACCGCCGGGGAGCAGGCCCTCGCCGAGGGCAGCGGCGGTGGCGAGGGCGGCCGCCGCCAAGTCGGCGGCGGCGGCCGAGGCCGAGTGCTGGCAGAGGTCCAAGGGCGTCTCCTGCTCGCCTCCGCCCTCCACCCCCGCCCCCGCCCCCGCCCCTGCCCCCGCCCCCGCGGCGGCCGACGAGGAGGTGGAGGCGCGAGAGAGGTGGGGCTACCCGATGGTGGTGCACGGAGGCGGCGGCGGCGGTCGAGAGCCGCGCGGCGAGTTGCCGCGTCGGCCGGCGGAGCTGCATGACGGGGCGGAGGGCGGGGCGGAGGGCGGAGCGGAGGGCGGAGCGGAGGGCGGAGCGGAGGGCGGAGCGGAGGGCGGAGTGCATCTGCACCTGCACGTGGGCGGCGGTGCCGGCGGCGGTGCGGGCACGGCGGCGGGCGAGGTTGAGGCGCTCAAGGAGCTGCTGGCCGACGCCGTTGCGGGGGCGGGGGCGGCGGTCGCGTCTGCGCTGCGAGGCGCGGCGGACGAGCGGCGCGCGGCTGCGGAGCGGGAGGCGGAGCTCATCGCGCGGCACGAGGCGCTGCTGGCGACGGCGGCAAGCATGCTCGCTGCGGAGCGCGGGGCGGCGGCCGAGGCGGCGGCGCAGGCTGCGGTGGAGGCAGCCGCGGCGGAGAGGGAGGCGGCGCTGCAGGATGCGATGCAGGCCTTCGCCGCCGTCCGCGACGCGGCTGTGCGGGCGGCGGTGCAGCCTGCTGTAGAGGCGGCGGTGGCGGAGTGCGAGGCACGCCTCGAGGCGGCGGTGGAGAAGTTTGCCGCCGAGCGCGACGTGGTCGCCACGCGCCTCGACTCGCCCTCCCGCCCGGCGTCGAACCGCATCCTCCTCCTGCGCCGCGAGACCCTCGGCGACACGTGCCACGTGGAGCTGCCGTGAGGAGGTAACCGGGGGGAGCCGCTCAGCCGGCGACCAAAGGGGATCTTCTTCGTGTGAGTAAGGATGTCATGCCGACGGCAGATAGAATGAAGGCCGTGGTGAAGAAAACAGACAATCCCCGCGCATATAGAGGTACGCATGTCATCTCAGCCGTCATAGTTTAGCGTCTCCCCAGAGCCAGACCCCACCCACAGGCAGAGGCACGGCGCGTGGGTAAGAGACGCCGAACTCCAGGAGGATCCGCTTACGCGCTTCCTACCTCGGTGGGACGAATTTGAGGTCGGGACACGGGCGCTGTCCGACAGAAACGGGACGCAGGTCATGATGGGCAAGGATAAAGAGCCGCTCGGCTCGGAGAAGGGCCGTGAGCTCAACGCGGAGGTGGCCAGGATATGCCTCGCGCTACACAGAGCGCGGCCATTCACGCACCTCGCTGCGACCGCGCAGCAATGGACCGAGGAAGATGAGAACCCGCCTAGGGTGACAATGGCGCACTTGCTTAGCGGCGCCTGCCTGGGGAATAGGGAGCAGGCCAGATGGTTCCTCAGAGTAGCGCGAGCGCAGACGGGGACGGCGATCAGCAAAGTAGCACAGGCGGCACCCGACTCCAAGGATACACTGAAGACGCTGAGGATAGCGCATGTCGCTGCGCTGAAGGGCTCACGCTATAGGGTGCTGGATGAGGACGGGTACGATGCACTAGCCCCAGCTGTCGGGGGGGTGTTGCCAGCACTGGCAGATGACCTCTCGGAGAAGAGCCGGAGGGACCTTGGCGCCGGGGTCACGAGGAACTTGCAAGTCGTGGCCGAGGCGGCGACGGGAGCGGTGCAGAGGTGGATCCAGCTCAACGATGAGGCTACCGCGCGCATAATGAAGAGAGAGGAACACATTGAGTGGCTGAGGAAGCTCTTCGCTGGGTGGAAGGAGGCCCGGCCAGCCTTGAGGGAGTCGCGGAGGAGGAGGGATAACAGAGGTAACGTGGGGACAGGCCAACAGCCAGTGGGACGAACGAGGGCCGCGACGGCGGCCCAAGCGGGAGGGAGCGGAGACAGTCGGCAGCGAGCGAAGTGGGTGAGACTGATGATGCCCCTTCGACTTAGGGAGCGGTTCAGCTGCTGGGCGGGCTTCAGGGTGGTGCTCACGCGAAAAGGAATCGACGCGATGTACAAAGCATACAACAAGAGGAGAAAGAAGAGGACGGACATCAGTGATGACGAAGCAGAAGCTAGCGCAGACGAGAGCAGGGCAGACCCGGGGACGGGGGAGTCGGAGCAGACGGCATCGGCCGCCGAGGGAACGTTGGGAAGAGGCACGAGGAGGACGGCGACCTCAACCGACTATGGAGGAGACCAGTCGCCAGACGACGCAGGGCAGACGACGGGGAGGCGGAGCAGACGCGCAGGGCGAGACGAGGGAGGGAGCAGGATGTTGCGGAGATCAGCAGGAGGATGTACGACGAGATTAGGAGCAGCAGGGACCCGAGGGACCATGTGGAAGACGGCTAGTGCTAGTCCCCCATCGGGAGGACGACCCCGGCTAGTCGCCGACCACACCCACAAAGAACCCTGCACAAAGACCGCAGGGCGGGGACCTGTTCCTTTTTACCCATCTCCTAGCAGAGGTGCCCGTTTTATTTGTTTATTTACCCTCTGGGTGTGGCGCTGTTGCGTGTTGGGGTCCTGCAAGGCTTGAGCAAGGGGCGGCAACATGCGGATGGCTGGGGCAGCCTCGGAGCCTGCACCCCGCGATACCGAGATTAGCCCCATTACCGTCGAATAAGCGGACACCTCTACTAGGAGATGGGTAAAAAGGAGCAAGTCCCCTCCCTGGGCCAGAGCAGTGCTTGCCACATTTACTGATAATTCTAGCTCCTGCTTCCTGGGGAGTGGTATGGTAAAATACGAAACTCCGTGGAATCATCAATTTTTTGGGCTCTGAGCCGAGTCTGAGGCTGGTTTGCGGCCAAATTCTTTTCACATTCACCCAAATTGGCAAAATACCCGGTATACCTGGGAAATACCGCATTTTGCCGATTTCTCCGATTTTTGTCAGATTTTGCCTCAGAAGTCGTGGTAAATCTTACCACCGTTTGATTGTTTTGGCCGTAGAGTGTTTGATTGTTCTGGTGGGCTATACCAGTAAATGGCAAGCACTGCGCCCTGCGGTCTTTGTGCAGGGTTCTTTGTGGGTGTGGTCGGCGACTAGCCGGGGTCGTCCTCCCGATATGGGGGACTAGCACTAGCCGTCTTCCACATGGTCCCTCGGGTCCCTGCTGCTCCTAATCTCTTCGCCGTCCTCCTCGTGCCTCTTCCCAACGTTCCCTCGGCGGCCGATGCCGTCTGCTCCGACTCCCCCGTCCCGGGTCTGCCCTGCTCTCGTCTGCGGGCTAGTCTCTGCTTCGTCATCACTGGCGTCTCTCCTCTTCTTTCTCCCCTTCTTGTATGCTTTGTACATCGCGTCGATTCCTTTTCGCGTGAGCACCACCCTGAAGCCCGCCCAGCAGCTGAACCGCTCCCTAAGTCGAGGGGGCATCATCAGTCTCACCCACTTCGCTCGCTGCCGACTGTCTCCGCTCCCTCCCGCTTGAGCCGCCCGTCGCGGCCCTCGTTCGTCCCACTGGCTGTTGGCCCGTGCCTGCGTTGCCTCCGTTATCCCTTCTCCTCCGCGACTCCCTCAAGGCTGGCCGGGCCTCCTTCCACCCAGCGAGGAGCTTCCTCAGCATTTATTTATCGTCGAACGAGTGCCAACGAGCTCGAGGCGCTGCGCGCGCGCAACGCCATGATGCGCGACGCCACAAGCCGAGCCGATACCACCAACGCGTCGACGCCATCACCTCGGCTGCGGGCATAAACCCAAACAAAAAGAAAATACTGCGCGCACACTCTACTGGCACCCCTCGCTGGCACCGCATCTCGCTTTAATATATACATGTGTGTGTATATGCTCTCCGTCGCGCTCACTCCTGCCTCGTTCGCGCCCGTCGCTCGGCCCGCGGTACGCGCCACTCCCACACAGTGACCGTCGCCACAGCGGCCACCAGCGAGGCGCTCTCTTTGCTGTCGCTCAGGCGCCTTCCCGCACCGTCGTCATGGCGGAGGACCTCCGCGGCCTCGCGAAGACGCAGAACCCGGTGCTCGGCTACTTCGACCCGCTCAAGCTCGGCGACCAGGACTTTTGGGACCAGGGCAACGACGCCACCGTCGGGTTCCTCCGCCATGCTGAGATGAAGCACGGCCGCGTTGCGATGGCGGGATTCGTGGGATATTGCATCCACGAGAACGGGATCCGCTGGCCGTGGGCGCTCTCGACCTCCCTGCCCGACTACTCCTCCTTCGACGGCCTCTCCGCGCCCGCCGTCTGGGACGCCACGCCGCAGGCACACCGTCACGGGTCGCGCCTCCACTCCCCGGGCCCTCACAGCCCTCCCTCCCTCGGCGCAGGGCGCGCGCCTCCAGATCCTGCTCATCATCGGCTTCTTCGAGTTCTGGTCCGAGTCGGCGTACGTGCTGGAGCAGGACGGCACCAAGCACTACATGCGCGGCGGCAAGCCGGGCTACTTCCCCACCTTCAAGGAGATCCCGCACCCGGTGCCGCTCAACCTCTTCGACCCGTTCGGCTTCACAAAGAAGCTGTCCGCCGAGCAGAAGGCCAAGAAGCTCAACATCGAGGTCAACAACGGCCGCCTCGCCATGCTCGGCCTCTTCTCGCTCATCTCGGAAGCCAAGGTGCCGGGCGCCGTCCCGGCCCTCGCCGGCAAGATCAAGCCGTACGACGGCGAGGTCATGGCGCCCTTCTCGGCGGCCGACGCGAACCTGCCGTACGTCGGCGACATGATCACCTTCGGCAAGGGCCTCTTCGCCGCCACCGGCAACTGAGCGACGCCGTCTCGTCCGCTGCAGCGGACGCCCCGCGCCGCGCCCTCAGAGGCGGGCGTGGGATTCGCTGCCGTGTGCATGCTGCTTGGCCGCGGGTGGTGAGCCTGGCCCACTTTGGGGCCTCGGCCCAACCGTGCGCGCTGTGCATCTATTTGTGAAGGTAGAGCTACGTCGAGGGAAGATTGATTGATTGGAGATGAGGCATACCGTATACCGAGATTAAGAAAAAGGAAAACGATTTTTTTCATTCACCTCTGCGCTCTCTGAGACCTCGATGTGGGGCCCTGCACTGCAGCCAAAAGCCCTTGATTTCTTCGGTGCACCTGTGCGTGCGGCTGCCCTAGAGAAGAATTCTTCTTGGCCTTTTTAAGAATTCTTCTTTGACGCTAAAATTCTTCTTGCGGCCGAAGGGGGCTCGGGCTTGAGGCGTGGGGAGGTGGTGGTGGTGGAGGGTTGGGCTGGTGACCGGTGCTGGGAGAGGGAGGGGTGGAGGGACGAGGTCCGGGCTGGGCGGCTTCTGCTGCTCAGCGAGGACCTCGAACCCCTGCTGCGCAATGGTGGGTGGGGCGGGGTTTCCCGCCCCACCGGCCATCGGCGGGGTAGGCGCGCGGGTGGGGGGGGGTGGGATGAGGGGGAGTGGGATGGGGATGGTATTTTCGGCGAGCACCACGGTGCTCGCGGATTCGACTGTCCCCCTGATTGGGGGTCCGACGACGGCTACGGTGAGGACGACGGCTTCTGAGGAAGCCGTCGCCCGTGCCTTGCCTGTCGCGTGAAGAATCGTGTTGTGCGACATGCTTGTAAAATTCTTCTTGCGCGCTGTTGTATGCCCCAGGGCCTGGCGAGTAGAGGCACACGCACGCTCTCTCGAGGTCTCTTGGAGCAGAGCCCCGGCGAGCCCTCGAAAGAGCTACCCAATGGGTCCCTCGAGAGGGTACCCTGGGTGGGCGGGGCCTCTGTCGCCAGCCCAGGGCGCGCTGTTGTATGCCCCAGGCCTCGCCATCGCCGATCGCCATGAGATGGCGTCGCTGGCTGCCGCCATGCGTCGCCGCGGCCACGCTCCTGCTGCAGGCAGTCCTCCACACGCGTGCGATCGGCAGCACGCTGAGCATGGCCGGCGGCGACGGCAGCAGGCAGCAGCGGAGTCAGCCTCGCCGGGACTGGGAGAGCCGCACGCTCCACGAAAGCGGGCCTCGGGCAACGACGGTGGATGTCGTCCTGCTGAGCGAGGCCTACACTCGCGCGGACCACTTCTTCGCGGACGCAGACCGTGCCACGCGAAGCTACTTTTCGGCCCGCGGCGCCACATTTTTTGGCGTGAGTGCCCTCATCAACGTCCACGCCGTCTATCTCAGGTCAGCCGCGAGCAAAATCGGCCGAGGCGGCCCCGCCGATACGGCCTTCCGCTGCTACCGCGCTCGCGACGAGCCGCTGCGCGCGATCCTCGACTCAAACGTGACACTGCCTCGTGCTCGCGCCGCTTGCCGCGAGGCGCTGGGCTGCCCGGGCTGCGACTTTTTGGTGCTGCTCGTCAACGAGCCCCTCTACGGCGGCATGGCGGCGGAGGGGGTGACGATGATCACAAACTCGCCGACGAGCGGCGCCATCTCGGCGCGGCACGAGCTCGCTCACGCGCTCGCGGACCTTGGCGAGGAGTACGACGGAGGTCTGAGGGCGTGCGGACAGGCTCATCACGCGCAGCAGCGCACTCGAAGAAGAGCCACACGCCGCTGCGTCTAGGCGGCGACTACTCGGGCGACAACTTTGCGGAGACGGCCCGGCTGTGCGAGCGCGACGAGGGTCCGCGACGCCGTGGCCGACGGCTGGTGTGGCCGTGCGTGCCTTGGTCGGCCTGGCTGCCTCCGCCGCTCGAGCGGCAGTCTGCGTGGCGCGAGGCGAGCGGTGCCAGCTCCACCCTGCTGCACATTGACCACCCGTGGCGCGTGCTCGGCGCCGAAGCGCCCTACAGAGTGTCGTTCCACGTGCCGGCGGGCGGGTGGGAGGAGCAGCGCACCCCGTGGTCCGTCTCTCTGGAAGCTTCGGGGGGAACCCCTTGGCAGCCCTTCCCTGTAGGAGCTGCGCATCTCGTGGTCGGTTTCCGGCGTCGCCCACCCCGAGGACGTGGCGCTGAGCCTCGACGGCGCCCCGACGGCCACCAAGCTGCGGCTGCAGCAGGACCGCCAGTTCCTCCGCCTCGAGACGAGCGACGCCGCCGCCCTCTCCGCCGGCAAGCACAGCCTCGTCTTCGCCGCCGCCCGCGCCGCCCGACCCACCCTCTGCCACATCATGGTGCACGCCTTTGCGCGCGGCTTTGGCGGCGCGGACGGCGGCGACCGAACCCGCGGCGCCGTCGGCATCTTCCCGGTCTTCAGCCGCGCCGGCCGGCGAATCGGCTACCGCCCGACGCAGGCGACGGGGCTTCGGCTAGTGGTGGTGGCGCTCTCTCGGCGTCGGCCAAGCCGCCGTCTTCGCCCCGCTCCCCCGCAGGACTCGTGCTTGATGCGGGAGATGCTCTCCTCCACGCTCTGCCCAATCTGCACCGAGGCGCTCTGGCGCAACCTCCTCTCCTCGGCGGGCGCCGCCGCCTCGCGCATCTCCCTCCTGCACTGGGTGCGCCTCTCCTCCGCGAGGCGAGGCGGCCGCCCCTCCGCCGCGCAGACTCGCATCGAGGCGGCCGTGGCGCCGCTCGGCGCCTTCCGCCGCGCGCGCGTGCCGACGGAAAGACTGCGCGTGCGGCTCTTCCCGCACGGGGACGGCGCGGCGGGCGAGGGCGTGGACATGCCGCAGAGCGGGTCGCAGCGCGCGGGCGGCGGCGATGGCGCGACGGCCGTCGAGCTGCTCGTGCCGAGGATGTCTGCGCCGGCGCGCGAGCGGTGCTGGCGGGTGGCGGTGGAGGTGTCGACGGCGGAGGTTCGCTCCTTCGCCGTGCAGTCGGAGCTCTGCTTCTGCGAGGCAGAGGCGGGGCTCGAGTACGGCGAGTACGGCCTGCAGGACGTGTCGCGGGAGGCGAGGTGCGTGCCGTGCGGCGGCAGTGGGGCTGCGCGGGTGCGGCACGAGTGCCCCCTCTCCGAGGAGGCGGGGGCGGCCTCCTTTGGAGACGCCTCTCTCGCGGATCGCGAGTGCACAGTGCCGCTCCTCCTCGCATGACCGCAGTGCACGCAGCCGAGGTAGGTTGTGTGTGAAGTAGCCGCGCGGTGTCAGATCTCTAGGTCTAGCTGACTCCGCGCGCTGTGTCACAGCACTTGGCACATCTCAATACGTCAATTCAATATAGGTAGAGACAGAGAGGTAGAGTACACGGCACCTTCGCCATGAGATGTCGCATGTGCGTGCCTCACTCTGTGTGGCTCTCTTGTGTAGTGTTCTCGGCCGTCCCTGTAGGACTAGGTCCCTGGTCCGCACATGTGCATGTATCTTTTTGTGAGCTCTTTTCTTCACCAAGAGTCATCAGACTTCACTCTCTCTCATAGTTTTCACAGAGACCCAGACGCAGACCGCAGCCTGAAGCCTGACTCAAGCATTCGGCCCCGTGACGGAGCCCTCCAGCTCGGGCTGCTTGTTAATTCGCTCGAGCGCGGCCATCTCTTCAACGCTCAGCTCAAAATCGAAGAGGCTGACGTCGTCGCGAAAGTGCTCCGCGCTGCTCGCCTCCACGGTGAAGCTCGCGCCGGCCTGCGTGAGCCAGCGCAGCGCCACCTGAAACCCTGTCTTGCCGTGCCGCCGCCCAATCTCGGAGCAGAGCTCCTTGGCGTCGGCCGCGTCGCGAGAGAGGCGCGTGAGTCGGCCATTCCCCAGCGGCGACCAGGCCTGGACGTGGACGCCGCGCCGCGCGTTGGCCGCGATGACGCCGCTGTCGTGGTATCCCACGCAGAGCGGGAGCTGGTTGACGACCGGCCGAGCCGCCTTCTTGGTCGCACACACAACGTCCAGCTGAGCCGGCCGAAAGTTGCTCACGGCGAGGCTGCGGACGAGGCCCGCAGACTGCATCTCCTCGAACGCCCGCCACTGTCCTCTTATGCAGGCGTCGCTTGGGCCGGGGTAGTCTAGCATGATCATATCGAGATGAGTGATCCCGCCGGTACCGAACGCCTCCATGTTCTCCCTGCACCCTAGCTGAGTGAAGCTGTAGGCCGTGTCCTCATCGACCGCCCGGTTCGATACGACGCTGCCGCAGATGAAGAGCTCTTCGCGCGGGACGCCGCACCGCTTGATGGCTCGCGCAAAGCCCGCCTGGTTCCGCGCGAGCACCGATGCGAAGAAGTTGCGGAAGCCCGCCTCGATGGCGAGCAGCGTCAGCTTCTCTGCGGTCGCGTCATCGTATATCTGGAGGCCGAACGATGCGAGCGGAAAGATAGCACCATTGGAGAGCGTGACAGACGAAGGGTAGCTGCTCGCGGCGGCGACAGATGCTGCAGCGGTAGCAGCCGGCATAGCGGCAGCGCCTGGCACGATGCCACCGAGCGAGGCGAGTGATGCCAGTGAGGCTCCGGTCTAGCGGAGACTGGCGCTCGTGCAAGCCCTACCGCATCCGAAAGTCGGGCGAGAGGGCGCTGCCGACAGTGCGGCGAGTCGAGCAGTCGCCAGAGGTCGCCAAGAGGTAGGGTGCGAGATGCCTGTTACGTGATGTCATCTCATGTCGCGCCGCGTTGGCGTGGCGAGCGATACCAATGAGACGAGCGAAGATTGCATAGGGAGCGGTCGACGCTGCGGCTTTCGTCTTTTCTCTCTCTCCACCTTGTACTCTCTCTCCGGGTATAATGTAAGGGGTGGTGCGGCCGTGCCGGCCGCCCTCGCAAAAGTCAAGAGTCACCGGTGGTCAACAGACCCCCTATCCGGGTAGGAGCCGGAACCCTGACACCTGGGGTTCCAACTTTTTCCGGGGTATGGTATGGCACGGTTTTAGGTCTATTGTTGGCAAATCAAGACACAGATTTCACACAGAATCACATCGGGAGGAAAGCGGCGAGTCGCAATTCCTGGGGTCCTTGTGGCGGGCTGCCACCCTGTCCAGAAAGGCACCGGTCTAGGTGCCAATCTGGGGTCTCTCGACCGAGTCTATGAGTCCTGGCCGCCTCCCGGTGGTGGCAAGGTTGAAGAACCAAGCGACGGAGATGGTGCGGGGGTACGGGTGTTCCAGGGGGTCACGACACGCACCGACCCTTCACGAGCCGAAAGGCTGCGCCCGGGGAAGGCACAGTAATCCGGCACACGTGTTGGGCGCCCCATTCCGTTTGGCGGCTAGGTCGGCTCAGGGCCCCGTCCACTTCCCTCCCACTTGGCGCGTGATGGTGTGGGGATGTCGCCCAGGCCAGCCAGGGCAGGGGCGGAGGGCGAGGGCGGAGGGCGGGATGGGCGCCAAGCGGGAGGGGGAGCGAACGGAGTGGAATGCACAGATGGGGGATGGCGAAGGCGGAGGGCGGGAAGGGGGGGAGGGCGGCAAAGGGGTGGGCGAGGTGGAGGGCGGGGGCGGCATGGGAGAGGTGGAGGGCAGCGGAGGCGTGGGCAAAGGGGTGGGGGTATGGTCCTGACCGCCCAAGACTAGCCTTACCATACCCCCAAGCAGGTCTGCCAGCAGGCGGGGGGGGTATGGTCTTGAGCTGGGTTGGCCGATTACACCGTACCATGTCCCGCAAAAAGTTGGAACCCTGGGGGGTGGGGGGTGGCGACACAGCCAGGGGGGCGTCTTTTTTGGGAGTTCATCACAATGGGAGGAGGGTGTGTGTGTGTGGGGGGGGGGGGGGGGGGGCAGGAGAGGGAGGGGGTGCGGGAGGAGGCAGGGGGGAGAGGGAGTAAGTAGAAAGAGGAGATACCACGCTTATTTATTAACACAAACAGACGTGACTGCTGGGAGGGGTCAGGGGGGAGGGCTTGAAATTGACCGAAACAACGGGAAGGAGGATAAATCGCCGCGACTGTCCGCACAGCGCTCCTAAAGGACCAAACCAAGAAGCAAGCACCAGCAAGCGTAATACGCCAATCGTCCTTATCCGGCTCCAACCAAGCCCTCGCCACGAACAATGCTGTCGCTCCTCGCCACCAGTCTCGCCGCGCCCGTCCCCGCCGTGCCCGACGAGAAGTCCCTGGGCGACGGCCACCTGCTCGGCGCCGTGATGCTCGGCGCCGTCGGCGACAAGGAGGGCGCGATCGATATGCTTCACCACGAGGCGCACGAGCTGATCGACGAGATGCACGACAGCAAGCCTGAACGGCAGGAGAACGACCACCACGACTACCATGACGACCACTACCACGACCACTACCACTCGAACTATGGCTCGACCCACCAGGATTCGAACGAGTACTACCACGCTCACGGCGGCCGCAGCCTTGGCGCAGAGGAAGCAGAGAACAAGGAGAGCGACACGGACGCCCGCCCTGTCGAGGCCCCGGCGGAGAAGAGGAGCAACTACCACGTCCACTACCACGCGCCCTCGAGCGGCAGCTACTATGGCGGCGTGGACTCGTTCGGGCCTCCTGACGCGACCTCCTGCCGCGGCTACGACTGCAGCGTCCAAGGACAGTTCTGCCCGCCCGACGCGCCCGGTGGCACGGACATCGGCTCGCTCCTGAGCGGCGATCAGGGCTTCACCTGCTGCTACGGCCAATGGCGCCAAGGCGGGCGGCAAAGCTGCGACTCGTACGTGTCTGATCGCAACTCTGGAAACGGGCTGGTCTACGAGGAGATCACCGAGGAGTGGACCACCGGCGGCGCCGGTTCCTTTGATCACAGCCACTACGGGCAGCCGGTCTACGAGGAGTGGTCTGGCAGCTCATCGTACGGCCACCACCACGACGATGACGATGACGACGACTCGTACGACGAGGGGCACCACCACGGCGGCCGCTGGCTCAGTCAGGCTGACGGCGCCGCGAGCGTGAGCAGTGCCGCGCGCGACGGTGAGAATGCTGAGTCCAAGGCCGACTCTGCTGACACCGACTCCGCTGAGCCGTCAGAGAAAGATATTATTTGACTTTGCCTTCAGTGTCGATTGTCGTCGAGGCGGTCAGATACGAGAAGCCACGAGCAGCCCCATTCCGACCACCAACCACCTCGTACAACTTGTCAAATGCATCAACGGCCTCTGTCTCTCTCTCATCTCTCTCTCATCTCTCTCTCTCTCTCTCTCTCTCTCTCTCTCTCTCTCTCTCTCTCTCTCTCTCTCTCTCTCTCTCTCTCTCTCTCTCTCTCTCTCTCTCGTGCCTCTGTGCGTCGTACACACGCCAAAGCTCTCTCGCCGTGGCGGTCCGAGCCGTGAGCCGCGCCGAGATATATCTCTCCGCACCCTTCCGTCATAGTCTGAGGGTATCCTAAAAGTTCGGCCGATTTGGGTCAAAACGCTAAAAGCACGGCTAGCCGTAGATTTGGGGCAAAACGACAAAAGTGGGCCCGCCCGGGGCAAAATGGTAAAAGTCGCGCCGCCGCAGGCGCGCGAAAATTTTGGACATTCTACTCTCCGGCGAATGCCACTAGCCCCCCAAGCCGGGGCAGATGGTCGGCAGCTGCAACCAAGCCAGCGGGTGAAGTGTTGTGGGAGATGCGTCCTTATGTGTCACAAACTTGTAGCGCCACATGTACATGTTTGGACACACACCGGCGGGCGAGCGGCAGCATTTTTTTAGCCATAGTGTGCGCGGGGGCTACTTTCTTTGCCGTTTTGCGGGACGATAGCTAGTACTTGCTGCACCCGGCGCGCAGCGCCGAAGTGCGAAGAATTTTTTTCTAAAAGTTGGGCGCTCCGAGACGACCACAAAGTGGTAAAAGTCGCACTCTCCCGTGACCCGATCAAAAGCGTAAAAGCACCCGAGGCTCCAGAAACCTAACCCTCAGACTATGCCTTCCGTGGACCGTGCACCGTGGTCTGGAGACCGCGTGCGAGCTCCGTCGCGCCGTCCGGCCGAGTCGTGTGAGTATTTGTTTACCACACAGGCAGTATTCGAGTACAAGCTATAAGATGTTCAACAGCAGGGCTGAAAAGTGCAAGAGTGTGTAGTGAAAAGTAGGAACACTGAGAAACGTACGAATTGCGGCTCGGCCGCGGTCAGCGAGGCCTCAAACCCGATCCTCCACCCTCCATGCTACCATGCAGAAGTCAGTCGTCCCCGAGGTCAATCTCCTCGTCCACCGGAAGCGGCGCAAAGACCCCGTCGGCCGCCGTGGTCGGCGGCGGCGGAGGCACGGGCAGGCAGAGCCCGCCGTCCACGCCGTGCAGCCCCCTCCCGTCCCGGACCGCCGGGCCGGACGTGCCGCCCGCCTGCGAGCGGAACTCGGCGGGCAACCCAAAAGTGCGCGCGAACGCCGCCGTCTGCGGGCTCTCCGCAAAGTGCGGCTGCGCCGCCGGCGGGTCGCCGTGCTGGTACGGCGGCGCGGTGACCGCAAAGTCGAGCGGCACCGCCAAGTCTCCGCCGGCCGCCTCGAGCACGCTGCTGAGCTCCTCCTCGCTCGGCCCAAAGTCGGCGCGGCCGCCGCTCGCTCTACCGACCGCCTGCGGGTCGAGAGGCACGCGGTGATCTGTAGCAGTGCCATGGCGAGAGAATCTGACAGGAATGAGGCCGCCTGCGGGTCGAGAGGCACGCGGCCGCGCCGGTTCGAGAAGAGGTGCGCCTGTCGCAAAGGGACACGCAATCACGAGGAGGCGACATCTCGGCGAGGTCTCGGCGAGATCTCGCCGTCGAGCGGAGGACCGCGATCCACTCGGCGTCGTAGCGCAGCACGGGGGGCGAGCCGTCGCCATCGACGGTGATCAGCTGCGGAGGGCGGCGGCGGGCGCTGAGCAGCCCGGGGGCACAGGGTTGGGGGGGCGAGGGCGAGAGGTGCGAGGGCGAGAGGGGTCGGGGTTCAGGGGGTCGGTGCGAGGCCTGCATAAAGTCGCGCTGCGGGAGGCACTTGTCGAGGGAGAGGAAGCGAGTGGCGCTCGCTCCGGCGGCGTGCTGCACCACCGCCGCGAACTTGACGTGCAGGTGCGCCGCGAACCAGTAGTCGGGCTTGAGGTGCTTGAGCAGCTGCTCGCCTGCAGGAAGGGTCCGAGCAGCTTGGGAGGGAGGCCCCGGCACGACCGCCTTGGGCGCTCTAGGGGCTGCTCGCCGGCGGGAGAGCCGAGGGAGCCGTCCCTCACCTCGTCGCGCAGAAAGGACTTTTTGCGGAGCAGCGCGTTTGTGTCGCCCATCGTGGCGATGTGGGCGGGCCAGTCGTGCGAGAGGAAGACGTCCATCGGCTGGCGGAGCTGGAGCAGCCGGAGCACCTTTGGGCGGGCGGGGGTGGGAGTGCGGAGGGGAGGGGCGGCGGTGGGAGGGGAGGGCGTGCGGGAGAGGCGTGGGGTTGGGGGCCGGTGGCGGGAGAGTGGTGTGCGAGGTGGTGGTGTGCGGCGCCTCGATCTCTCTGACGTGGTACGCGGACCGCATGTCCGAGTCGGAGTAGGGAGGCGCCTCGCAGTGGCCGGTGTGGTAGTGGCGCCCGTTGTAGATGCCGCTCAGCCCTCCGATGCGGACGCCTCCCACCGACACCACGCCCGCGTACCCGAGGAAGTAGATGTTGGGCGCGACCCAGCCGCCGTAGTAGAGCTCCCAGAGGTGGGAGGACGCCTCGTGGTTGCCGCCGATGAAGATCGTGAGGACGGGCGCACGCTTCTCGCCAGAGTAGTACCGGTGAAAGTCCTGCATCGAGCGGTACTTTGCGGGGCATGCCATCGTCGCCAGGTCGGACTGGTTGCGGACGGCCTGCGTGGCGCGGGTGAGGCATCGAAGCGGCGCACACGTGCAGGCGTCGTCGCGGCACAGGCGCAGGCGGCGACGGCGGCCGCGATGGGAGTGCGAGGCCATCGCAGCACCTGGAAGTCGCCGCAAATGAGGAGGAGGTCGACGGTGGTCTGGTGAACCGCCTCGATCTGCGCCACGGATGCGTAGATCGAGTCGAGCTCGCCATGGCCGCAGCCCACCAACGCGATGCGCATGGTAGCCGGGGTCGCCCGAGTGGGGCTCAGTTTCTCCGCTCCACGCCTCGCCACGCCTCGCCGCTTGCGGTCCTTCCAGCGCACGAGTTTTTCTTTTTTCACGACAGCTCGCGCTTGTCATGTGAGAGCGTGCGCTGTGCGCACTCCGCTCCGCAACGTATTTCTTTGTACCTCGGTGTTGAGCGTTCACGCTCAGTTTTTTGCTCAGCTGCTCCTCCCTGGGTCTCTCCCCATGCCGCTCTGGCGAGCACTGCGCGGGTGCTATCCGTCCGACGAGGCAGCTCTGACTGCGCTGACCGCCAACAAGGGTATTGTTACGCCATGGGTTGTCTCTCCGTCCACCATCACCAGCAACAACGCGCTGTTGCGAGGGATGCTGGGCAAGCAGCGAGCGCTCAATGTCATCACGAAGAATCCCGGCGTACTTGCGTGCGATCCAGAGCGCCTCGCAATCTCGAGTCCGCAGGAGATAGAGGCCGTCGCGAGCGCCACTTCGGCCGTCGGCAGAGCGTCGACGCCACTCGCCTTTGCCGCGCTCGCGCTTTTCACGCTCGCGCTGCTGCCTTCTGCCGGCGTCATGGACGCCGAGCTGGCCGGCTCAATTGTCCGCCCGGCGAGCGGCGCGATAGGCGCCACGGCCTTTTTCGCGGCGTTGGCGGGAGCGACAGCAGCACAAAGGCGGTCGTAGGCACTTCTCTGGAGCCGTGAGACAGGTTTACGCCCGCCACACACACATATTTTTTGATGTTGTGGAAATGTGTTCAGCGTAAAATTAAACGAGTGGTGGGCTAGGTGGTGGGCGCCCCGTGGGGTCTAGCGCGTAGCGGAGAGGTCGAGCAGGGCAGTAAGGTCCCAAAGCAGGTCGGGGATTTATTTGACAGAGTCAGAGATCAGAACCTACACTAGCACCGCCGACCTGGAGGTCCGCATGCGGCATGGGGTCAGTTGACCAGTTTCCGACCTCTGTACGTAGGCTGTAGGTCAATCAATCCGACCTGCTACTCTCCACATATCTCATATGGGAGAGCACGTGGTAGCTGGTAGAGGCGCCACCCACGGGGCGCGTGGCCCAAGCCCAGCGGAGAGCGAGCGAGCGAGGGCCGTGTGAGTGTACACGGCTACGAGAGCGCTTCTGGACTCGAGCGAAGGGGCATCGACGCCCCGATCATACCGACTGCGTGAACGACCACAGTCTCAAGACGTCGAGCACCTGCGGACCAGAGCGGGTCGGAGGGGTCTCAAAAGGATAGGGTCGAGGGGAGCGAACGCGAAGTGGCGCACCTGTCGCACGTGATCCCTGAGTAGGTGCGCTGAGGATGCACTCTGCTCCAGCGCCGAGGCGTATTGGCCGGCGGGGTCGGCCGCGAGGCAGAGTGCTGGCGTCGAATGCGCCGTCGTACCGTCCAGCAGGCGGGTGCCCGCATCGGTCTCGCTCTCGGACGGGTCGACCAGAGCGACGTAACGGTCAATCGCCCCTCCTGTTGGGCCGATTCGAGAGTGAAGCAGAGACTGCCACGGCGCATCGGCCGCCCATGGATCAGCGTCGGCGCAAGCAGGGGACTCCATGACGTTTTCTTCGTCCCCCTCGTCGAGGTCGGTGTCGGCAGGCGTGTGGGGAGGCGCGACGCGCAGCATTGCTCGCTCGGCCCCAAGCAACTGATTGCGACGAGACCAGCAGAAGCGGACGCCAGCCGCGAGCCGCGAGGCTTCGCGGTGCACCTCAGCTTCGAGCGATGGGTCTTTAAGTCGCGGCCGTTGGTCATGGCTGAACGCTTCAGCGTCTGCGTCGTGCGGGCAGAGCCAGACGCCGGCGTCGCGCAAGCGATGGAACAACAGCGCTGGCGCCAGCGGCGTGGAGGCCAATGTGGCGAGTTCGGCCGGGCACTCGGAAGACGGAACGAGCGCAACGCCACTGGCGCTGAGTTCAAGGGCGTAGGTGTGCCGCCGCGCTGTCTCGAGCAGCAGCGTGCACCGCGAGGGGCCGCTTGGGGTGAGCAGCCAGCGGCGGAAGGGCAAGTCCGCATGCCGCGGCTGCACGAGGGCGATCGTGCTGGTAAGCCGCGGAACGTAGGCTGAGACTGTGCGGCTGAGGGCGTCGTACTCGGCATCCTCGACGCCATCCGTCCGCCATTAGCGCAAATTTAGCACATATTTAGCACATTATTTAGCACATATTTAGTGTGTTTTATCTCCAATTTGGCGCCACATTTAGGTGCGGGCAGCAGCAGTACATTTAGTGTAGGTCCCGCATCTTTAGTGCGGGCACGCATCTTTAGCACGGCTTCCCGGCCACACCACAGCTAGCCAGGGCCGCGTGCTTTGCTCCTTGGCTGCCAAGAATGCACCACAGGAGATGCCTCTCCCTGCCGCCCCTCGCCTCTCCCTGCTGCCACGGCAGCGCCACCATCGTCTGCTCCGGCCGTGTCTGCCATCGCAGTAAAGTCGTTATGTTCACGCCCCGCTTCCGGCAAACGTTTTGCCGCTCGGCGGGCCCGGAGAAGCAGCCGGGAAAGCACCGGAGGCTGATATTTAGCTGAATTAAAAACCTTCGTTCGGTTGGGGGTCGGACGGGAAACTTTTGCGAGTGGGCAGGGGACTGCAGGGGGAGAGGGGGAGGGAGGCCCAGCGAGGGGCTGCGGCTGGATCCTAGTGCGCGGATGGACTAAAGACGCACTAAACCTCGCTAAATCTGGATGTAAAGTCGCAGTAACTCGCGCTAAATTTGCGCTAAATTCGCACTAAATTCGCGCTAAAGTGCACTAAAGATGCAGTACATAAACTCACTTCACACCTCACTAAATTTAGACCCAGGCGCCCTCCTGTTCTCCTGTATCTAGATACATCATACATGGACTGCTGCGGCACGACCGCCAACGAGATTGGGGCCAGCACAACCGAGCCATGCATCGTGAAGGCGATAGTCCACCCGCCGGCTCGGAGTAACCCTGCACTCTCTTCTTCGAGTCCGTATGCTGGGTGGACGGCAGACACCAAGTCTGAAGGCCGGCTGCGTCGCCCTCGAGCTGCCTCAACTGCTGCTCCTCGACCATGTCGACGTCGCACATCAGCCGCTGGCTCATCAGTAGCGCCGCCAGGAGCTTGGCCGTCGCGCCGCCCACCCGCTTGGCTGTAAGCGCGCGGTGGACCTTGCAGGCCAGGCACCAGGCCGAGCCACAAACGATGCCATCGCGTCAACTTTCCCTATAGGTATAGCTGGGGTCGATCCCAATAGTCAATAGACAGTCCGTCCGACCACCCTACAGTACCCGCCTCAACCCACTTTACCCCTACTATTATATTACCAGTACTCGAGTAGGCTAACCTCGGAATGTGACACCAGAATGCCGCTGTGTCACATTCCCGGCTTAGCCACACTCGAGTGCGCACAAAAATCGACTGCGTCGCGACGCCCGGTACAGCGTTGCGCTCGAGCTTCGAGAGCTTGGGCGAGCTCTGAGACGCTTGCGTCAGAAGGTGCTGCTCTATGCTCGGCGCAGCGTTCCTGTTGCACGGAAATCAGCCACGCCGTGCAGTGCGAAGCGGTGATATCCGTGCCAGCGCCTCGGCTGCTGACCTCACCGCTGCGCTTCGCGAGATTCCAAGCCGCGGGCTCGATCAGCATGAGGACGCGTACAGGCCGCCGGCGTACGTGGAGGGCATGCTGGAGTTGATCGATACGCTCGCGTCGATCGGCTGGCCCACCAATCAGGCCGAGGTGTGGCACTCCCTATCTCGGACTTACACTCTGATTTCTACCCCCGACTTGCCGCTGTCCGGCACCTTGGTCAGGACTGGATGATTGCGGACTGCTTCTTCTCGAGCACCTGGCGGCTCGCCTACACCTCCTCGAGGACGTTCGCGAGGTACCGTGGCCTCAGCGGCTGGGGCGGACGCATCGACGGAGTCACAACACCGGAGCTGCGCATGCGGGTCGCGCGGAGCCCGCAGTGCGTCACGTTTGAGGAGCCACTCTCCGAATCGGCTGCCTTCGCCATCGCCAGCGCGCTCGCCCTGCCCGCCGATGAGGCGGCGCCGTCCGCGGTTCTGATCGACGGGACGTGGCGCATGGCGGCGAGCGAGGGGCTCAATATTCAAACGACAGCGATCCGGCTCGGCTCGCGCAACTTTAAGCCGGCTGACGGCGCGGCCGACGGCATGGTCGATTTCGAGCACGAAAAGGCCGTGCGCGTGCTCGGGGCGACCACGCCGGTCTACCTCGACGCCGCGCTTCTAGTGCTGCGCGCACAGGCCGACGGTGTCGTGTTTGTATGGGAGAGCCTGCCTTGAAGCTTATCCAGCTCTCTCTCTTACGTGCGTCTTGGTCGAGCGCTGCTTTGTTTGTTATCGCATTCAGGCACATCGAGTATAGACGAAAAATACGACACGACACAACACGCCGGTATTGTCTCCTTGGGGTTGGGCCTTCCCTTGTCTGTTGACAGTTGAGTGTTGTCTCTCTCTCTGCGTCTCCGAGACGCGAGAGAGAGAGACAGAGAGAGGCGCGGAGGCCAATTCCCCTAACGCGTGCGCCACACACACCCGGCCACGAGCTAGCCTGTACGGTGCAGCGCACTGCACCACATGCACATGCTCATGTGGCAGACTAGCGACCAAGGCCGCGATTGGAGTTATGTTGGAGTTATGTTTGCGCCGCTGCTCGGCTCCCGCGTGGCCGGCAGCTCGGCCGCGCCCCACAGAGACACCGCGCTGCCGCCCTTGCCTTTGCCCTCCTCGACGGCCCCGGCCTCTACCTCACCGGGGCTGGCGCTCAGGCGGCCCTCGGCACCGAACTCCGCCTCCACGTCGCCAGTTGGCAGCAGCGCGACGACCAGCGCGGCCAGCAGCGGAAGCAGGCCGAGGGTCCAGCCGACCCACACGCTCCAGGCGGGCAGGAAGCCCTTGCCCGCGGGGAAGGGCGTCGACGACGCCGCGTCCATGATGTCCCATTTGTTAAGCGACATGGCGACGACGACGACGAGCAAGGCGGGGCAGATGAACTTCCAGCTCACCGTGTGCGTCCACCCCACCGTCTGGCCCGTCCACTCCTTCACCCGCCGCCGGAAGCCGAGCCAGACGGAGCTTCTGAACCAGCACACGCCGAAGCACTCCATGCCCGTGACGAAGAACATGGCCACCACGCAGGAGTAGCTGTCCATCAGCTCGAACCAGTAGATGCCACTCCGAGTCACAAAGATCAAGCCGAGGAGGTAGGAGAGGACGCACACCACGGCCGACAGCTTTGGCCGCGACAGCCCGCCGCCGACGCCCGCGTCGCTCAGGACGGTGACGATGCTCTCGACCATCGCGAACTGCGAGTCGATCCCGAGGCAGAGGAGCATCACGAAGAAGAGCATCGCCCAGAAGAACCCGCCCGGCATGCTCGCGATGGCGATGGGGAAGGCGACGAAGGCCAGCCCCGTGCCCGACAGACCGACGGACGCCAGCCCGCTCAGGTCATCGCTCCGGATGCACGGGTTGTACTGCGAGAGCTCGTGCGCCAGGTAGCCGAGCACCGGGAAGACGACGAAGCCGGCGAAGATGGAGGTGCCGCAGTTGATCAAGGACACCTTGGTCGCGTCGCTCAGAAAACGGTTGTGCTTGCTCCCGTACGAGGCGAAGGCGATGAGCGAGCCGAAGCCCACCCCGAGGGAGTAGAAGATCTGCGTCACCGCGCGGACCCAGACGGTAGCGTCGAGGAGCACGCTGAAGTCGGGCTTGACGAAGAAGGTGACGCCCGTCGCCGCGTTGGGCAGCGTGATGGCGCGGAAGAAGAAGACGACGAGGGCGACGTAGGGAAGAGTCGCCGTGACGTACACGACCTTGCCGCTGCTCTGCACACCGTTGTAAACGCAGAGGTAGACGAGGATCCACGCGACCGAGAAGGCGCCGAGCATGCCCCACTGGAACCCGCCCAGGTCGTCCATGCCGCTGCTCTGCTGCAGCACCTGGTTCTGCCAAAAGTCGAGGGCCGAGTGTCCTGGACACTCTGACGGCCTGACTTCGACCTGCACGAACCCGGCGGGGATCGCGGTATCGTTGGCCTCGCTGCGGGCGATCGGGTCGACGTGGTGCGCCACGGCGTCCGGGTCGACGGTGGAGAGGCTGCCGGCGGACGGGCACCAGAAGTCGTCCAGGTGGGACGCGTTGAAGCGGCCCGTGGCATTGTTGAACAGGGTGGGCAGCCCAGCGAGCTCGGCCGGGACGACGAGCGTGGTCAAGGGGCAGTCTCCGCCGAGGTCTGCCCAAGGCAGCTCGCCTCCGCGGAACATGGCGCCGACCGTCCGGCCGATGTAGTAGACCGTCCACGCGAGGATCACGTTCTGCGGGCGAGGCGAGGCGAGGCGAGGTGAGGCGAGGCGAGGCGAGGTGAGGCGAGGCGAGGCGAGGCGCGTTGTGGCGAGGGTAATCTCACGTAGTAGAGCGAAACGAAGAAGGTGCAGAGCGTCGCCGCCACGCCGACGCCCCGAAGCCTTGGGAGGCCAAGCCGCGACCACATCCCGAGGGTTCCCTGTCGGAACATCTGGCCAAGCCCGAGCTCGAGCTGGAACAGAGGGAGGCCGAGCAGCATCAGGGAGAGGAGGTACGGGATGAGAAAGGCGCCACCGCCGTGCTCGTAGGCGAGGTAAGGGAAGCGCCAGATGTTGCCCAAACCCACAGCGTACCCGACGAGGGTGAGCATCAGCTCGAGCTTGCTGGCGTACTCCGGTCGCGACTCCGTGACGGCGTCACCATGCGCGGCCATGGTTCGGGCGGGGGCACGCTACCCAGCACAACCGGGACGGGGTGTGCTGCACGCCTTACCTGGTCGCGGCAGCAGCCACAAGGACGTGTAAGTAGGAGGACGGACGGGCCGAGCAATTTTTTTCCCCCTTTGTTTCCAGCTCGACGGGAGAACTTTGCTTTAGGTATATTGTTTTAGGTATATTGCTTGGCCTTGAAAAAAAGGCAGAAAAAAGTTGAACCGCACGCCCCTGCCTGCGGCGCGATTTTCGCGAATTTTAGAATTTTACAACAAAACTCCCTCGCACAACACTGGGCACGGGACTGGCTAGGCCCCAAATGACGCGTGAGTGTTAGATGTGTGGGGTCCGTTTCTCCCTCTCTCCCTCTCTCCTCCCTCTCCTCCCTCTCCTCCCTCTCCTCCCTCCTCCCTACCAAATTTGGTCTGTCTCCGACCCTGATAGTTCTAGAGCGATGTTGCCTGACTTGGTCGAATCTAGATGTGTGGGGTCCGTTTCTCCCTCTCTCCCTCTCTCCTCCCTCTCCTCCTGTCCTGCCTCCTCCCTACCCGGGTACCCAGGGTTCCCACTTTTTCCGGGGTATGTGGTATGGTAGGGTCGCGCATGCCAGCTCAAGACCATAGCTAGTCTTGGGCCCCCTACCCCTTTGGCTTACCATACCATACCCCGGAAAAAGTTGGAACCCTCGCTGGTAAATTTGGTCTGCGCCCGCACACTCGTCAAGCGGTCGTCCAGCACGAGTTGGGGCGAGAGCGTTGGTTCTGCGCGAGGGCGCTCCTGGGACGCAAGCACGGGGTCGTCCAATACGGTACGTCAGTTTGCTATTGCTGGGCGAATGCTTGCCGACGGCGTGCTCTGGGTCGGCGGCAGCAGCGGCCTCGCTCGCACCTTCTTCGAGGAGCGCGTCGGCCCGCTGAAGGGCGAGCGGTTCATCTGCACCGGCGTGGAGCCGGACGCGCCAGAGTGGCTGCTGGGTGTGCCTTCGCTGGCGTACGTGCCGCTGGACCTGACGAGCGCCGCCAGCGTGGGCACCCTCTTCCAACGCCTGCCCCACGGAGCCGGCACGCTGGTCATTGGCGCGCGCCTGCCGCTCCTCGGCAGCGGCGCCCACACCACGCTGCTGCCTCAGCTGGGTGCACTCGTGGCGGCCGCGGCGGTCGCGGGCGTGCGGCGCGTGCTGCACGTCTCATCCGTCGCGGCAGCCGACCACCTTCGCGCGCAGCGCGGCGTGGACGAGGAGGCGCAGCTGCCTCCGCTGAGCGAGTACGCCGGGGAGTATGACGTGTTCAAGCGCTGCTCCGAGGAGGAGATCGGGCGCGCCTGCGAGGCGGCCGGGCTGCCGCACGTCCACCTGCGACTGAGCGCGATCTTCTCCAACGAGCCGCAGTGCATCCAGGCCGCACCGCCTGCTCCACCTCCACCTCCCACCCTCCCACTCCTCCACCTCCCACCCTCCCACTCCTCCTCGCCGCCAGCCGCCGCCAGCCGCCCTCCGCCGCCGCAGGTGCGCGCCCTCGCGCTGCAGGCGCACGCAGGCGCCTACCTGCCCGTGCTGCTCGATGCAAACTCGAGCCGGAACGTCTGCACCGCGCTCCGGCTGCTGCTCGAGCGGCTCGAGGCGGAGGCGGCGTCGGTGCGGCGGCTCTACTACTACACGAGGCCGCGCGGGCCGGCCGTGCCGTACGGCGAGCACCTCGTCGCCTACCGCGCCGCGCACGCGACGTCGCCGGCGGTGTGGCTGCCCTACCTCGCGGTGGCAATGCTGGTGGCGCTGTGGCACGCGGCGGTGAGGCACACGCCGCTGGGCCGGCTGGCGGGCGCGCGCTCCGTCGACTACCTGCTGCAGGTGAGCAGCAGGGACCACACCTTTGACAATGGCCGCATCCATCGGGACTTCCCGTCGCTCGCCGCGTCGGAGGAGAGCCTCGTGCGGGCTTTCAGGCGGATCGAGGCGCGCGCGCTGCAGCGGCGAAGGGCTGGCCGGCGGCGGCGCGGTACGGCTTTATGGTGAGGAATCGAGAGGATCGCACCGGTGGACATATTTAAGGTCATGGAGAGTTTTTGCGGCTTTAAAATCGCGTGTTCCCCCCCGGCGGACACTTTTAACCCGGAGAAACGCATCACACATACCACGGCGCAAGGGCGCAGGGACGGAGCGCGGTGGTCCGGTGGAGAGCGTGGACTCGTGGAGGGGACGCCGGCCCAATTATAGTAAAGAGATAACCATAATAGGGGAGTAACCAGTGACTCAAAAACCAGTATACCAGCTTTTTATAGCACCTCCCCGCGCACACGACATGCAGGTTCCAGCGCGGACCCGTGCGTGTGGGCTGTCTCCCGGGGGGCGGTGGGTCGGAGTACGGAGAGGCAGAGGGGGCGCAAGGCACGCGTCATCAATATTCACGACATTCACTTTGTTCGGAGTCGTCCTTAGGGCCCACGGGCCGAGGGCCGCCGCTTCATGGCAGCTCTGCCGGGACCACCACCTCCCCGGCATTCTCCGTTGCATCCTCCTTCTTGGCCGCCATCAGCAAAAGCGCGTCCACCGCGCCAAGCACGGCACTTCCGAGCTTCGAGATGAGCACCACAATGAGCACCGTCCGGAGAAAGCCTTCGCTGAAAATAGCCTCCTGGGAGCTCTCCGGAACAATGTCTCGGCCGAGCGCGAGGCCCTTCTCGATGAGGCCAGCAGGCAGCGGTACCGCACCGGGTGTCGCGTCTGCCATCTGACGAGCGTGGCTTGCACACAGGTAACTGGCGAGCAGCGCGCCGAGCAGCGGCGCCACGAGCACCGTGATGATCTTGTACGAAGCAACTCGCAGCCCGGCGCGGCCGAAGAGCTTGCTAGCCAGCTCGGTGAACTCCTGTTTGTTCAGCTTGCCGCTGTCGTCGTTGTCCGAGGTGCGGAACAGGAGATCGGCAGTTGCTCTCGATGGCGGAGCAATCGGCGCTTGCCGGTTGATGTTGATGTAGAGCTTCAATATGAGGATGTATGCCTCGCTGATGTCGACCTTGCCGTCGTTGTTTGTGTCAGCATCGTCGAAGATCCCGCTCACCATGCCCTCAAAACCTGGAAGCTTCATGCACGGCAGCACCTGAGCGGCGGGAGCTGCACCGACGCCATGCATGCCCACTGGAATAGCACGCTTCTTAGGCTTCGTTGTCGCAAGCGCGCGCTTCTTCTTCAGGTAGACACTGTTTGGCGGCGTTGAGCTGGGCGGCTTGACGGTGGGCATGGGTGTGAGAGAGACGCGGACTCAGGTGTGCGACTTGCGTGGCGCCGAGTATGTGCGTGCCACGACGGGCAGATTCTACAACGTAACCATTGGAGCTCAGTGTGGCGTGAATTCAGAAGATTAAGACAACATCGGACGCCGTGAGGGGGTGAGAGGCGGACCTAATAAGGAAGGTTTCTTTACCACCCCTCCCTGACCGAGCTCCCGCTCGACAGAGTTGCACAAAAAACTCAGAATTCGATTTCTTTCTATCTAGCAACTGATGCATCATGCTCTCCGTCCTCGACACAGAGGCACAACCCCGGACCCAGATCACGCACACGACAGCCGAGTTACGAAATTAAGACCCTCCCCAGGCATCCTCGCTAGCACCCAGCAACGCGGCCAAAGGACATCCACATCGAGAACCTACAGCGGATTTCATTCGTCAACCCCTTGCGCTCTCTTCACACGGGCTCTCACAGCAGACTGTGAGAGTCCCGTGAAGGTTCAGGCGGGCGCGAGCTCTCTTCTTGCAACCCTGTGATCTGTGATCTGTGAGGCTCCGCCCGCAGGCGCATTTTGTATACCGAGGCGGTGCCCGGTGCCGAGCGCAGGCAGAGCCCATTGTAGATCCCTGGGCGAGGGTGGTGGAGAGGGCGGTCCGGCGGCGGAGCAACCACCTCCTCCCGACGTGTCGGCAGGCAGGATGTCATCCCCCGTGATCCAGACCGCCCCGTTGGAGGTAGGCCGCTCTTCTAGCCAATCAGCCTGGCCGTTGGAATGGCCTGCCCCTCACGCCGGGGACAAACCCGTACTAATTCTTTGTTGAGGCGCCTCTGTGTCTCTCGCGGCGGTTCCGCGAAGGAATGCGACGCAATCGTGCACCACAGAAAGACAGCGACGAGCCCGCCGATGTGGACGACGATCCGCTCAACGCGTCCATCATCGCCATCGTCGAGAACGCAAAGTTCGAGGTCGGCGTCGCAGTGATCTGCTTGGCGGACTACGCGGTTGAGGTGCGCGCTGCCCCGGTCTGGTTTTGGGCCACGCCTCTCTCACACACGCGCGCCGCGGCGCTGCAGATCTCTCAATTTTGCGACGATCCCGCCTACTCCAAGACTGTGTCGATGATTGCCCGACACGAGCCCCGCCAGCTTTTCTTCACGGCCGCAATGAAGGACCGCCGCTAGCCGCGGCTCCCTGCCCTGATTCACTCGCTCCGCCCCCCACACGCCGACCTGTGGCTGCAGGACAGCGTGCTCGAGTGCATCGTGAAGAACGAGTTTTCCTTTGTGCGCATCGAGCACCGGTCGCGGAAGCACTGGGACGAGCTGCGGGGGCTTGGCCACCTCCGTCACTACGCGCTCGACCCGGCAGCGCTCGAGAAGGACGTCGAGGAGAAGTTCCTCTGCCTCGCTGCGCTCTGCTGCCTCATAGACTACTTTTGGGAGCACGAGGCCACCGTGTTTGTCAAGGGGATGCTGCGAATCAAGTTTACGGGAGCACACGGCGTGCTTCTGCTCGACCCCGCCTCGGTGAGAAACCTGGAGCTGCTCCGCAGCCTTCGGACGGGCGATCCGAAGGCCGGGCCCGTGTTGCCTGCTCCCGGCGTCCGCTGCTCCACCACTCGCTCATGCGCGGCGCGCCACGCACAGGAGTCGCTCTATGGCATCCTCAAGGCCGGGTGCAAGACTTCGTCGGGCGCGCGGCTCCTCCGTTCCTCGCTGATTCAGCCCAGCAACGACCTCTCAACCATCAACACGCGTCAAGAGTGCGTGCTGGAGCTGCTTGGGCGCGAAGACACGCTGCTGGACCTGCAGCGTATCCTGCCGCAGCTGGCTGACTGCGACCGCGTCCTCAAGCACTTCATGCAGCGGTCGAGCGACGCGTCAAAGCAGTCGCAGAGCTCCCGAGCGGAGGCTTCGATCGCATCGGTCCTGCACCTCAAGCAGCTGGTGCAGATCGCACCGACCCTGGCATGTGCGCTCTCGTCCAACGGCCAAACCCCTCCGGAGAATGAGCTGCTCCGTGCGGTCGAGCGCATCATGCGAGCCGCACCGGCCCGTGTCCCGCCTCCTTGCCCAGGCAAAGCCGCGGTCTGACATCCATCCCACTCGTAGGCTCTCGCCACAGCTGAGGGACATCGAGGACCTGATCAGCAGCCATATCGAAGGTGCGCAAGCGTGGTCGCATCTCGCTCGGGTTTGCGGGGCACGCGACACACGCTGACGCCCCGCTCGACGTCTTCGGTGCAGACGATGCCAAGTACGAGAAACGCCACGCTCAGCGCCAGCTGCAGTGCCTGTTTGCGGCGCGGAACGAGCTGTCGGGCAGCCTCAAGACGCATCGTGAGACGCTCGGCGCTCTGACGCTGCAGATGGAGGAGCTGCTCGAGAGCCTTCAGCGCGACCTCTCCCTGGAATCGCTCAAGCTCAACTACAGTCAGAGGCGCGGGTACCACTTCACCCTTCCGGCTGCAGAGCGCCCGCTGGCCGTGCAGCACAACTTCATCCACATCCAGATCATGTCCAAGCGGACCGTCGGCTGCTCGACCGAGAAGCTCCAGCAAATCAACTCTCGCTGCCGCGAGTGAGCGCGACGCTCTAGTTTTGTGCTCTAGTGCACACGGCGTCGCTGGGCCTGCCTCATGGCCTACCTAGCCAACCAATGCCGCCCTGCCCGCTCGCCGTCCCCTCGCCCTCGTCCTCTCTCACCGACCCGCCCCCGTCGCTGTGTGCGGTCAGCGTCATCCAGAAGATCCTCGCCGCCACGGAGCGGGTAACTCTCGCCCCGCGCGGCCTCGCGAGACGCCGCAGAGAGGCGATCCAAGTGCAGCGGTGCCGTCGCACGAGTAGGTCATCGGCGGGCTCATCGAGGAGCTGCAAAAGAAGCTGCAGCTCCTCTTCCGACTCTCCGAGTCGGTCGCGCTGCTAGACATGATGCGCGCCTTCGCCCCTCTCTCCCCGCGGGGAGAGGCCCCCCTCTGCCGCCAGCAGGCTGCTAGAGCCAAGGCAACCCCGCATCGCAGGTGCGCCTTCACGTCGTATGTCCGGCTCTCCGGCTCCGCCTTTGCCCGCCCCGTCGTTGGCGAGGGCGACGAGCTGGTCCTCAAGGGGTCAGCCCCCCTCCACCCCCCAGGCCGCCCGCGCGCCCTCTGACAAGCGAACCCTCATCCCGGACCGCGCCCCTCGGACTGCAGATCGCGGCACCCGATCCTCGAGCGGCTGGGCAGCGCTTGGCCCGCGAGGCGGGCTGCCGTGGCCTGCTCTCGCCTCCCTACCCATCGCCGCCTCACTAGGCGAGCACTCCGCCGTGCCAAACGACGTCTTCGTCACCCCCGCGTGCAACCTGCAGCTCATCACTGGACCGAACATGGCGGGCAAGTCCACCTACCTGCGGCAGGTGGCGCTCATCTGCCTGATGGCGCACATCGGCTGCCCCGTCCCCGCCGAGGACGCGCAAGTGCCGCTGCTGCAGCGCGTCTTCACGCGCATCTCCACCTCGGACTCGCTCGAGACCAACGCGTCGAGCTTCGTGAGCGAGATGCGCGAGACGAGCTACATCCTCCGCAACGTGCGGCCCGGCTGCGCGGCGCTCGTGCTCTTCGACGAGCTGGGCCGCGGCACCTCGAACCGCGCGGGGGCCAGCCTCGCGTGGGCCATCGCGGAGTTTGTGCAGCAGCACCGCACCACCTTCACCCTCTTCGCCACCCACTACCTGCAGCTCGCGAACCTGCAGCGGCTCTACCCGACCGTCAAGTGCCTGTCGATGGCCGTCGAGCCAACCGACCGCCGCCTCTGCTTCGAGTACAAGGTGCAGACCGGCGTCGCCACGACCGCGCAGTACTGCACCGACTTCCTCGCCGAGGTGGCGGGCATCCCGGCGGGCGTGTGCGCCGCGGCGAAGCGGCTGGCGGAGCGAGTCGAGTTCGACCCGGTCGATGCCAACGCGGAGCGATCCCGCGCCGAGGCGAACCGCAACAGCATTGCGGAGCGGCTCGTGATGCTCCAGCGCAGCTCCACCCTCTCAGACGACGACCTCTCCCGCTTCATGCACGACCTGCAAGGGCGCGTGCGCGGCGGCATCCAGACCGCCGCGGGTCCGCGCGCGACGGCGCCGCCGCGGCCGGCGTCGTCGCCGAGCACCGCCTCGCGTCGCCAGGGGGCGGAGCAAGCTGGTGGCGCGGACTCGCGCGGCTCGCCTGGCCTGCGCACCGTGCAGCGATCACAGCGCACTCGAGCCGACCCCTTGGGAGTGGGCGCCGGCCATGGCACCCGCCCGCCTGCCTCGCCGCCGCGCTGGCCGTCGGCGCCTCCGGCCGAGGGGGGTGGCACGCAGCTCGACGCCGCCGCCGGCGGCGCGCTGGAGGCACCCGAGGAGGCGCCGTCCCTACCCTCACGGCGCCACGGAGCCGCCTTGACTGCGACATTGCGACACGCACGAATCGCCCACATCGCCCTACCCACATCGCCCGTGCGTGCCACACCCGCACCCCCCCTGCCGCTGCCCGCTGCAGGCACCCGCACCCGCACCCGCACCCGGGCCCGAGCTGGGCTGGGAGTGGCGGAGGGAGCAAGCGCGAGGCTCAGGACCTGGCCGCTCGCCCTCCGCCCGAAGATCGAGCGCGGAGGCGCAGGCCGCACCCGGACTGGCGGCGGAGCGCCCCTCTCTGGATGACGGCTCTCACCTCAACCGCGCTCTCCTGGTCTTATCGCGGTGGATCGAGATCGCATAGGCTACCGATGACGCGAACGACTCGGCTGACGACCTCGACGAGCCCTGCTTGCCCGACGCCCTCCGCGGCCTCCTGGGCGGGGGGGGCGCGGAGGAGGCAGCGCCAGCGCCGCCGCCGCCGCCGCCGCCGCCGCCGGTGGAAGAGCGCTCGCAGCCCTCCCCCGCGGCGGCGGAGGCGGTCGAGGACCCTGCCAGAGGCGAGGCCGTCGAGGCGGCCGACGACCTGGGCGAGCCTAGCCTCCCCGACGCCGTCCGCGGCATCCTCGGCGGGCATGTCAGCAGGGCGGAGGAGGCGGCGCCAGAGACGCCGGTACCCCCTCTCTCGGGGCCGGCTGCCGGTGAAGCCGTCGAGGCCGTCGAGACTGCGGCGGCGCAGCCACCGCCAAGCACGATCGCGGATCGACCCGGCCCGGCACCCGCCACGGTGACTTCTCGCTTCTTTGCGCAGTCCGGATCGAGCACGCCGTCGGTGGCACGCGCGCTTCTGGCGCTCGCATCGAGTCAGCCGGGCACAAGCTGAGCAGGCAAGGGCGCGCGGGGGGGCGAGGGGGGGGCAACAATGAGGAGTGGACGAGCGCTGCGTGTGGGCCAGCAAACGGCGGTGGCAACAAAACGGCCATCGAGCGAGGCAGGGGCTGTGGAGGGGGTGCGGGTGAACGCGGGCCACTCTTTCAGAGAGAAGGACTGGCTCCCTGGACACAGCGCGCGCAGGCACTCCTTCGGTCGTGAGAGATGCGCACACCGGGCATCGTCCTGTGACCAAGCCTGGACCAAGCCATGCACGCCGACACTCACACACGACCCTCGACCCTCGACCCCCCCCCTCCCGCTCTGTCCCCACCCCCACCCACTCCTCGCTTTGCATTGGTGTGTGAATTGGTTGGTGCCACTAGCGTTTCTTGCTTGCGTTTTTTGTGAAGAGAGAGGGCCAGTGTTGCCATCTGACTGTCGTCGTCGTCTCTGTACTCTGAAAGTCCTTTTCTTTGACTTTGTCCAAGTGAGTGTTAGTGCCAGTGCGCGCCAGTCCCGTGCCCAGTGCGCAGTGTGAGCAGTGTTGTGAGAGACCTGCACTTGGAAAATTGGAGTGCAGTCGGTACCTTATCACACGGCCGGCATGCCGACACAATTCTTTTTCGGTGTACCTGTGTTAGTGCCAGTGCGCGCCAGTCCCGTGCCCAAAAAGAAAGAAATAAAAGAGACAACCCAAGGGAGGGATGGGAGGACGGCACGCCGCCACCACACAGGGATTTTAAAGAGGGGTGTGATGCGCTAGCCGTCGCTCACCCTTGGGCGTCCGCCTCTTCCTATGGGACTAGTGTCGTGCGAGGACCGGACGAAATTCTTTTTCGCGTTGGCAGCGCTCGGGCCCGGCCCGCCATTTCGAGGAGTCACACAGTCCACGCCTGTGTGATGCACGCCCTGTGAGCTGTGAGTGAGCGGGGCGGGGTGCGCACTGTGCCTCTGTGTTCGTGCGTCGCCCATCTCTCCTGGAGATGACTGCTCTATTTATTTATGAAGTGCAAGTTTGGTATTCACACAGCAGCGGAGGCTGAGTGAAGACCGCATGCGATGTGCGCGAGGGCACACGAGAAAATGTGGTCGGTGCGGATTTCTTGAATCGTCACCAGTGAGGGAGGGCGAGACGATCGAGGGGTCCCGTACCATGTGCGGAATCGACCCTATCAAGTGGTTACCGTATCTCAGATAGGAGGAGAAAGGGGATGGTGGTGGGTTCGACGAGGCGAGAGGGAGCGCGCACAGACTGACGTCAGCTACGCTCCTGAAGGACACCTCTGAAGGGCACCCTACACCTCTGAGGCACCTCAGAGGAAACGATGCACTTCTTTTGTCGGTCTCGTCGTCAGACTCCGATTTCTCTTTGTCAGGCCCTGTGCCGCTCCACTCTCCGCCCAAGTGATACGAGCGTCACTTTGTACCCACCCCCCCTAGTTCGTGGGGACCCCCCCGCCGGTCGGTGGTCTGCCCCCGAGGTGGACCGGACCCCCCCTCCGGTCGGTCGCTCTCTCGGCGGCGGGAGGTGTGACGACCGACCCCCCCCTCGGTCGGTGTCCTTGCCGTGAGCCCCCTCAAACGCTCTCCCTCCTTCTCGCGAACCGCCACGGGCGCTTCGAAATCGCCGGTTTACACTATGAAAACCAGTCACGCAGCCAAGCGCCAAGGAGACTCTCTTCGCCGAGGCCCGAGCAAGCCCGACCGCACACATATGTGGAGCATCTACGCAGTCGCAGGCCTGGTCCTGCTTGCCGTTGCTTTGTACAAGCTCTGGCAGCGCTCCAGTTCTCCACAGTACGCGCGCATCGTCCCTTCTGATGACTACGATGACTTGCCCGACTTGATCGACACATCGCCGCCGCGCCGTCACCGGGCTCATCGGCTTCCGAGTCTCCCAAGCGACAGCGAATGGCAATCGATGGACGTCGCTTCTGGAGCAACTCAGTTAATCGCGACATGCTGCGCGTTGCGCGCGGGCAGAGCTATGGCGGCGACATGATCTGCCTCGCACCCGGTCTTCGCGTCTCCAAATTTTCCCTGGACCATGATGCCACCGTCGAGCGCCTCGCCCTCGGTCGTCGCGAGCCATGTGTCTTGATTGGTGTTAGGCGCGCACTCAACGAGGAGGAGGCGGCGCCGCGCAAGAAGATGCGCGTCACCAAGGACGCGGACGCCAACGCTAAGCACGCAGGCTCGATCACCGCCAAGAGGGGCGACACGTGCGAGTTTGTCGAGCAGCCGACTAACCCCAAGTGGATCAAGGTCAAGATGCTCGACGGCGCCAACCAGGGCAAGACCGGGATCATTCCGGTGCGTGCCTCGCCACCCCTCGCCCACACTGCCTGTGATGCGCCCATCCTGACCTTCATCAAGCTACAGATCAACCTCACGACGGAGGTGGAGAAGGAGGTGGACTGCTTCTTGGAGTCGCAGGAGGAGCAGTTCACCTTCGAGGAGTTCTACTGCATGCTGGGCCCGTGGGCGCTCGGCCGGCAGAAGGAGGTGCTGGCCGCGCTCAAGCGGCTCGTCAACGGGTACAGCGTGTCGCCGGCGAAGCTAATCATGGACGACGACGACGGGAGCGTGGACATGGACGAGCTCGTGTTCCGACCCAATCCTGTAGAGCGTCTCGAGATCAGCAACTCGGACGACGATGAGTGATTAGACGGAGAGAGGTCGCTTGGTGTCTCTAGTATTTCGAGATACTAATTTATTCACAGCTGCGGCGAGCGTGTGCGGTGTGACCCTCGAGCCAAACCGACCGACCCCCCCCTCGGTCTGCGCTCCGACCGACCGGACCCCCCCTCCGGTCTGCGGTCCTCCGCGGCCGCCGACCGGACCCCCCCTGCGGTCGGTCGGTCTGCGCTGGGCGCTCAAACCGCGAACTCGGCCTGTTCACTACAATGTGACGCTCGTATGACTTGGACGCGCGGTCGAGGGCACCCCACCGTTCTTTGGGCGCGCTGGCGCTCGCCAGCAATCGCTCCCCCGCCCATCCACCCTTTTTCTTTGAGGCTGTCGCTCCGAGAAAACTCGTCTCGTGCGAGAACGGCGACACGTTATCTTTTGCCAATTTCGCCAATGTGGCCCCGCCTGTTCGCCGACGACGACGTGCCGCAGGGCTGTAAAATTGGCGGGGTCGCGTACCGGGTCGGCATCGCATGGCTGAACCACGAGGACCAAGGCGTGCTGCTCACGTTTAGCGTCAACGCGCTGCTCGCCTTCTTCTCGCTCTTCGCCTACCACGTCTTTGCGCACCTGCCAAGTCTCAAGGCGGTCTTCGCGCCGCGGGTGCCGCTCGAGCAGGGCCCTCCCCCGCATCCGCTCCACATCTCGCGCGGGCTCTCTGGGCCGCACGAGGGCGAGCAGCTCGAGGCGACGATGCTGCGCCGCTTCCTCATCATGAACCTGACGCTCTTCTGCGTCTTCGCCGCCACCGCGATGCCCGCCCTCATCCTCACCTACTCGATCGACCCGTACGCCGGGCTCGACATCCCGTTTGCTCCGCCGCCGCCGCCGCCGCAGAACCCCTTCCCGCCTCCCGCGTTGGGAGGAGCCGCGCCACCGGCGCCGCCGGGGAAGCCGCCGCTCTCGCCCGTGGTGCCGTGGCTGAGCGGCGCGCCGATCTCGGGCATCCAGTCCTTCTCGCTCGCCCACCTGCCTCCCGGCTCGCCCCGCTTCTGGGCGCCGGCGGCTTGCATGCTGCTGCTGACTTCGGTCTTCCTCATCCTCGCGCGGCGCGAGGCGGAGGTGTACGCGCGGCTGCGGTACGACTGGCTCGCCGCGCCGAGGCCGCACCTCCACGCCGCGCGCCTCGTGACGAGCCACTCGCTCAACGGGGCGGTCGCGCCCGCGGTGACGGCCGACGGACGGAGGCCGCGCTCGCCGAGCCGACATGTCGACGACGCGTCGATCGCTCGCGTGCCGTAGGTGACGGCCGAGGACGTGTACGCGCTGCTCAAGCCGATGTTCGGCGCCGACCTGCACGAGGTCATCAAGGTGCCGCGCGAGGTGAACCAGTGGCGCCTGTCCGCGCTCGGGCTGCAGCCGCCGAGCCTCCAGGCCGGCGGCGGGGCGGACGTGCGCGCGCTCCTACCTCGGGGCCTCGCCACCTCGGGGCCTCGCCACCTCGGGACCTCCTCGGGGCCTCGGGACCTCGCCACCTCGGGGCCTCGCCACCTCGGGACCTCCTCGGGGCCTCGGGACCTCGCCACCTCGGGGCCTCGCCACCTCGGGACACGGGGGGTGCCGGCCACGCCTCGAGCACGCGCCCGCACGCCGCGTGCCGCAGGTGCCGCTCCTGACGCAGTCGGGTCGCTCCTCCTGGTGCGCGGATGCGGTCCGGAGCAACCGCTAGGCCTCTGCGATCCCTCCCCCAGACCTCTCCCGGAGAACCTGCCCGCAGGTCCATGGCTGCGGTCTGGAGCCTGGTCGTCGACCTGGCGCACGAGATGCGGCTGCTCGCGACGGGCGAGCCGCGCGAGGCGGCACCCGCCCGGGGGGAGGGCTTGCCCGAGCCGTGCCGGAGCCGCCGCGTAGGCGAGGCGACCGAGACCTCCTTCATCGTGCTCTTCCGCTCGCGCGGCGCCCGCTTCGGCGCCATCCACGCGCCCGCCCTCTTCACGGACTGCGACATCGGAGGCGCGAGCCTGTCTGCGTACGCGCGGCCCGCGCCCGCGCCAGAGGACGCGCTCTGGTCGTCGCTCGTCACGCCGCGGCCGGTCGTCGTGTGCGCGTGGTCGGGGACGCTGCTGCTGTTCGCGCTGTGGAACGTGCCGGTCGCGCTCGTGCAGTCGCTCGCTTCCCTCGACTCGATCACAAAGATGCTGCAGGAGGCGCACCTTAAGGGCGCGGCGGGTATGATCCACAACCTCTCGCCCGCCACGCGCGCCACGCTCGAGGGCTGGATGCCTGTCCTCGTCCTCACCGTGCTGCAGATGCTCACGCTGTACTCGGGCCTGCTGCCCGCCCTCTCGCGGCTGCAGCGGCGCGAGAGCGCCGCGGCGGGCGCCCGAGAAGGAGTCCCTCATCAGGGCGGCCAACCTCCTTCTCAACCTGCTAGGCGCGAGAGCGGCGCCGCGGCGGGCACGTCGACGCTGCACAAGATGTTCTTCTTCAACCAGGCGCTTGGCACTCTCCAGACGCGCCCTCTTAGTCGTTTCCTAGACGCTTCCAAGACGCGTCCTAGTCGCTCCTCCACGCGATAGACCCTCTTCGAAAAGGGTGCCTCGACCTTCCGAGACGCGCCCCCGCTCGGCCAGGTGCTGGTGCTGCTCGGATCGTGCGTGGTGGGGTCTCTCTTCGAGACCGCCAAGCTCATCCTCAGCGGCGGCTACTGCACGCTGCTCGCGCTGCTCGGCCGCTCCGTGCCGGCGCAGGCTCGTCTTGGGCTGAGCCGCCTCAGCACGCCGCTGCGCGACACGACCGTGACACGCCCGTGACACGCCCGCGGCGCGTCCCCCTGCAGGCCACCTTTTGGGTAAACTACCTCGTGCTCGAGCTCCTCTTCTACGTCCCGGCGCTCGACATCCTGCAGGCGACTCACCCCCCTCCCCTCGCACCTCGTGCGTCGCCCCTTCCCCTCGCCCCTCCCCTCCCCGGGCCAACCCGCGGGCGGCGCCGCCTCCACGCCAGCTGCTGCGAGCAGGTCCTTCCCCTCTCGGTCGTGGGGGCCGCCAGGCTGTGCGGGGCGCGCGGCAAGGCGCTGAGCGGAAAGGCGCTCTCCGCGCTGCAGCGGCTCTACTACCCGAGCATCTACGCGCGCGCGCTGATGGTCCTCTCCGCCGCCTTCCTCTTCGCCACCATCGCGCCGCTCATCACGCTCGTGACGATCGCGTGGCTGTACGCCGTCTCGCGCGCCTGGTCCTTCAACGTGCGGCGCGTCTACCTGCACGACCTCGGCGCCGACTTCGACTCTGGCGGCGCGTACTGGCCGGTGGCGATGCGGCTCGAGACCTTCGCGCTGCTCACGGCGCAGCTGGTGCTCGTCGCGATCCACGTGCTCAACTCGTGCTGGTACAGCGGAACCGTCCTCTTCGGGCTCATGATCGCCACGATGGTGCGCGCCTCGCGCCTCCAGCGGCACTACAGCCCGCTCGCCTCGGAGCTGCCGCTCGAGCGGTGCATCAAGGTGGACGCATCCATGGCCGGCGACACGTCGCCTGGCGCGCAGGCCTACCAGCTCGACTGGATCCTTGCCGAGGCGTCTCGCGCGTACCGCACCTCCTTTGAAAACTCTTCGTTTCGCTCGGGGGACCTCCTCGCCGGAGGCCAGTAGGGCCCCGCGGCTCGGCGGAGCGTGTGTGCGTCAAGTGTGTCTCAACTGCTCTGCGTGTGTGTGAGTGTATGTGCTGTAGAGAGTCTGTAGGTCTCTATGTGTACCCTGTGTACCTCCTCTAGCTCTATACTAAATCTTTTAGTTTTTTTGTATTTTGAAGCGCGTGTTTCTTTTGTTCGTTTATATAGATTATAGTCTCTTACGCATCGTCCACAACAATGAAAATATGAATACAGCCGGTCTCCGATCTGTATCGCGATTATGATTCCGGTACAAAAGATAATTCCGATCTCCCGTCATCGTCGTACTACGGGTAGCCCAGGGTACATCCTCCGCCACCTGTGTGATTGCGGATACACACACTGTCAGGCCCTTTACCTGTTGTCCTTCGCTCAGCTTCCCATCACGTTGAGCTGGAAGGTAGGGAGGGCTTCGCAGAGATCTAGGTACGTCTTGCAGGGCGGGATGCCCCAGGCCGCCATGCCGTCTCGCCATATAGAGAGGCCGGACAACACCAGGAAAGGGCCTATCGGCGAGTTGAAGAGCAGTTCGGAGGGCGTGGACTGCATGTACGTGAAGGTCGCCTCGATCTCATCGTCCGACCAGGACGAGAGCGCAGGCAGGTCCTTGCGGCACTGTTCATAGGCCGCGACTCTGCCCGGCCCGTCCTCTCCCTCCAACTTGTTGTATTTGCCCGACGGATAGGGCGCAAACTCGATCCGGCAGACGCGGAGAGCTTTCTCCTCTTCCGCGTTGTACGACCGCACGTTGGCACGCATCTGCGCTGCAGCGATAGAGGCAGCGCTCTCCACGCGCCCCGTGCGCGGCTCGCCCTCTGCTTCAGAGAGGCGCGCCCCACCGTGGCCTGCGCCTGCTCGGCGTTCCGGAACGAGGCACCGTGGCCTCGCTACCGGAACGAGGCTCGCTAGCGGAAAGAGGCTCATGAGAGCTGGAACCATGCCGGGCCCTGGCTAGGCACTCCCAAAGCTTCAGTGGTGCGTTATTGTGTCGCCAGTCGGGGTCGTGGAAGAAGAGAAGCTATCTCAACATTTTTTTCGTTTCGAAACGGAGACCTGCCAGAGAGAAAGCGGAAAAAAATCGGAGAGGACCAGCGATCCCGCGTGTGGCCTCACAAACAACTCTTTTCGAACGCGGTGGCGTACGTGGGGCCCGCCGCTCACATACATTCTCTTCATGTACTTATCTTGGGGATCATTCCTGGGTTTAATGCAGCCGCGTCACTTTTAATCATCATGTGTGTTTGTGCTTTGTGTGAAGCACCGAGCGACATCACGAGGCAAATTGGCCGCGCGGGCACCGGTGCACTCTCTCCCGACTCCCCCCGGCTTAAAGTAACTGGCCGTGTTTTTTGCGGCCGTCTAGAATCATGAGCGCGCTGGGTGAGGGTCTCGGGGGAAGCGAACGAGCCTCTCGGGTCTCGCGCGTCGACCCTGGAGAGCTGCCGACGCGGCGCCGCGGCGGCCGACACACACGCGACACACACGGGGACCTCTCAGCTCTGCGGTGCGGCACAGTTCAGTCTGTGGAAGCTGTCTGCAATACTGCAGACACGGACGCCTGTCGCGTCTCTTTCGGTTATGCTCCAAAATAAGAGGCGCGAGCCGGAGGGGAGAGAGCAGAGCCGACGGAGCACTGGACCAGAGAGCGGTCGATGCTGGCGATATGCATTGAGTCGACAACATGTCTCTGCGAACGCTCAAGACACTCTCATGTGCACCGCACACAAACATGCTTCTTCTGCGGAGAGTTCGCGTCGACAGTTGGCAGCGGCGAGGCGTGTTCACGCCCCCTGCGCACACCGACACTGAGACACTGCCGGCACAACGCTCAGACGCGGCGTCACTTGTTGGGCGCGAACATCGTCGTGTACGGGTCGTACTCCTGCCCCTCGACGGCGATGCGCTCGTAGTGCTGGCGCAGCGTCGTCCTGCCGTACTTGTCCGCCGGGTCGGTGGTGAGCATGTCCTCGACAGCGTAGTAGCGGCCGATGCGCCCAAACTCGGCCGAGTCCTCGAGCGACTGGGCGAGGCCGGCGAGGCCGCTGGCCAGGCCCTTGACTAGCCACTCGGGCGCCCCCTCGGGCCACGCGTCGAAGCGGCTCGCCTGGGAGGGGGAGGGGGGAGGAGGTGTCGGGAGGAGGCGCCTGTGCCACCTGCCCGGGCGAGGTGTCTGTCTCGGATGTCTGTCTGAGGTGTGCATGAGGTGCTCGCGGAGAGAGGCATGGCGGTGTGGCATGGCGGTGTGGCATGGCGGTGTGGCATGGCGGTGTCGTGAGTGTGAGCTGGCGGGGGTGCGGGCCCGGGCCGCACCCTGAGCGCGAGGTCTGCGCCGCCCTGCAGCCCTCCGATGATGACGTCGAAGAGGCCGATCGGCACGGCGAGGAGCTTTGCCTCCTCCTTACCCAGCACCTCCGCCACCATCTCGCCCTGCTGCTTCATCGACAAGCCGTCGTCCGGCCCGCCCAGGTTCCACAGCGCGTTCTCCTTGCTCTTGTCGGCGACCGTGTCGACGAGTGCGGCGGCGAGGTCCGCCTCCGAGATCGGGTTGCCTGCGGGGAGGGACGGGAGAGGCAGGACAGGAGGAGAGACAGCTCGACGCAAGCTGCCGGGCGAGGGGCCGCCCTCCCGGAGGTCTCGGGCTGCGCACAGGTGGCGCAGCGGCCCTCGCCGAGGTCAAAGTACACAAAGGGCGCCCCTGCCGAGGTGGGGTCGGAGGTGGGAGAGAGCACGCGGCTCGCACGAGGCGCGGCTGCTCAGCGGCCGAGCGCTGCGTGTCGCGCACCGCTGTTGACGACCTCGAGCTGGCCGGAGACCGACTTGAAGAAGGCGGTCGGCCGGACGATGGAGTACGTCATCTCCGTCTGCTCGCGCAGCTTGGCCTCGAACTCCATCTTCGCGTACTGGAACTGCAGTGCGTATGGGTCCTTCCTCTCGGCAGACTTGACGCAAAACGCCGACAGCAGCACAAAGTGGCGGGCGCCGGCGGCGCGGGCGGCGTCGAGGCAGTTGAGCGTGGCCTGGTAGTCGATCGCGAACGAGTCCTTCTTCGATCCCGAGCGCGACGCCAGGCAGCTGATCACCACGTCGACGGCGCCCTTCTCAAATGGCGAGCCCGCCGCGCCGAGCGCCGGCGGGTCGCACACGTCAGCAGTGGCGATGCGCGCGCCCTCAAACTTGGGCTCGCCCGCCGCCTTGGCGGCGTCGCGCACCACCGCCGTCGTCGCGTAGCCGCGCCGCACCGACTCGCGCACCACGGCCTTGCCGATGTATCCAGTCGCACCGACGACAACCACCTTCTCGCCAGTGCAGCTCTCGCCCGGAACCGCCTCGACGGCCCGCGGCAGGGCTCGTCTCCGACAGGCGACAGCGGTGGCAGCGAAAAGGGGAGGGGAAGCGATCCGCACGCCGGCGGCGAAGCTGAAGAAGAGCGACCCCAAAAAGCGCATGGCGGAATTAAAGAAATCTCGACTCGCGCGGACGTTTTTATCTCCCGTTATTGCCCCCTCCCCCCGCACACACACACATATCCATCACGGTGAGCGGTGTGCGTACGAGCGGAAAGTTCGAGATTTTATTCTTTCGTGGCCAGTTGTGTTCTTGGAGGAGAGAGAGAGAGAGAGTGATCTTGAGAGAGTGACGGTGGTCGATCGTATTATACATTGATTTCTTGCAGCCGGTTCAGCAGCCGACAAGTAGTGTTGGCGATCGATTTCATAATGTCATTGTTTGAATGGCGAACAGACACGTAAAAACTCATTATTTCGAATGGACGGGCCAATGTCACGGAGAGCCCCAAAATTCCGATATTTGGCGAGGGAGGGATGGGAGGACGGCACGCCGCCACCACACAGGGATTTTAAGGAGAGGAGTGTGGTGCTAGCCGTCGCCCACCCTAACCCTTGGGCGTCTGCCTCTTTCTATCTCCCTTCGCAGTCCCTCGCCGATTCTCGCTGCAACCTTCATGCCACCTCGCGGTCGTCCCACTCTCGTCGTTCTCCCTCCTGTCCAAAAAAAGAAAGAAAGAAAACAGACAACCCAAACGAGGGATGGGACCTTGGGACGAGGACAGGGTCCCCACCTGCACGAGCAGGATCTTGGAAGGACGATCAGGGACACAGGGGAACGGGAGTGGGGAGCGCATCGCGACACGGAGGGGGGCTGGGCAGGGTTCACCCACACGACAGGGTCCCAGGGATTCCCCTCTCGTATAGGACAAAGTTGCACCCGGCGGCACGGGGGCAGGCGCGGGCCTCCTCCTGGTTGCGCTCTCCTAGTTCTCCTGCTCCTGACAAGGGACAGCGACAGGCTCGCAGCACGGTGGACTCCTTTTCCACTGGCGATCTCTCTCGACTAGCGACCTTCCTCCGGCTTCTCACTGGCAGTCTCTCACTAACACTATCACCAGACTATCACGGGCACACTGACAGGGGCGGCCGAGGCACACACACGACGAGGGTGGCAGGGGCGGTGATAGGAGTCTCCCACTCTGTGGGCTTCGCTAGAGGTGCGGCCTACGCATGCCCTCGTCCTGGAGGGGGAAGGGGAAGGGGCTGTGTGTGTGTGTGTGTGTGTGTGTGTGTGTGTGTGTGTGTGTGTGTGTGTGTGTGTGCGCGCGCGTGTGTGTGTGTGTGTGTGTGTGTGTGTGTGTGTGTGTGTGTGTGTGTGTGTGTGTGTGTGTGTGTGTGTGTGTGCGTGTGCGTGCGTGCGTGCGTGCGTGTGCGACCCGCCCTGAACGACCACGATGGCGAGCGCGCGCCCGAGCACCGAAGCGCCGCGAACGCCGCCCGCGTCGATTTCTCGAAAATTCTGAAGACTATGATAATGCGCCTCGCCCGCCGTGCCTTCTCCTCCGTCCCTCCGTTCGCCGCCGCCGTCGACGACGCCCTTCTCACGCGCCTCGAGCGTGCAGCGCACCGCGTCACCACTAACGCCTCCATCTGCGACCGGCACGGCGACGATGAGTCGCACCACCGGTCAGTACCTCCCTCGGCTGTTGTTTACGCTCACTCGACTGAGGAGGTGCAGGCGGTGGTGCGCGTGTGCGCCGAGACCCGCACGCCGCTCATCTCGTTCGGCGCCGGCACGAGCCTCGAAGGCCACATCCAGGCGGTGCAAGGCGGCGTCTGCCTCGACCTGTCGGAGATGAACGCTGTGCTCGAGGTGAACCCCGAGGACCTCGATTGCCGGGTGCAGGCGGGCATAACTCGGAAGAGCCTGAACGACCACCTGCGAGACACCGGCCTCACCTTCCCTGTCGACCCGGGAGCCGACGCCTCCCTCGGAGGGATGGCCGCTTGCGGCGCCTCTGGCACCACCGCGGTCAAGTACGGCACGATGCGCGAGAACTGCCTCGGCCTGACGGCGGTGCTGGCCTCGGGTGAGGTTGTGCGCACCGGTGGGCGGGCCCGCAAGTCGAGCGCTGGGTACGACCTCACTCGGCTGCTCGTCGGGAGCGAGGGCACGCTCGCTGTGCTCACCGAGGTGCAGCTGAAGCTGTATCCTCTCCCGGCCGCAGTCTCCGCCGCGACTTGCTCCTTCCCGACCCTCTCGGATGCCGCGAGGGCGGTCGCGGGCCTGCTGCAGTGCGGGGTGCCGGTGTCTCGAAGCGAGCTGCTCGACGCGTCAGCAATCGCCGCCTTCAACAAGTACTCCACCGAAGTTGCCGACCTGCAGGAGGCGCCGACGCTCTTCCTCGAGGTGGAGGGTGTGAGCGAGGCGGCCGTCGAGGCGGCCGCGGCCGTGGCTCGCGAGTGCTGCGCCGACTCCGGCGGGGGCGAGTTCCAGTGGGCCACGTCGGAGAGCGAGCGCAGGAGGCTGTGGGCCGCCCGCCACGCCACCTACTACGCGTCGCTGGCGCTGCGCCCAGGGAGCCGCGGCGTAGTGACGGATGCGGTCGTGCCGCTCTCTCGCCTGGCGGAGGTGATGGGCGAGACGGCGGCCGATGTGGCGGAGGCGGGGGTGGTTGGGCCCATCTTTGGCCACGCGGGCGACGGAAACTTCCACTGCATCCTGCTGCTGCGCGACGAGGACCCGCCCGACTACGTCGAGCGGCTGAGCCAGCTCAATGACCGCCTGATCCGCCGCACCCTCGCCGCCGGCGGCTCCTGCACGGGAGAGCACGGCGTGGGGGTGGGGAAGAAGCAGTACCTGGCGCGCGAGTTTGGAGAGGGCGCGGTGGAGATGATGAGGACGGTGAAGCGGAGTTTGGACCCGCTCGGGATCCTGAATCCCGGGAAGGTTGTGGACGTCTCGAAGCACGAAGCAGTTTTGTGAAAAGGTGATCACTCGAAATGCAGTAAGCCTTACGGTCTACGATATCCTCTCTGTCACGACACGCACGAGCGCTCTCTCAGGCTCTCTCTGCCCGGGCCCCCCGCGCCCCACCACCTCGGAGCTCCTCGTTTACCTTACCTTACAGTACCCCCCCCGCGCGGCGTCCCCGACGCCCGAGGCAGCCGCCGGCGTCTCTGCCCGTCGCTCTTCTCAGTCTTTCTTTCTATGCCCTAAAACTTGTGGATCTCCGGATGACCTCACGCCTCGCGTCAGTGTCTTGCTCGTCGATGAGGCGCTTGAGCATCTCGCACACCTCGTTCCGCCCGTTGAGGTCGCTGACAGTCTTGGCGAGACTGCGTGCGATGGCTCGGCTGGGCGCATCGGCTGGGGCGGCGGGTCGGCTCAGCTTGGGGGCACGGAGTGGGTAGCCGAGGAGCTCAAAGTCGCGGCGGTAGACGTGGTTGATGAGAGCGATCGTCTCTGCATCCAGATCCTCGACGGTCAAGCGCTTCTGTCCCAATGCGGCGTTGTCGCGCCTGCCGCCCAGCTGGAAGGGCAGCCCGTACTCGGCAAGCAGCCGGTTCAACTCCTCCCGGAGGTGCTCGAAACGGATGACACGCAGGCGCACACCGGATGCTGCAGTCAGATAGACATACTGCGGCATGTAGTGCCAGTCTAGCCCTTTCCCTCGATGCTTGATCTGGCGACGGATGAATCGGTTGGCGCCCCCCACTGTCAGTCCACCCTGCCCAGACGACTCGAGCATTGCCATACCGGCCATAAATGCTCCGTGCAGCCCGGATTGCAAAAGGCTCCCGCCATACCCGGCGTATTTGCAATGGAACTCGGACAGAACTCGCTCATACGGGTCGCGCACGACGGTGAACCAGTCGTGCTTGGTGCGAAGGCTCGTGGGCTTGTCGCCAAAAGGCTCGTGCCATCTCCCGTACTCGCTGTGGAACCGTCCAACTGCATGCCCTGTATCACAGGCAAGGCTGTTCTGAGCACCCAGAGCGACGTGCTGAGGCGGACGAGGTCTGTGGGTGTGTGCACAGTGGAATGCGTGCAATAAAGGTCACGACCGTGTTGCTTGAAGAGGTTCTCGATTGTCGTGCCACCCGTTTTGGTGATGTGGATGAACTTGAGAGACCTCCGCTTGCGGTCCGGCATGCCGCGTGAGCGACGCTACTGCCAATGGATGAGGGAGGGCGAGGGGGCAGGAGTTTGATCGATGCTGCCGCGGCCCGGCCGGCGAGCGCGCCAATAATGATGAAATTCGCAAAATCGCAGTAAATACTCGTAGCAGCACATTCTCCCAACCCCGAGTCCTTTCTCTGCGTTCTCGCACACGGAGTGCGAGGCTAGTACTAAACTGTCGCCGTCTCAAACGGTCCTTGTGTGACTTTTCTTTTGTTGTTTCGAAACAATAAGGGGGCGGGGCGCTCAAAACTTTCTCAAAGCCAGTCGTGCCGACCCGGATCGAGGGACATCGCCCCTTGAAAATTCGAACATTTTTTATTTGCATCGGCCCCCTTGCTTGTGGATGAGGAGGCGTAAGTCGCGGAAACAACCTATGCACACCGCGTCCAGGCCGAGCCTGCGCGAGCTCTTCTATTTTGCATCCCGCAGAGACATCTTGGTAATCTCCTTTGCAGCTGGTCTCTTCCTCCTCGTGGGCGGTATCCAGTCGGCACTGAACCTCATCATGGCCGAAGTGCTTAACGTTGGCCCTGGGCAGTCTCTCGAGGACGCGGGCACGAATGCCATAATATATCTCGGTGGCTACCTCGGGGGCAGCCTGTTCGCGGTGTTCGCCTTTGGAAGCCTCGCGGCGCTCTACACTCGGTACAAGATGATGCAGCAATGGAGAGTACGTTACGTGCAGGCAATTTTGCGGCAGGACGCCGGCTGGTACGACGTCAACCAAGCGCAGGAGCTCGCTGGCCGAATGGGAGAGGCGATGGTGCTCATCGACAAGGCCTTTTCCGTGCCGACGTACCTCGGCTGTATGCCCGTCGGCATGGTTGTAGGGGCAGCCGCCATCTCCCTATTCGTCGCGCCCGCACTCGCCGCCATCCCACTCAGCCTCGCCCTGGTCCTCGTGGTTCCCGCCTCGGTCGTCCTTTCGCGCACCGTCAGCACGCGGACCCGGCTACTCGCTGACGCCTATTCGGAAGCGGGAGGCTTCTGCGCAGAGGTGCTTGGCGCTGCGCGCACAGTCGCCTCCCTCGGGCTGGAGGACTTCGCCGTCCAAAAGTACGACGAGGTGTTGGCCAATGCCGAGGCGGTGGCCGTGCGTACGGCGGCCAAGCTCGCTCTGTCCACGGCAACCATAACGGCGTTCGTTTTCTACGCGTGTGGCGCCGCCTCGATGTTCGCACTCAGCACCGTCAACGCCCAGATGCGCCGGACAAGCTTCGATTTTGAGGCGGACGGCGAAAGCTTCTGCGTGCCGGATCAGTGCAACAGCTTCGACCCATTCATCTTCGCAGCCTCGCTCGGCCTCGATTACGATCAGGCGGTGCGCGAGGACGTGCCGTGCAACAGCAGCGGCTGGAGGCCCTTCCGGGCGAGCTGCGCGTCGGGCGAGGGCATCGACGGCTTATTTGGGAGCATCTCGACGTTCCCAGCCAACTTGACAGAGGTTGCCTTTGACGAGGCGGGCGAGGAGTGGCCCTGCGGTGGTGTCGACTTTGAGATGATCCTGGTTGGCATCAACTCGATCGTTTTCGGGTTCCTTCAGCTGCCGATGGCGCCAGCTGCCCTCTCTGCCGTCTTGCGCGGCATGACCGCCGCTCATTCGTGTCTACTCGTTATCTCGCGCGAGCCACCCTTTGACCCCTTCTCGGACGATGGCGATCGGCCCGAGAGCGTGAAAGGAGGCGTCGAGGTGCGCGACGTGCGCTTCGCGTACCCGGCAGCGCCCTCGTTCTTCGTGTGCCGCGGCTACTCCCTGCAGATCGCGGCGGGCACGTCGTGTGCGCTGGTCGGCCCGAGCGGCTCCGGCAAGAGCACGATCGTCGCGCTGCTGCAGCGCTTCTATGACCCTCAGGCGGGCGCCGTCCTGCTCGACGGCCGTGACATCCGCACGCTCAATCTGCGCTGGCTCCGCTCGCAGCTCGGGCTGGTGGGGCAGGAGCCGATCCTCTTCCAGGGCAGCGTAGCGGAAAACATCCGGTACGGCAAGCAGGGGGCGTCGCAGGAGGAGGTGGAGGAGGCGGCGCGGCAGGCGAACGCGCACGGCTTCATCACAGCCGATCTCAGCGAGGGCTACGACACGCAGGTGGGACTGCGGGGAGGGCACCTCTCGGGCGGTCAGAAGCAGCGGGTGGCCATCGCGCGAGCGATTGTGCGCAAACCGGCCATCATGCTGCTCGACGAGGCGACGTCGGCGCTTGACAATGAGAGCGAGAAGGTGGTGCAGGCGGCACTGGACGCATTGACGGCCCGCAGTGCGGAGGGACTGCGCCAGACGACGATCACCATCGCGCATCGCCTTTCGACCATCCGCGGCGCCGACAAGATTGCCGTGATGAGCAAGGGTGTCGTCAAGGAGCAGGGGACACACGATGAGCTCTTGGTGGAGCAGGGGATGTATGCAGAGCTCTTGGCCCTTGGCCGGGGGAGCCTCTCTACGGTGCCAGTTCTGTCTGAATGACAATACATCAAACCAACATATGTACCTCAGCTCGTGTCTCGCTAAATAAAAGTGGTGGAAAGAGTACTCGAAAGTGCGTCGAAGTGCGCGGCGAGAAGAGGCATGATACTATGAAGCCGGAGCCATGCTAGGATCCCCAGCCGTAATCGCTGCGCTGAGTGTGGCCCAGGTGCTCCCCGACGTCTTTGTTGCCGCAACAAAGTTGAGCATCGGAGGCCCAATGCTCACTATCTTGTGGTAGTTGGTATCTGAGCCGCCCGATCCTTTCGCCAAAGCCGCCATTCGAGCCCTAGCCTTGATCTCCGCGGCGGCATATTCGCTGTAGGCCTTGACCTGGTTTTGACTGCGCGCGTACTCCCCCGCAAGGTAGATCTCTTGCTTGGCGAGCATACCAGAGAGCGCAGTCTCGATCTTCAACTTCTTGGCGAGCGCAGCAAGCTCCAGTTGTGCCTCTGGCGTCATGCTGTTGAAGTCGGGCGTCTGGACAGATGCGGTGATGACGTCCGTCACGACGAAGCCAAATGCCGAGCCGGCTTGGCCAGTCTTGTTCCACAGGTAGCCGCCGCCGCTGCTGCTGACACCCGGAAGGAACGAGTTGCCCTTCGCCAGCCATATCTCCGCGTCCGACTTTATGTACGCGATGAGCTCCCCGATCGCATCTGGCACGACCTTGTCCTTGAACAGGACAGTCTTGTCCAGCTGTGCGGGTGGGCGGAACAGAGAGGCGTTTTAGGCGCGGACGTGGGCGCGGGAACGGTGAGGAGGCACAGAGAGGGGGCGCAGGTGCGGATGCAGGCTGGGGAGCGAGCGTCAGTCGCACCGACAAAAAGACGATGAACTCAACATCGACAGCACCCGCCAGCCGGTCCGGCAGATCCTTGACTAGGATCTTCATCGTTTGCGCGCCCGAGAAGAATGTGGTGAAGGGCTTTGACTTTGCCTTTCCCGTCATCGGATCGGTCCACATGAAGGTTGCGACCTTCTTGCCCGCCGGTGGCATGTACCTACAGTGCCAACCTGAAGGTCGAGGGTGCTCGTGGAAGCTGCAGGGAAGGTGCGTGTGCGCGACTCACAGAGCAGGGCCGGACACGGTGGTAGGCGTGGCACCCATATACTCGACGACAAAATGCTGCGCCGTAGGCAGCGAGATTTTATCGCAAAGCTCGACCTTCTTGCCAGTCAAGGGGCACATGCCGTCGGGACTGGTAAACCTAACGAGAGACATGCGGTGTGAGGGAGGACGTGTTCGGGCACGCCAGGGCAGAGCGGGGCGAGGGTACATTTTTGACGGCCCGGGCTTGTATTCGACTGAGTCTCCGCTCCAGATGGCCAAGTACTTCTCCTCGGTTGCCGTCAAAGCTACAAGCGGATGGTATGTCGTCGCGGCGCAAAGATCCAGCACGCAGGCTCCCTCCTTGATCTCCTTGACTCCATTTTTCTCTGTGACCATCGCCTCCCCGATGAAGAGGAACTCCTTTGCCGGGCCCTGCGGCATTGCGCCGTCCCGGAGCGACCGAGGCTGGGGGCACTTGCGTGCTTTTTGGCGCGTAGTCGCGGGACGCAAGTCTTTCGCTAAAGCATGTAAAAACGCGCGGCCGTCGGCCGACGGTCCTTTAGAATTGAGGGGAACCGGGAGAGGGAGAAACTGAACCAAAAGAAGAGTGCGGCAATGTACGTAAGAGCCACCTACAACGAAAAGAATCCGGATGGCTCGACGGTATGAGTAACCAGCCTCCGGCGGGGCCCCCCGCTATACCATCCAAACCCGAGTACAAAGCGCCTCTCCGAGAGCGCTGCCCGCTGCGCAGACGCCACGGTCTGAACCGAACTGTAATCATAGACACATAGAGGCTCAAGAAGTCAAGTGACAAGTCCACCGACACACTCTGGGCCGGCGCGGGGGCCCCAGAGGGTGTGCATGCGGGGGGGAGATGGGGCCCCATGGCCCGCCGCAGGCGCCGATTCAATTTTTTTTCTGCGATTTTTCACTTGTTTTCATGGGAATTCGGCGTACTTGCGGCCATGCTATCACGCCTTGCGACAGCCTGTCGGCGCTGCTGACCGTGCCATACTGCACAATTGATCACCTGCATAGCTCGCGGCCTTAGTATCCAGCATTCAGTGACGACCTGATCGTACGGCCAGTAGGAAGGTGTCCTTCCATCGTGTGCACGCTTCTGGCGCAATGCGCGTCACAAACTGCCTCGGATTGGCTGCTGGCACTCTCGAGGCTATGCCTACACAGCCTCGCGCGCATGGGCAGTCAAGAGGGACCACGCACCTTCTCAGGACAGCGCCGGTGCCTCTCTCTTGGACCGGCAAACTTGGTGGTATCGTGTCACCAATGTGGGACCAGTGCGGCATCGCGCCATCGACAGCTCTGAACTGCGCCTCACCACTGACCGGGAAGGCCGCCAAGTGGGCCAGCACAGGTCGCACATTGTGGCAGCAGTCAGCAGTGCATGTCTGATAGCTAGAGCAGCAGCGTCAGGGTCGCAGGGTCGGATCGTGTCAAGCCTCTCGCCCGGCCGGCCGCGTGCAGACGTCGGCCTGTCTGCTGTCTGGAGTGATCTGTCGGCGGTCAGTACGACCGATCAGGTTGGAGCTTTCTGATGATTGGAGGGTCTATCTGTATGTACTCCTCGAGATCTCTCCAAATCTGCCCTCTAACCAACCGTAACCATTCGGGAAGTCGGTGCTCTGAGCGACTCTGAGCGCCGGAGCCCCGTTTCCGCACTGCGGCGCGGCGCACGGTGCCTCCGGGGGCCCCGCGCCGGCCCAGAGCCGACACAGAGAATACACGCGACACGGGTGCCACTTCTCACGACACACGGGGACCGGCTGGAGCGGCGGCGGCGGCGGCAGCAGCACGCGCGGGCGGACGGATTCGGACGGGGCGGAGCAGCGACCGCCTGGGCGGCCGCTGCTCTGTCTGCCAGAGCGCGCCGTCTGCGCAGCTCGAGCGCCGTCAGGTGCAGGGAAGCGTGGCGGCGCGGGGAAACGCGGCGGCGGTGGCGAGCAGGCGAGCGGCCCGCGCGCGGCGAGGCGGACAGGTGATCGGCAGGCGGGTGATGGGCCGGAGAGTGACCGCGCCCAGCGATCGGAGCGAGCCGATCGTCGCTCGGCCGCAGCTGACCTCGAAGGCGTGCGGAGCGCGACGATCGATGTCGGGGGGCGGCCGTCATGTGGCGAGGAGGGAGGACGACAAGTGCGCGTCGTACGGGTCGCTCTTCACCGGGCAGTCGGCGGACGGTAGCGTCGGTCAAAGTGAGGCCCGGTGAGGCCGGCGAGATTCGTTGCGAGATACGGTTCGCGCCCAAAAGTTTGGACGCTCTGCTGGGGGGACGCGTGTCGCGTGCGGGGCGTGGCCGCAAAATCAAGCAATTGGGAAGGGCGAGCGAGTTCGATTCTTTTTCCTTCGCGGCACGCGATGGCGGCAAGCCCTCGTGCACGCCCGCCCTCGACACGCCGAAGACCAACCGGCGACGGACCGCGGTGAGACCGCGCCGCCCTCCGCGCCCGCCCGCGCCCGCAGCGTGAACACATGCGCGCGTCCCTCTCCGCACGGAAACTTGCGCGCCAGCCGCGCAGCAGCCTCACATGCAGCGCGCATTGGCATGCTCGCCCCCTGGGCCGCCGACGGCCCGGTCGAGCGGGCTGCGCGGCCGCCGCACACCATCAGGCAGGCGCACGACCACCTGCAGCACGCCGCAGCCCACCGCGCAGCCCTCCCAGCCAAGGCTGCGCCTCACAGCTCCACAAACAGGGCGCACAGCAGAGCACAACGCATAGCACACGCCGACGCGCGCGCAGCACACGCAGACTCACGCGCGAATCCAACACGCACACGCGCACAGCACGCGCGCATCGCACGCCAGCGCAGCGCTGCACACAGAGCACACTAGACCATACCAGTGGTACTGGTACCATCGCCTCTGAGAGGCACCACCCCTCGGGGAGGGGGCGCGTCCGCCCAGCGGCCAGCGCCCCTCCGCCCAGCGAGCGTACCCGCAGCGCCCGGGGAGCGAGCGTCCGCCCTGCGGCCAGCCCGCTCTCCCCGCACGGCGTCGACCGCCCCCAAAGCGAGACAGGATGCACCCGCATAGTTAGCCGCTACGGCTCTATACGGGGGCATCCTCTCCCCCATCCGCATTTGAGGAACTGCGTACTACACTGCGTCACCCTCCCCAGCATCAGTGGGTTGCCTTTTGGGGTCTGAGCCCAACGGAGAAAAAAGAAAAGTGACCAAAATCGGCCCTGGATGTGCGGTTAATGACTGTGCACTCCAAGTGCTCCAAGTGCTCCAAATCGAAATCAGAAACCACGCGAGATCCACGTCTCCCGCCCCTCGGCTCTCGCGCGAGCCACGATCTCCTGCCCGATGTCCGAAAACGGAAGGCACGAATAGCCGGACACAGGAACGGCACAGCTCAAACGGCAGAAATCCCACACACATCCACTCACCTCTCGCACGAACAGTCGAACAGCCGGACGCAGGAACGGCACTGGCCAAAACACACCCACACCTGACGCACGAACAGGTACGAACAGCCGGACGAAGGAACGGCAGCCGACACACCCAGCCGGGGCAAGACAGAAGGCCGCCGAGGGGAAAGGGAGTTCGCAACTAAACGGCCGAAGCGGGTATCTCTCCAGTTCACGCCCGCCGACCCCGATGCACCTTATTACCCGAACCCCCTACCTGCAAGCCCACCGAGAGGGGTAGGGGTCAGCCTTGTTCAATTAAACACGAGTTCCACCGTAGCGCCGCATAACTCTAAGCGCGCGTGTGAGCGAGGGCAGAAATGCAACGCTCACGCGGTCCCGGGCTCGGTCCTCCCACATTCTCTAAATGATGAGTCTCGCTCTCCCTTATACAATAAGCTATAAGGGGCCTCTGCGAAATAAAAAGCGGAGGCCTCAGTGGGAGCGAACTCTGACGGAGAGGGAGGTTCCCCGTGTTTGTTTGAAGGGCGAGCGAGTTCTTTACCAGGTTGCAACCCTTGTTCCGCACTGTGCTGTGAACGGCGGATGCTGTGCGTCACTGGGCCACAAGTTTGGCTTCGGCAACACCCTCGACCAAACCTTGCTCAGGGTTCTTGGGTGCAAAGAGCGCGGCCACAAGTCACAGGGCCCGCTCGTCCATGCGACCGGCAAAGGCTGGGTCAAAGAGCACAAGGGACAGTACTACGACGCGCTCCATGTCAAGAACGGAATCGTCAAAATTTGTCTCGTCGAAAGCCAGGGCGGCATCGCGCCGCCAACCAAGAGAATCATCTTCAACTTCGCCAAAGAGGTCGGCAGCCCGAGCGCCGTCGACCGCACCGACTACGGCACAGCCTCCGGCAGCGCCCGGGGCTTCGCCCAGCACCACTCGCAACAGCTCTCGCGCGCCGCCGTCAGTGGCGATGCGCAAAACATCAACAACGCTGCTCGCAACATGCGTGTCGCGCACTCATTCATGACCGGTCTCAATGCCCCACCCCCCTGCTCGCGGGCCTTCTAAGCCCGCGGGTAGTCCCCCCCCCTCCCCAGGGCCTCCAGGGCTCGCACCTCAACCTCTCACAGGCCAGCGCACAGCGCCATCGGAGGTATTTTCTTCTCAATAACAAGGCTGTGAACAGAGCACCAACCAACAGCTCTCAGGACCCCCCGGTGCTGGGGTGCTGCCAGCAACCAACCAAGTCGAGCGGAGCAGCGTCGTTCCGATGTTTCGGCGGGCACTTCTCACCTAAGTCCTTGTGGCGGGCCGCCAGGCCCGGAAGCAGATGCCGACGAGGATCAGACACGGCGCGCTATCTGGGCTCGGAGGTCGGCAAAAAGGTTGCGCAACCGACACCAGCGACCAGGATCGTCGATCGAGGTAGGTGCACGCTGCTGAAGCAGTGCACCTACATAGTGCGGGACCTGGGGCAGCAACCAACAACCTGGATGGGGACGGGGTGCTGCTCAACCGGCGGCAAACAGCAGCGTTCACAGCCGAGTGCGGAACAAGGGTTGCAACTTGGTAAAGAACCCGCTCGCTGGCGTGGGGCGGCCAAATTCAGTCTCGAACGTGTCTCAAACTCGAATCGTCGATCGAATCTAAATCATGTGCATATCACACCTGCCTCGCAGGACTACTTATGTTTGGCTACTTATGTTTTCGTAAACGTAGTCGTGGCCCCCCGCTACGTCGCACGAGTGCAACCGGCCAGCGGGGGGCTAAGAAATGTGCCATGAACTGAGTCATTCTAGTGCTTGGCCACGCAAGCGCCTCTGCCCTGCGCGGCGAGCGTAATGAATGCGTTTGCGGCGTACGTGCGCCCCGGGAAGAGCTCATCGAGATGCGGCAGGCGCGAGGCGAGCGGGTTGGGCCTCGGCGCCGCCGCAAGCTGCCCCGCCCCTCCCGCCCCCGCCGCGCCGCCGAGAGCGGCGAGCGTGCGCGCGTCGAGCTCCGCCTCCGGAGGGTGGTACGCCGTCAGCCCGACCGGCGTCCCGCGACGGAGCAGCGGCCGCAGCGAGGGCGCCCAGTCCGCGGCGTGCTCGGCGAGCCCCGGGTGGAAGGCAATGGCCAGCTGCTCCTGACTGAACTTTGCCGGCGCCTCCGGGCGGCGGTGATGGTAGTCGCCTCGGAGGAAGGCGAGCGAGAGCCTGCCCCCTGCCCCTCTCCCGCCGCCGCCGCTCCCCGCGCCTCCGCCGCCCGAGGCCTCGGTCAGGACGAGCTCCTCAGCGACGCCGTCCAGCCGGGCCGGCACGCGAGGGCCGCAGAAGAGAAGGCGCAGGGAGCGCACGTGCGGGAGCGCCGCAAGCATGGCGAGCCACTTGCGCCGGCAGCGCAACTCGGCGGCGGGCTCCGGGCCGAGGATGTGCACCGTCAGCGTCTCCGCCCCGTCGACCCCGGCCAGGTACGCCAGCAAAGCTCCGCTCAGCGGGAACGAGAGCGCGTCGGTCGCCACAGCCTCCAGCGCGCTACCCCCGAGCGCCACCTCCCTCCAGCGCCGCGGCGGGGCGGCTCGCTCCTCCCGCCGCAGCTTGGCGCGAGTCGGCGCCCCGGTGGCGGCGGCACGGCGCGCGCACAGCGCCGAGAGGGTCGCCTCCAGCCCGACCGGAGCGCCACGCTGCAGGCCGTGCTCCTGGATCTCTGCGGCGCAGGCGCGGTGCAGTTTCAGCCCACCCCAGTCGATGGGCAGCTTCTGAGCCTCCGCCTGCGCCTCCCAAGCCTGGCCCTCCGCCGCCGCACGCTCGGCGAGGGCTCGCCGCTGCGCGCACAGCCCGACCCACTCCTCGAGGTCTCTGGCGAGAGAGCGCTCCGTTGCCGCCGCGTCGTTTTCTTGCTTTCGCCCTCCTGGCACATGCGCCGCGACGAGGTGAAGCTCGCCGCCGCTCGCCGTCAGCCAGCTGCCGGCGGGAAGGATGGTGCCTCGGAGCTGCGCCTGCGGGTTGCAGCGGCAGACCTCGATCCACCCCGCTCCCGGCAACGACGGCGGCGGCGCTTCGGCGGCGGCGGCTCCCGGCGAGAGGAGGAGCAGCGATGCGGGCGCCGACGCATCAGCGGCAGCGGCAGTCGAGAGGAGGACGGACGAAGAGAGCTGTGAGCTCTCGCCGGGCTTGAGGCGGATCATCAATGTACATCAATGCCGTAGGCCGTACACCCCAGCCGTACACCAGCTGCCCGAAAGGCGCTCACAAAAAAACAGACGACTCTACGAGGGAACTCTTGCTGTGAGCACTCGAGAGCCCTCGAGATTTCCCGGAGTCGGTGGGGCTAAAAGAAAGAAAGCCACAAAACAGAAATGGGGCTAAGAAAGAAAGAAAACAGACAAACCCAAACGAGGGATGGGGGAGAGGAGGATGACAGGGTCCCCACCTGCACGAGCAGGATTTTGGAAGGACAGGGGCACAGGTGGGGCTCTCCTGCTCCTGACAAGAAGCACAAGAGACACGACATGCTTCATGTGCTTATCTGTTGGGAGTGTGAACTCACACTAGAGGCCGTCATCGCATTCGCCTTCCTGGGACCCAGCGCTGACTTCTGGGGCACGAAATCCCGGATTTTTCCACGGCGTAACAATCGTTGCTGTAGTGGCGCCAATGGCCGCCTCCCGTCGCGCCATTGGCACCCTAGCCAGCAGTAGCACCGGAGGCAACACCACCCAAGCCCACAAGTCACAAGAGTGACGGAGATGCTTGCCACGAGCACCGTGACGCCCGACCCTGTGAGCACCGTGGGCGTATACGGCTGCATACGGTGAGATGATGCACAGCATGGCCAGACAAGGGATGCAAGTCTCGCCAGCTGTATGTTAGTGAGGTATATGGATGTGATCAACATGTGGACCTTACCGGTACGCGCAGCAGCGCATGTAGCCGCTGATATTGAAGACAGCGCAAACAGGTCTTTTGCGCCACGCACCCGATGGCCGTGCTGGTCCAACTGCGTGCACAGGAATGCTATCAGCGCGTCTCCCAGTCTTGGAGAACCCTGTCCACGCCTGAGGATTCTGCACTAGCGATTCTGCCACCCAAGACAGGATTCTGTATGCGGAGGCTCGAGAGGGATTCGTGTCCGTTTCTTCTGATTCTCACTCTCCTTTTCCGGTTCTGCCTACTCGATCTGATTCTGCCCGTCCCCTTTCCACGCACTCAGCCTCCGGGCAGGATTCCTCACCCAGCTTCCGTTTCTGCCTAATCGATCTGATTCTGTCCGTCCGATTCTCGCCTTATCAGATTCTGTCGCGCGGTTGCGGTTTCTGCCTCCGGATGCCGGAAAGCGAATTTTCCCTTTGCCCGCCGATTTCTTGGCAACCCGGCCGGACTCTCGTTTCCTGATTCCTGTTTTTGCCCGTCGAGGGGCGGTAGCCCGGCCGGCCGGCCATCTGGGCATGCTCACGCAACCAATCACGCTCATGTGTACGCGCCGTATCCTCCGCGCCACCCACTTTGCCATCGAAGTGCGCTCCGCGCTCCGCACAGTACAGTCGCTTTTGAACGGCGGCTCATCACACGTGCGTCAGAGATCTCATGGGCGGTGGCATGGTGGAGCCAGAGCAGTGCGCGGCCGATCTTAATTCTGGGCAGGCGGTCTCCCATTCCCGCGGGCGCTTGGTGCCGGGGTTTGAACGGCATGCCGGCGTCAGATGCAGCTTGGCGCCGGCCTGCGGCGACCCCGCAAGCGGTCGTTGGTGCTGCTCAGCGATGCTCACAGCGGCACGTCTGCTCTTTTGCTGTGGGGAGTGCTGTCTGATTGGGTCTCCAAGCCCGCGGGCTCGCTGTGAATGCACCCGCCAGCTAGGCAGCTCCGCGGCGGTGTGGGTGTAGAACGGGTAGGCTGCTGTCTCGTGTCTCGGTGCTCGTACTAAGTCAATGGGAGGAGTGCTTCAATTTCTTCTTCTTATACGCCCAGCTCAAAAGCACACACGCATCACGACGCCTAGACAGGCGAGACGCGGCGACAGCCGCGGCGAGCTCGTTTTAGAAGCGAGCCGCTCGCGGCGAGCAGTTTTAGAAAAAGGGAAAAGGGGGAGGGTTAGTGTTTGAACCCGAGCCGAGCTTCGCTCGGCTCCCCCCCGCGCGGGAGCGCCCCCCCCCCCCCCCCTCTCCTCGGGGGGGCGGGCAGAGCCCGCACCACACACTGCGCCTTTGCGGACGCCGGACCGAGGCCTAAGCGCTGAGTGCGCTGACGTGAGGCTGGAGCGCCAGAGAGACCCGCGCCTGAGCATGCTGCCGCGGGCGAAGTTTGAGTGAGCTGTGTGAAGCCCCGCGCACACGCAATATCGGCTCAGGAGTTCGGAGAGTCAGGCCAACATAGGATCCCGCCGAAATGCGTAACTCCGAGGAATCAGGAATCAGGAATCAGGAATCAGGAATCAGAATCCCGGTCAAAATGTTGGAATCAGGAATCAGGAATCAGGAATCAGGAATCAGAATCCCGGTCAAAATGTGGGCGATCCGACAAATCAGGAATCAGGAATCAGGAATCAAATGGAGCATCAAGAATAGGAAGAGAGACAGGAGAATCGGGAGGGGGGAGCAGAATCAGGAATTGGCTCTGGCTGCCCTAGAGAATCGGAAAGGAAGCGGAGGAAACGAGAATGGAGAATCAGGAAGCTGAAAGCGGGGCCAAGATGGGAGAGTCTGGGGAGAGAATCAGAATATCTGAGCAGAAGAGGAACCTGGGAAGGGGAATCTAGTGAGAGGTAGAATAGCAAGAATCCTTGTGTAGTAGAGCAGAATAGGAAAGGCAGAATCCTTAGGCGCGGACAGACTTCTCCATTACTCGCGTCTCCGCCATAACTGGACATGGCAATGAAGCAGCTGAGACGTGATAACACCGGTGCTGGGCCAAGGAGGTGCCGCTCACCGCCGATTGTTACGACTGTCGTCGAAGGCGAGCGGCGGTCGGCCGGTCGCCGGGCAGCAGCTCGTGGCGATCGTCGATCCGGAGTCGGTGGGGCTAAAAGAAAGAAAGCTAGAAGGCAGAAATGGGGCTAAGAAAGAAAGAAAACAGACAAACCCAAACGAGGGATGGGGGAGAGGAGGATGACAGGGTCCCCACCTGCACGAGCAGGATTTTGGAAGGACAGGGGCACAGGTGGGGCTCTCCTGCTCCTGACAAGAAGCACAAGAGACACGACAGGCTCGCTCGCAGCGCGGTGCACGGTGGACTCCCAACTCCACTGGCGGTCTCATCTCAGTCTAGCACAGGCACACTGACAGGGAAAGAAAGAAAGAAAGAAAACAGACAACCCAAGGGAGGGATGGGTAAACCAGCCCGCGCACAATTCTTCTTCGCAAAAGGAGGTTCGCAGCACCCTGAGGGAGGCGGCGAACCAGCTGAGCAACAAACTTTCGCACGCTCAGCACCTGGACGAGGTCACATGGACCACCAAGAACTGGCACGGGCTGCAGATGCAGCGCTTGTCTGTCGTCCTCCACACCGCCGTGGCGTGGGTGGCAGACGGTGAACGAGCTAGCGTGCGGGGAGAGCGGCATTGTGCATGGTGCGGAGTGCATTGCCGTTCTTAACGGAGTCGCTTAGGCGGCTCCGGTGGTGAGCCGGTGTGTGTGCCAGTCCGCGCCAGTCCGCGCCCTTGTCGTGCCAGTGTGCTGTGAGAGAGGCCTGCGTTTTAAGAATGTTGACAAGGGCAGCCCCCAATTGCAATGGACACCTCAGCCATTGCGGTGGGTGTCCCGATTACATCGACGTCGGTCTCGATCGGCGCCCCTGTGGTCACCGGAACGCCCATAACCCACGCCGCTTCAAGCCCTCCTCCCGCTACGGCACCTCCGCCTGCAGCCACTGCCGGTCCCGCTCCCGCCACCGTCCAACCGATCGACGCCATCGTTTGCTGTGGCTGCGGCTGCGCTCTTGCCGGCCTCGCGCCCGCGTGCATGCCCTTCTGCGAGGCGAGAGGCCGAGGTTGCGGGTGGGAGGGACGAGTGAGCGCGTGCTCAGCGCCCAGCTGCAGCGCAGCGGCTTGCCCAGCGCCCGCTTGCACGCCGTCGCCCGGAATGGCGGTGGCGGCGCGGTTGCAGCTCTGCTGCACTACCACAGCGTTCGAGTTCCCACCGGGTGCCGAGGTATTGCCGACCCTCGCGTGCTGCGGCTGTCTGACCTGCCCGGCGCTCGGCTGCTGCGTGCGGTCTGTTGTGCTCCAGCCCGCGCAGCTTGCCGAGCGGCGGCGGCTCCGCCGGCGGAGGCGCTGGCAGCGCACGATCGAACACGAGGTTGCGTTGGGCTCCTTTGCGGCGCATGCGGCCAATCTGGCCGTGGCAGATGGGCTGCGAGAGGAAGTGTTTCGGCACCGAGTCCGGATCTCGACCTCGACCATGGTTCGCCTTTGATACAGTCAGCGCTGTCGCTCGCAAGTGCATATGTGTGTGACCGCGCCCCTTTGCTGTGCACTGAACTTATGAAAAGGAGCTCTACCGACAGCCGCGGGCGACAGAAGTTCAGAACACAACTTCACGCTCCCCACAGCGCCAGACGAGCCGCAGCGCGTAGTGGCTCGCTCGGGGGGCGCAGTCCACCGAGACGGAGTCTGGGGTCTGGGCCCCGCCCGACAGATCTCCGTGGCCCCCTTCATTCATAGCAACGGGTTTCCGCCGCACACATGCATGCCTGCCTGTCGGCCGCTTGGCAGCCCGTCGGCCACGAGCCTCCCCTCCCTTCCCTTCCCACCGCGCCTTCTGCAGGCCGCCCGCGCCTCCTACCGCGGCCCGCCCCGCCCCGCCCTTTTGATGAGGCGGACCCGGACGGCCCCCGACCCAGCGCGGGCACTGGCGCCGGCACTGGCGCCGGCAACATCGCCGGCGCCGGTGCCAGTGGCCGCCGCTGCGGAGGGCGCACCTAGGGAGGAGCACCGGGGAGCGGATGCAGCCTGCCGGGCTGTCCGCCTGCCAGCTCCTTCCGCCTCACGACGGCGCACCGCCCCCAGACCCAAAGGCGCCGCCCGACCCGAAGGTGAAGGCCGGCGCCGCCGCGCCCGGAGCAGGGACGGGGGCGGCGCCAGCAGCTCCGAAGTTGAAGACGCCGCCCGCGGCGGCGCCAGCAGCTCCGAACGTGGGCGCAGTCGCGGCGCCGGCCCCAAACGTCGGCGCAGCGGCGGCGCCAGCGGCTCCAAACACGGGCGCGGCGGCGGGGCCAGCAGCTCCGAACGTTGGCGCGGAGGCGCCGCCTGCAGCCCCGAAGATCGGCGCGGCGGCGCCAGCCCCAAAGGTTGGCGCGGGGGCGTCGGCCGCCTGGGCGCCGAAGGTGAAGGTGGCCGCGGGCGGCGCGGCAGAGCCAAACGAGAACTGGGGGGAGGGGCA